CACGTTAAATCTCGTAAGTAAGGAAGTAAGTAAGTAATCATTATCCATCACTTGCTTGATAAAGGTGTTAGGACAATTGCACTGTCGAAGATGTTTGATCTTCCCACTGTTTCATTTTACTTTATTCTGAAGTTTTCCTTTGTTTTTCTCTCCATTTTCTCATCTCGAAACCCGTGAAGAATAGACTATGCTTGTCGTAAGAGGCGACTAACGAGATCGGGTGGTCAGGCTCGCTGACTTGGTTGATGCATGTCATCGGTCCCAATTGCGTGGATAGATGCTCATGATATTAATCAGTGGATTGTCTGGTTCAGACTCGATTTTTTACAGACCGCCGTCATATTTGGTTTGTTGGTTGGTTGGTTTGTTGTTTTACGCCGCCCTCAGCAATATTCCAGCTATATGACGGCAGTCTGTAAAGAATCGAGTCTGGACCAGACAATCCAGTGATTAATATCATGAGCATTGACCCACGCAATTCGGATCGATGACATGCATCAACCAAGTCAGCTTGGTTGGTTGGTTAGTTTGTTGTTTAACGCCGCACTCAGCAATATTCCAGCTATATGATGGCGGCCTGTAAATAATCTAGTCTGGACCAGACAATCCAGTGATTGATATCATGAGCATCGATCCACGCAATTGGAATTGATGACATTGCATCAACCAAGTCAGCGAACCTGACCACCCGATCCCGTTAGTCGCATTTTACGACAAGCATAGTCGCCTTTTACGGCAAGCATGGGTTGCTGAAGACCTATATTCTACCCCGGAATCTTCACGGGTCCAGCGTTCAATGCAAGAGGTTAAAACTTGTTGATGAAAGCACTGGTATTTTCAGTATATTTTATATTTCGGTTTCAACTTAATTCATAGGACTAAAAGGACTATGAATGGGAACTAATATGCATATTTCATTTTTTTTCGATTTAGTCATTTTCATTATCCTGTACAGGAATTCAGTTTATTATTGCAGGTATATAAATATTCACGCTGCATAAATACAAACGTCGCAGGTCTGAATACTATCTATCTACTGTAGGACTTCTATCGCAATAAATCAATTAGATTTATTATGACAGGAAAGGATGCGAGGAGTCTAAGATGATTGAATCACCTTCTAATGCATCGTCTGAGGCGCCGGGATTCGCTGTGCACAGTTGCGTCCTTTGGGCACGCCAGAAACCTATGATTGTGGGTTCGAATCCCGGTTATGTTTCTAGGTTTGTCAGCACCATACCCGTGCTGGTGGGTTTCACCGAAGTGGTAAACGTTTAAGACCTGCATCACTTGGGGCTTTCCTCCCACATTAAGCTGACACGCCGTGATGTAATTGGAATACTGTTAAAAGTGGCGTTAAACCGAACTCACTCACTCTAATGCATTTACTCTAATGCATTTTGAAGCATGTGAGCCGATGACACGTAGCACGCAAATAAATGCACTTGTCAGTGTATACGTGTTTATTTTATTGCGTTCAAATATTGCCACATTTTCAGTTGAATTTATTTATTCATCTTACACAAACGTCGACAGAGCAGGATGAAGTGGCTTCATGTCAAGTTTTGGCCACCCAGGCCACCTTCACTCACTGCACTACATCAGTAATGATTCAAAGGCCGACTCACCCTCGTGGCGCAGTAGCTACAATCATGTACACGTATGCCTGTGTCTTCCAAGTTCTTTACTATGATCCAGGTTATCCTGATCATGACACATCCCCTCCCACATCCCCTCCCACACTTTGTGTGACAAAATCACTCAACAAATAGTTATAAAGACCAAGACATTCATGCAGACTCGTGACCTCAACGCTTAAAGCGCTATATGGGTTCATTCCTCACCACTGGGTGTCTTGTAGATTATGGGGACGAGTATTCCAGGTGGCACCGGGTGACTCATATATGTGTCCGTAGACAAACGTTACGAGACAATTTTAGGGCTGTTATATACTGGCCTGAAAGATAAAATCCAACGAATTTAAGTTAAATAAGGAATACTTGCAGACGGACCTGGTATCTAATTCGACCCCCTGGACTTCTCGGAAGTTTGATTGTTTGTTTGTTTAGTGCCGCACTCAGCAATATTCCAGCTATATCACGGCGGTCCGTAAATAAATCGAGTCTGAGCCAGTGATTGACAGCTTGATCATCGACCCACGCAACCATGTCAGCGAGCCTGACCACCCGATCCCGTTAGTAGCCTCTTACAAGCATAGTGACCTTTTGTGGCAAGCATGGGTTGCTTAAGACCAATTCTAAATTCTTGTACTAATGACATATTCGTTACCACCTCATTGGTAAAAAACACCAGTACGGATATGGTGTTGACAATCGAAGCTTTACAGGAGTCTGTGCGTGTTGTTTGTTTTACGCCGCACCCAGCAATATTTCACATGTATGACGGCGGCCTGGATGGGGTCTGGATCAGACAATCCAGTGATTGATATGACATGGCATCATCCTAATCTGACCTCTCGATCCATTACGTGGCGTCTTACGAGCAGCATGGGTTTCTTGGGACCAATTCTAGCCCGGATTCCACATGGGTGGCTATATACGAGGCCACTCTTGGATTCAAACCCACAAGACCCGTGAAGATCCGGGTAGAGGCAAGGTCTTCAGCAACCCACGCCTGCCGTAAGAGGCGACTAGTGAGTGAGTGAGTTAATATTTAAAGTCACATCGGCATTGTTTCAGCCATATCGTGACTTGAGCAAGTTATGCATTGATATAATATCTTAAGACCTGTCGTCGAAGGACAGTACAACAACTAGCAAAATATCACAGATTCTAAATGTAAAACTAGTTTCTGAACAATAAAATAATCAGATTATAACAGACGAGACAATATAAAAACGGGCTATAGATCGTCAGCAACTGAAGGCAGACCACCATACTGGGGACCATGGGGACTTACAGTACCTTTGCTAAATGCATGGACCCCAGCAGGATTTACATCATACCCTCAGCAACTGGCGATTGTTTGCAAAGTTAGCCACAAGTAAAAATACAAATATTCTACGTTTAAAACACTAATAGCCAGAAATATTCTTTGAATGACATGGACTTACAATATCCTCTCAGGGGGACAATAATTTTACACTACGTTAACCCCCTTTGAGGATACGGCCAGTAACAAACTCAGATATAATTTCGTTCTACTAAATTTTAAAAGGTCAATCATGTTATACAATACATATCTTCAAAATTTGTTAAACAACTCTATCTCTTTTAAAAACCCAATAACTAAATGAGAATTAATATTATAAAAAAGATCCTTGAGAGATGATGATTTGAAATATTTATCCCTTGTGATGGCAAAATCAACACAGTCAAGCAGGACATGCTTGACCGTGATTCTCTCATCACAAGGGATAAAAAATGGAGGATCTTCACCTTTCAACAAATATTCGTTAGTGTATCTGCTATGGCCAATACGACATCGTCGTAAAATGAGTTCCTCAAATCTGGACTGACAACCCAAGTAGGTGTAACCGATAGTTGGCTTTATTGCATGTAATTTATTTGTACCTTCTTGGGTGTCCCACTTCTTTTGCATAAGGTCTTTGATATAGCATCTAATTAAAGGTTTGTAGTCGCTGTATGGCATAAGAAGTGGGGTCACAGACTTGTTGAGAGCTGCTTTTGCGGCAGCATCAGCCATAGTGTTACCCGTGATTCCAACATGACTGGGTAACCAGCAATAGACGATTCCGTATTGGCCAGTGGCAAGAGTATTGTGTAATTCTAAAATATCAAGAATGAGTGGATGATTTGAGCGGACATTTTTAATGCTTGTAGGAATGACAAAGAGTCAGAGAGGGTGATGTAGTTTTTTGCAGATATTTTGTTTCTGAATATATTCCAAAGCTGTTTGAATAGCCTTGGCCTCAGCAGTAAAGATAGAACAATTGTTTGGTAATCTGGAACAAATAGTTTTTGATCCAACGATGGCAGCTAACAGGATCGGGTGGTCAGGCTCACTGACTTTGTTGATGCATTGTCATCGTATCCCAATTGCGTGGCTCGATGCTCATAATGTCAATCACTGGATTGTCTGGTTGAGACTTGATTATTTACAGAACGCCGTCATACAGATTGAGTATGGCTAAGTTCGGCGTCAAGCAACAAACAAACAAACCCATGACCTGTGGATTCTAACCATGAGCTGCAACCCTTTTATTGCTCTCTACCAACCACTCGCCATGGAAAGCATGAAGCTTTGCACAGTACACACCACCTGGCTTTCCGCACACTGACGTCTCTGTTTTGTGGTTATGTTACAATATGGTAAAAGATCAACACTTAGTGATATTCACAGCACAGATTACATTTCAACAGCAACATAAATTAGTGATAACAATGATATGATATAGATAAAGTAACACGTGTGTGTATATGTAGTGATCATACCGATAAACATATGAAAACAACCCCAGGAATAATGCATCTATTCAATACTCATTACGTTGCATAATTATCACTAAAAATACTATACCTGTCTATATATAGTACTCACGTGTCAATTCGGACAGATTACCTTTTGTACATACAACTTATAAAACATAATTAAGTTTTATCTGAGCCTCCGAACACTTCAGACCTGTGAAGATTCCGGGATAGAATAGGTCTTCAGCAACCCATGCTTGCCGTAAAAGGCGACTATGCTTGTCGTAAAAGGCGACTAACGGGATCGGGTGGGCAGGCTCGCTGACTTGGTTGATGCATGTCATCGATCCCAATTGCGTGGATCGATGCTCATGATATTAATCACTGGATTGTCTGGTCCAGATTCGATTATTTACAGACCGCCGTCATATAGCTGGAATATTGCTGAGTGCGGCGTTAAAAAACCAACCAACCAACCTTTAACACCCAATGAAAAGTGTTTCGGCTGGTTATTCCCTGGCGTTGATAGTTTATGTAAACACCGCACCAACATCGATCTTCGGCAACAAACATTATTACATTTGTACGCTCTGTATATATTAGTGTCTAATGTAACGCAAAACGAGCGGACTGCGCCTGTGTATTTATGACTCTCTGTCTGTGTTTTAATGTATTATAGAATGTGTGTGCGCGTGCGTGGATATGAAATAAATGAACAGCAATTAATAACATATTCAGAGAAAAAGCATATTTCCTAATGAACAGCAAAGTTAAGTAGCACATGTGTGTTTGTTTTGACCTATACGGTAACCGACATCTTATCACAACCTCGTATCAGCTGTAACTATAACTCTTTGTGTAGGATAATACAACAAGGAAGGACAAGAACGACAGGGCTGATGGCGGAGTACACGGCGGTGAAGTTACTCGGAAAGGGAGGGTTTGGTGTCGTGTATCTCATCAAGGACACGAAGTCGGATGAAGTGGTAAGTTGATTAAGAATGGATCGCAAAATATATGTTTGTCTTGAGTTTAATGTTGAGTACACGATTATTACAAGTACAAGGTGCATCTTTCAACGTTGTAGCTTTATATCGTGGAATGTGCTTCACGGTGCGTAGGTGGTTTGATTGTCCGTCTCTCGCTACACCACGTCATTACCCAAACCCCACACAAGGGACACTACACACTGTCACATTGAAACTACCACGCATCACACCCAATACCACACACCAAACATCCCACGCCACACACCAAAGTCCGAATACCACGAACCACACATCACACACTTCACACCACGCAACAAAGATCGCATACCACACAATGTACACCTTACCCATCACACCACTCAACACACATCACATACTACACACCAAACATCACACACAACACATCACGAACCACACGTCATACGCCAGATACGGGACACATTGTCTATATATGTTACATCCATGTATCAAGTTTCACAAAACACTACACACCACACATCAACCCCACGACCCTCACACTCTTTACAACACATTACATACCACATACCATATGCAACACATCACACACCATACAATACAAACCGCATACCGTATATTACATACCACGTACCATATTCAACCCATCACACACCACAATACACACCACGTACCAGACACGATACATTACAAACCACATGCGATAAACAACATAGCACACAACACACACCAGACCTCACACAACCCCTTTCACACCTCACAACACACACCACAGACCACATACCACACACCACACACCTCACGACACACACCTCATCCCTCACACCACATACCACACACCTCACAACACACACCTCACACCGCACAATACACAACACACAACTTACGACACACGCCTCACACCATACACTACAGACTACATACCACATACCACACACCTCACGACACACACCACACAATACACAACACACAACTTACGACACGCACCTCACACCACATACCACACACCTCACGACACACACCTCACACCACACACCTCAGGACACACACCTCACACAACACAATACACACCACACAATACACAGCACACAACTTACGACACACACCTCACACCACATACCTCACACCACATACCACACACCTCACACCTCACACCACATACCTTACACCACACACCTCACACCACATACCTAACGACACACACCTCACACCACATATTACGCATCTCACACCACACACCTCACGACACACATCTCACACCACACACCTCACACCACATACCACACACCACATATCTAACACCATACGTTATGCTCCATGAAGTTATTGAGAGTGTCCAACACTAACCTCAACTGCATCTGGAAAGATGTGCGACACTGTCTTGAGGAGATTTACGAAGATCAAAGCTTCACTGTTGCAGGTGCTCTTTCTTATGAATAGGAAGCGGTGTGATGCAAAGTTACCTCAGGGTCAGTCAGTAATGTTTTCACTATAGATGCATGTGTTGTAGATGACAAGGAATGTTGGAGTGGCGTATTTATCTAACAGCATTTTTATACGGCTGGTGTATGTCTCGACTACTGCAAAACTAACTGCGTCGTAAAACTATTTTAACCTCACTCACTTCACACACCACACATGACACATCATACACCACACACCAAACATAACATGCCACACATCAAACATCACATACTACACACCAAACATAACATACTACACCAAACATAACATACCACACACAAGACATAACAAACCACACACCAAACATAACAAACCACACACCAAACATAACATACCACACACCAAACATAACATACTACACCAAAAATCACATACCACACATCAAACATAACATACCACACTCCAAACATCACATACCACACACCAAACATAACATACCACACACCAAACATAACATACTACACCAAACATAACATACGACACACCAAACCACACACCAAACATAACAAACCACACACCAAACATCACATACCAAACACCAAACATAACATACTACACCAAACATCACATACCACACACCAAACATAACATACCACACACCAAACATCACATACCACACACCAAACATAACAAACCACACACCAAACGTAACATACCACACACCAAACATCATATACCACACACCAAACATAACAAACCACACACCAAACATCACATAACACACACCAAACATCACATACCACACACCAAACATCACATACCACACACCAAACATAACAAACCACACACCAAACATAACATACCAAACATAACATACCACACACCAAACATCATATACCACACACTAAACATCACAAACCACATACCAAACATCACATACCACAAACCAAACTTAACATACCACACACCAAACATAACATACCACACACCAAACATAACATACCAAACATAACATACCACACACCAAACATCATACACCACACACCAAACATAACATACCACACACCAAACATCACATACCACACACCAAACATAACATATCACACACCAAACATAACATGCCACACACCAAACATCACATACCACCCACCAAACATCACATACCACACACCAAACATCACATACCACCCACCAAACATCACATACCACACACCAAACATAACAAACCACACACCAAACATCACATACCACACAGATCATATACCACGTATCACAAATCATGCATCACACACACCGCCACCAAACTTTATATGTCACACACCTAACATCACATACACCAAACATCACATACCACACACCAACCATAACATACGACACCCCAAACATCACACATCACACACCATACACCAAACATAACACACATACACCTCACAACACACACGTACACCAAACATCACACACCAAACACCAAACTCTACACACATACACCACACACTGACACCTCACAACACACACGTACACCAAACATCACACACCAAACACCAAGCATCACACACATACACCAAGCATCACACACATAAACCTCACAACACACACGTACACCAAACATCACACCCCAAACATCACACATCACACACCATACACCAAACATAATACAAATAAACCTCACAACACACACGTACACCAAACATCACACACCAAACACCAAGCATCACACACATACACCGAACGTCACACCCCAAACATCACACACATTCATCAAGCATCACACACAACACATCGAACAGCAGATACGGGAGAGACACCGTGTATTAGGTTGGTGACTCACCCATGTACCGCGGCATGACAAACTGTTGGGGCACCGATACTTTCATTTCATGGTACAAGGCAACTCCATGCGACATTTCAAGCTAATTCTTAAGTATTCAAAAGTCCACCGACTCGTGAAGATCCGTGTGAGAATTGATTTTCAGCAACCCATGCTTGCCGTACCAGCCGACTAACGGGATCGGGTAGTCAGGCTCGGTGACTTGGTTGACACACGTCATCGTATCCAAATTGCGAGGGTCGATGCTCATGATGTCAATCACTGGGTTGTCTTGTCCAGATTCGATTATTTACAGACCGATGTCATATAGCTGGAATATTGCTGAGTACGGCATTACACAACAAAGAAAGAAAGAAGCAACACAAAACAAAACAGATGAATATTTATCCATTCGTTTCATCCATTAATCTCCATATCAGTCCAAACTAAAATGACACATCTGTGTTTTTCGTCAGTCAGCCTTGTATTTCATATTAAAACATCTCTACTCTTTACCATCAGCTTGCACTGAAGACTGTGGACCTAGACAAGGCCAGCGATGACGAGAAGGCATTCGCCGAGAAAGAGGCTAAGCTAATGAGAGGTCTCAAACACAGTCACGTGGTGCAGTATGTGCACTCGTACTTTAAAGGGACTACACTTTTCATCTTCGCGGAATTCTGCGATGGTGGGGATCTGAAGCAGTTTCTCAACGACTCTGTCTCCAGGATACCCGAGGACCTGGTCGTGTGTTGGATGACGCAGGTCCTGTCTGCTCTTGAGGTATGTCGTATACGTAAGTGAGTGAGTGGGTTTAACGCTGCTTTGAAAATTATTTCACTTCTGTATCGGTGTGTGTCAGTCTGATGTGGAAGGAAAGCCCCAAGTGATGCAGGTCTTAGATATTTAACGATTTATTAAAATCCGTGTGCGCGGTGTTGTGCTGACAAACCAAGAAACATAATGAGGACGAGCCAGGATGCAAATCACGATTATACGTTTCTGGCACTCCTACGGGAGGCATTTCTGTACATCCATTTACAGTGCCTTAGGCGACCGGGACCGCCTCCGTGGTCTAGTGGTAGAGCGTCCGCCCGGAGAGCGGAAGGTCCGGGGTTCGATCCCCGACCGCGTCATACCAAAAGACGTTAAAAGATGGTACTTGTTGTTACCCTGTCTGGCGCTCGGCATTAAGGGGCTAAAGCAAGGATTGGTCGGCTCGGAGTCAGTATACTGTGTCTGAGTGGGGTATTCATGTTAAACTGCGGCATGGTATCTCAGTGAGCTAGCACTATAAATCGGCATCAGTCCGGACTAGTACAAACACACACACGTGCATGCACGTCGCTATATAAGTGCAATAATCTTGGACGCGACGTTAAACCCCATTTCACCTCACCTCACCTTAGGCGACGGGTCCATCCGTGCCCCACGTCGATTAAGAGTAATTGGACATACAAATTTCATTCAACACAACGTATTTCTGGAACACAGGTGTCAATAATGCATCATTAAACATGCTCGGTTGCTTTCACTTTTGATATTGAGAATGACATGGGTACTCGAGCTAAACAACTGGGTACATTTAAGAGTAGACTTTCACTTTTTGTGAGTTCATTGGATTATGAACCTTCATGGAGTGAGATCAAAACTGTATAAACGTCGGAGCTTGCGGATGTTCATACAATGTTTGGTCCTCACACTATTTTTATCTCAAATGACGTATACCTTGATCCATACACATTTATGTTAAGTAAGTGTGACTTCATGATTACACGGACAGCCATACAACATATATATCGCGTAATAAAATGGTTCCTCAAAACGAGAGGTGCCATGAGCTTATTTATGTATGCTCAACATGCTCAACGGGAACATTTTCTAGTTTCTGAACAACACATGTACTCAAATAATATCCTCATTATATGAGAAAGGTCTTTAATAACAACCGCAGTAAGTCAGTCACAATGACAGCGCGTCATAATACATTTACATCAAATACAAGACGTCAAAACGGCCGACACGATAAACATTGGAAATACTGCCCGCTCCTTAACCAATTGGAAGCTCGTATTTTAATGAAAGGTTAAAGCATGTTGTTCCTCCTTGACTTATATTACTTCCACAGTAAAATCAACACAATTTAATACAATGCTATATAATATAACCAGGCTAAATTCTAAATGTATGAGGGGGCACGGGTGGCCCAGTCGTCTAAGGCGCCGCGATTCGCTGTGCAGAGTTGCGTCCCTTGGGCACGCCAGAAACCTATGATTGTGGGTTCGAATCCCGGTTCGCCCAAATTATGTGTCAGCACCATACCCGTGCCCGTGGGTTTCACCGAAGTGGTAAACGTCTGAGACCTGCATCACTTCGGTCTTTCCTCCCACATTAAGCTGACACGCCGCGATATAACTGGAAAATTGTTAAAAGCGGCGTTAAACCCAACTCACTCACTCACTCACTCACTCACTCACTCACTCACTCACTCACTCACTCTAAATGTATGATGCTACACTGTGATTGCAGGTAATGTTTTACAAATACATATAAACACCAGTTTGTAAAATATTCCTGCCATAATAACGTTGTCTTTATATACTCTTTTCGACATGAACATTTTATTTATGATTAACCTGCAATGTGTCTCTCGTTTTGTACAAATCTATATGTATATGTACTTGCATAGCGTAGTTTGATAAATACCCTTGTGTCAATTGTGTTATCGCAGTTGATATTGTTTTTCACTTGGGTAAACAACATGCAGCGATGCATCCTAATCAGTATGACCTCGGAGTTACCGATGATAACAAAGTGACGTGCAGTAATTCTCCTACGGTTTCCACACCTTAAGCTTGACATACCCTTTATACTCTGTTTGGTTTTTGTTTGTTTATTGTTCAACGCCGCATTAAGCAATATTCCATCTGTATGACGGCGGTCTGTAAATTATCGAGTCGGGACCAGACAATCCAGAGATTGATATTATGAGCATCTATCCACGTAATTGGGTCAGCGAGCCAGCTGACCACCCGATCCCGTTAGTCGCCTCTTACGACAAGCATACCACGTAATTGGGATACGACGACATGCATCAACCAGGTCAGCGAGCCTGACCACCCGATCCCGTTAGTCGCCTCTTACGACAAGCATACCACGTAATTGGAATACGATGACATGCATCAACCAAGTCAGCGAGCCTGACCACCCGATCCCGTTAGTCGCCTTTTACGGCAAGCATGGGTTCCTGAAGACCTTTTCTACCCCGGATCCTCATGGGTCAACTCTGTGTCGGTCACGTATGCCAACAAACAATTTTATAACTGAAGACCTACATGTAGCTCCCTGAATGATGCTATGTTATTCGTATGCAAGATTTTCCTTATTTTGCAGTATGCGGTATCATAAAGTGCGTTCAAATAACTAAACGACCAAGAATGAAAAATAATCACATATAATTGTTTCAATATTCACAATTCTGCACAAGGTTAAACTGAATCCTAAAGAATTTCATACCGGGTCAAACAGGAAAAGGTAAACTGTGTGTAATCATTATACCAGGGTCATGTGGTGACGTAGGAACTAGGCTGTAGATGTGAAGGTTTGCCCTGCACATAGCATTCTGTTATCGTTGGTCGGTTAAATTGTCTATTGTAAGGGGCGGTCGGGTAGCCTTGTGGTTCGTTACGCCGAAGACCCGGGTTCAATCCCCGACATGGGTGCAATGTGTGAAGCCCATTTCTGGTGTCCCCTGCCGTGATATTGCTGGAAAATTATACATCCATGTACACATTCCTGACATACACTGATAAGTGGATTATTATCTACAACAGATCTACAAGTTCATCTTACGGTCACCCACAGTTTATACAAACGAAATTAAAGCGCCCTACCCCTGGTGTCCACAAACGTAAATAAAGCGACAAAAAACTTTCCACATCCAAAAGATGTATTAATGAATCACTTTCAATTTGTGTTGATACCAGGTGTTCGCAAAAAGGTGAGCGTAATCTGACTCACTGGTGGCAACCGTCATAAACACATGCAAAGACAAGTCAATTGTTCACCTGAAAGAAACACGGGAACATATGGTACAAGTGAAAATAGGGAATTGCATGGGACATCCTTTTTATCACTGATGTCTTCCATGACATCTAAATACTATGATTTCTGAGTATTTCACTCGTGTGAAATCCCAAACTGTGTAAAATAGTAATCTTTTTCATTCCATTTTGGGTTGATATTTTTGTAATTGTCAAAAGCACAAAAGAAGCAATATGAGTTATCCCCCTTAGAAATAATATTTGGTATTCCATTGCATGCATTGCGATCATCCTATCCCAAACCAGTTACTTATCTTGTCTCGTCATAAGATGAATTGATCATGAACAGAAATAAACTATTCTGTTATCTTTGATTGCCCAAGAGTACAGTTTTACCATAATCAATACTACAACTACTACTACTAATAATAATAAAGAGACAAAACCCTTTCAATATCCAATAGAAATCTCTGCATAAAGCAGAGTCGATTGTACAATTCCGACTTTATCATGAGCATGTGTTTCTGAATCACTATCAAATAGTGATGACACCAGGTGTTCGCGAAAAGGTGAGCGTATCCTTCCCCACCGGTGGCACCCGTCACAAACACATGCAAGGCAATTCAATTTTCCCCCTGAAAAAAAACATGATTTGTAAAACTTGTTATGGAACACTATGTACTACTGTCAAATATAATACGTACAAGCTCCTTTCACACAATGGACTGCTGTGAATGTCTCGCGTTTGTCGCTAAAATTTGAATTATGTCGACAAGACAAAGATGATTGAATCTACAAATTTACATTTTACGAACGCATCATGCAGATTGTTACGTCAATTTGAAAAAATGAAATGAGAAGGTCAACTGTTAAGTAGCTTTCTCAAGCCAAACAGTTTCTTATATATCATCTGCTTAATAGCCTAACAGTCTTTACTCTCGAATAAACTTGATTCATTGATAAAATGAAAGCCTACCGAAACAAGTGGTTGAAATATACGATTTCATTTTGTATACTCACTGATCATTTAAACAACTATTCAACTATAAGAAAATGCGGAAGATTTCCCACTCGTCATTGAAAAGTTTGTTTACCGTAGCCATTGCTTCCATCATCCATTCATGTGCACACAAATGTGACGCCACTTTGATTCTTGGATTACGTAGTAGGTTAGTGTATCAATGTTTGGGTTCAACGCTTGTTCTTTAAAGAGACATATAATGAAAGTATCATTGAGCTTTCGAACGTCCAGTCATCATGAGGCACGTATGATGTAACTGATAGTGGCCTTTTGTATGACACTCCTATGGATCTCCGACCCATGAAGATACGGGGTAGAATAGGTCTTCAGCAACCCATGCTTGCCGTAAAAGGCGATTATGCTTGTCGTAAGAGGCGACAAACGGGATCAGTTGGTCAGATTTGGTTGATGCATGACATCGTATCCCAATTGCGTGGGTCGATGCTCATGATGTCAATCACTGGATAGTCTGGTCCAGACTAGTTTATTTACACACCGCCGTCATATAGCTGGAATATTGCTGACAATAAACAAACAAACACATGGACCTCCGGACGCAGCCATCTGGCCGATACCATTCATCAAGGCTTTCTGGAAGGAGGTGTTCATTATGCCCTTAAATTGCTCCAAATTTTCCATCAGAGTTGACGTGGTAATGGTAGTCTGTGGTAATGGGATGCTGTACTCTCAGTATGCCCTCAAATGTCTCCGAATTGTCGTGACTACTACTACTACTACTACAAATAATACTATTTTGGAAAACTCTTCCCATGTGTCCAAACACCATTACTTCACTAATTAAATTCTCTTATGGATACAGTGGATGTTCTGCCTTGATCGAACAATACTTTTACCGAAGAAATGTGTCCATAAAAACACTTTTACCTGTCTCAATACACAGTACAAATTATTTACAGGGTGTCTTGTGTCATACTCCCTTTCCAATAACATTATTTACATAGAGCAGAAATGAACCAGAGAGGGATGTTTGGGCTGTAAGCATCAATTGCTAGTTCAGAAAATGTTCCTGAAACTTACCACAGTATACGTAACCTCTCAATGTGTTGGATAGACAACAGAAATGCACTGGAATGCATTGACCTCCCCGAGCTTCTTCTTGTTTTACTCAAGTATTTAAAGAATTGCTGGTCAACTCAACTTGAGACGTATTCGCAAGGGCAGGTGGTGTCTTCGGAACCCATTCCTATCACAAGAGGAATACTATTGCTTCACGGCAATTGTTTTAGTCCTTCGCTTTACTGTTTGTCGCTTATAAAAGAGGAAGGTTATCATCTTGAATACCATCAACACAGATCCCCAACACCTCTTCTCACCTCCTTTACATGGGTGACCTTAAACTTTGGCAAAGGAGAATCCACACTAAAGAATAGAAGATTCTCCTTGCCGAGTACTTTTCTGATGATATTGGCATCTCCTTTGGGTTCGACAAATGCAACATTCTTCGTCTGAAACGTGGAAAGGTACAAGAGAGAGGATCGGCTAGTTTACTTTGGGGAGGAATTATTTACCATCTGGTGGAAAGTCGGGCCTATACCTACTTGAATGTCAATGCCAATAACAAAGACAAACTTCGGGCAAAGTACAAATGTAGACTTAAGAAAATCTGGAGTTCAGAGCTGAACGCTCCCAATAACGTCCAAGCCACAGATACTTATGCTGTACCCGTCCTTTCGTATTCTTATGGTGTTGTTGATTGAACGAAACAGAAAATTCAGTGTACATACATTATTTGTCTGATGATCCTCTTGTGAAGCAGGGCGTGACTCATGATGAAAAAGGTATTCCACAGTTTCCTCAAACGAACCAGGGACATGTGACATAATTTCAATGTCAGTGTAGATTTTCGTGATGGCTATTTACTGCTGGGCGGTACAGAAATGAGGGTCAACCAAGTGTCATATCTATTCGGCCCAAACCCATCTCAACGACCTTTGTATCAAGTTTATGTGCAGTGTGTTGAGAGGAACAGTAACCCGTCAGAGTCCATCGCTTGGATGAAGTCGGCTGGCCTGAAAAATGAAACAGAAGGCTTTCTGTTTGCTGCTCAGGACCAGTCACTTCCCACTCGAAACCGACAATGTGTGATTTTGCTTCAAAATGTAAATATGAAATGAACAAAGACATTCCAACACATTATCATTATCATTATTGTTATTATTCAGTTATGTCACGTTGCATTTATATCATATCTAAATATTTCCCTCAGGGGTGTTTCCGGACTGTGGGGTATCTCTGTACATAACCTGGCATCGTTTACTTAAAAGTATTATTATTTAATAGCAATACATCATCATGCAGTATTGATTGGCATTACAAGAGATGTTTGACAGGAATTGTCTGCTTAAAGTAACCGAACATAAATCACACTCTGCAAATATTGCCATGTAAGAAGTGAAAGGCAACACATCCAGCCTCTATAGCGTGGGTGTAAATCATGCACAGGTAAGTGTAGACAATTGCATACAAATTTATGAAGACTATCTGTTTTAGTACTTGCATGCCAGAAATATTCTACATCGGGATCTGAAGCCTCACAATATTTTCCTGACAAGACAGGCTCATGCTAAACTCGGGGATCTTGGCATCGCTCGGTAAGACCCAACGTGTCCATTGTACTGTGTTCATTGTTCCTCTGAGAATAACTGATAAAGAGTGAACATATTTTTAAAATGATTTAAGTCAATGAAATGATAAACGAAGTAGGCTAAAGGATACAAATTTGAATTGAAGAAGTTTCGTGGTAGGAGGTTAGCAGGTCAGCAAGTATTCTATTCGATAAAACATGTTGTGTGGTTGCTATATATATAACGTCAACGCCGACACAGATTCCATTGGGCGTAAAAGGCAAAATAGTGGTAATTATCATATGAATGGATCACTGAAAATCAGTGATGACACCAGGTGTTCCCGAACTAATTAGGATGTCCTGGCCTGCAAACAACTTTCATGTTTTTATAGTTCATGTCAATAAATAAGAGCCCAATTCATCATATGTTTACTTCTATGTCTGAAGTGCTGTTTTGATAATTTTTCTTCAACATATTTCTACTATGTGTATTTCTTTCTGAAAACCTCTTTGATGATATCAACTTGTTTACGTTAGTTTCAGTGTGTGTGCCTCGACCATTTAGAAATAAATATTTTATTCCATACCGTGCTTATGAACTGTGCGTTTATTCCAGGGTATTGGCTCAGCCAGCGGACATGGCCTCCACTGTGATAGGAACTCCATGCTACATGAGCCCCGAGATCTTGATGCAGAAGGGCTATAATCAAAAGGTGATTGTAAATGTCATACTCTTCACCACATTGCTTGTTTGTTGTTTAACGCCGCGCTCAGCAATCTTCCAGCTATTTGACGGCGGTCTGGACCAGACATTACAGTGATTGGCATCATGAGCATCGACCAACGCAATTGGGATACGATGGTCCCATTAGTTGTCTCTTACGACAATCATGGTTTGCGGAGGATCTGGATCTAACATGTGTGGATGAGGTAGTTAGTCACTGCCTTGAATCGTATTGAGGTTATATCATGGCTTGTCAGCTTAGATGAAAGGCCGGAAAGGCAAAAATATTTTGCACTTTGATGAACTGACCGAACACAAAACATGACCAGCAAATCCTAGCCTGGTCAAAAGACGCATCTCTGCATAGCGGATTGCCTTCTAAAGATCACAGGGCCATCTGTATCAATAATAAATTTGCCTGTACCAGCTTACTTTTCCGCGACTTAAATATGTACAGGAATATTGAAATCATTGTATCATTCATTACTGTCACGGTGCCATATATTTGGAGAATACCTTACGAGCTGCGATGAATTAAGGGTGACCTTGGCGAAGAACTTTCAACAGAAATTCGCAAAGGATATATTCTATAGTAGTCCGTGATTTCGAGCTGATGAAAACAGAATTCCTGACAATAGTAAGGCGACTTATATCCGTGTCTCCACGATGTTGCTTCAGGCCGACATATGGAGCTTGGGCTGTGTTCTGTTTGAAATCACGTCCGGGAGGAAAGCGTTTGATGAGGTATCTCCTCTTCTCCTCGTCTACACGGTGTTGGCAGTTGGCGTGAGTTCATACTGATCCTTCCAATTATAGACCCATTTCATTAACAAGCTGCGTTTGCAAAACCATGGAACGCATGGTCAATAATAGATTAACATGGTACTTGGAATCAAATGACTTAATTACAAACATTCAATGTGGTTTCCGTAAAAATCGCAGTACCATTGACCATTTAGTTCGACTGGAGTCATTCGTTAAGAATGCCATTGTAAATAAGCAACATGCAGTGTCTATCTTTTTCGATCTAGAAAAAGCATATGACACTACATGGAAGCACGGTATTTTAAAAGACTTACATGACTTTGGATTGCGAGGCCGTTTGCCTCAATTTATATCCAAGTTTTTATCTGACAGACAATTTCAAGTCCGCGTGGGCTCTACCCTGTCTGATCATTATAATCAGGATCAGGGTGTCCCACAAGGCAGTATTTTGTCTGTCACTTTGTTTAGTATCAAAATCAACAGTTTAGCAAAGGTTTTAAACGATTCAATTGATGGATCGTTGTTTGTGGATGATTTTAATGTTTCTTGCTGTGGTAAGAACATGCATACGATTGAGAGGCAAATGCAACTGTGTTTAAATAAAATCCAAACATGGTGTCTAGAAAATGGCTTTAAACTTTCCAAATCTAAAACTAACTGTATTCATTTTTGCAGAAAATATAAACCTCACAAAGACCCGGAACTAATATTAGATAACAACCCCATTAAAGTTGTAAAAGAAGCGAAATTTTTGGTATAATTTTCGATCATCATTTAACCTTTTTACCACATATAAAATACTTAAAGAATAAATGTCTGAAAGCCCTAGATTTGTTAAAAGTTGTCTCTAATTCCAAGTGGGGAGGGGATCAGAAAACCCTCCTCCAACTATACAGAGCTCTTGTACGCTCTAAACTTGATTACAGCTCCATCATCTATGGTGGGGCTTGTAAGAGCAATTTAAAATTATTAGACACCATTCATCACCAAGGCCTGAGGCTTTGTCTTGGAGCTTTCCGTACTTCACCTCTTCGAAGTTTGTATGTGGAGGCTGATGAGCCATCCCTTCAACACCGACGCATTAAATTATCTTTACAGTATATATCTAAATTACGTTCTACTGAATCCAATCCAGCATATGACTGTGTTTTTAATCCTCTGTACAAAAATCTATACAATAAAAAGACATCTCTTGTTCCACCCCTTGGAATAAGAATACAAACTGATGTTTCTGCTGCCCAAATCAATCTTGAAACCATAGTCCCCACTCGGCTGTTCACTTCTCCACCATGGCAGTTAGTGAAGCCCGAGGTAGACCTAACATTAAGTAAACTAAAGAAATCCGACACAAATCAATTAATTTATCAACAGCAATATAATGAATTACGAAGCATGTATGATACTCATAAATCTATATTTACAGATGGATCCAAGGATGGTGATGCTGTTGTCAGCGCCACCGTCATTGGATCCAGAACTATCTCAACCAGATTACCAGATAACTGTTCTATCTTCACAGCAGAGGCAAGTGCTATTTTAACGGCTCTAAAATACATCAACAGCCAAACTAAACATAAACAGTTCATTATTTTTTCAGACTCTCTTTCTTGCATTCAAGCTATTAAAAACATGTCTTCCACGCATCCACTTTTAATGGAAATTGTTGAATTGTTTAATGAGCTTGCTACTGGCCAATACGACATCGTTTTCTGTTGGTTACCAAGCCATGTTGGAATCACTGGTAATACCATGGCCGATGCTGCAGCTAAAGCAGCACTCAACAAATCTGTGACACCACTTCTGCTTCCATACAGCGATTATAAACCCGTGATGAGATCTTATATCCGTGATCTTATGCAAAAGAAGTGGGACACTCAAGTAGGTAGCAATAAATTACATGCTATAACACCAACCATCGGTTACACCTACTTTGGTTGTCAGTCCAGATTTGAAGAGGTCATTGTACGACGATGTCGCATTGGCCACAGCAGATATACGAATGAATATTTACTTAAAAGTGAGGATCCTCCATTTTGTATCCCTTGTGATGAAAGAATCACAGTCAAGCATGTCCTGCTTGACTGTGTTGATTTTTCCATCACAAGGGATAAATATTTCAAATCATCATCGCTTAAGGATCTTTTTACCAATATTAGTCCTCATTTAATTATTGCATTTTTAAAAGAAATTAAAAAGAACTGATAAATAAATTTTGATGTACATAATTGTTTCTTAATTTGATAGTGTCTAATTGTGAACTGAGATTGTTATTGGCTGTGCCCTTGGCGGGGGTTAAAGTACTGTAAAATTATTGTCCCCCTGAGAGGGCATAGTAAGTCCATATCATTCGAAGTCTGTTATTCCTATCATAGTTTTAATCGTAGAATATATGTTCTTTTAAATTCAGCTAAATTCCCTAATCGTCGCCAACAACTGAAGGGATGATGTAAATCCTGCTGGGGTCCATGCAGGTAGCAAAGGTACTGTAAGTCCCCATGGTCCCCAGTATGGTGATCTACCGTCAGTTGCTGGCGATCTATAGCCCATTTTATAATGTATTGTCCTGTCTAGTGATGTATTTTTATGGTTCCCTGCTAGTTTTACATACTAATCTGTGATAAGTCTAGTTATTTTACTGTCCCTTGTTGACAGGTTTTTATGGTTTACATGTATTTATTATATATAACTTTTGAAAGTCACGATATGGCTGAAATATTGCCGATGTGACTTAAAATCTTAACTCACTCACTCACTCACTCATTTGTTAACATTACTTGCATGGATATACTATGCTTATAACAATGAATGGTTCAATTTGGAGAATCCTTGAAAGGAAGCAGGTGTTGTGTTAATCCAAAGTAATCAAGTATTATAAGAATCCGTGGTATGTTGTATTACTCATCACTGGCTTGTTCCCAATGCAGATTCCCAATAAACATATCTGGGACACAATCGTTCAAATTGTTATTTGGTTTGATTATGTTACGCATATTTTATTATGGTAAATTAAAAAGAACGTTGCTCAGGTCGAGGATAAACTGTGCGTTGTTTAGTGCATATGGAAATAAAATAATATAGTTAGTCTTTTTATGTATAGACTCCCTGGTATAACAAAGTTATGAGGTATAAGAATTAAAGATAATGTCTGAGGGTGGTGTCGTTTATCGTACGATTCGGGGATCAGTTTTGTATTTTTTGGTAGAAAGATATATAGCCATAATCTTAATGGTGGTAAAATGGTGATATAATTGTCTGTAACACTGAATTAAATTGTTCAATCTTGCAGATTCCTCCCATCGACACGTTGTACAGCAAGAATCTGAGAATTGCAGGTTCAAAAATGGTTGACAAAAGGCAGGAGAAGAGGCCAAGTACATCCGAGCTCCTAAGCTGCAGTCCTTTCAGCGACTTCATCAAAAACCCAAAAGAAGTATCTCTATAATTAATTACTTGTGTTGTTTATTTTACAACAAGGAAATAGCTTGTGACTAAGGCACACAACAAACCGATACATTGATGAAATTTGCACACTCACTTCCAAGCCACACACAACACTGTCATCTCAGAGTTGAAAATAAATGTAAAACAGAACTACGACATTTCAGTTATAGTTAATAGACCGTTGTGGTGGCTTATATAAGACCTTTGTGGTGGCTTATATTAGACCGTTGTGATGGCTAATATTAGACCATGGTGGTACATGTATATATTTGACAAAACAACATTTATCACTTTCAGCCCCTCTCTATCATGAAGGAAACGGGTTTCGTGACCAAATGGGGGACAGACCAGTCAGTGTCAAATATACAAAAGTTAATTGAAAGTTTATTCCTGGTTATTTCTCCATTGGGGAAAATTACCATATCCAAAGATTCTTTGGCGAATTACCGGAAGCGGAAACAGAAAGAAAGCCATGTTCAACCCGATGCAGTAGACGCGGATGCTTCTTCGGCGGTAAATATTTTTTGGATTGAACTTAAAAATGAATAATGAATGTTTACGAATATTTTTGAAATACACTGACGTCATTGGCGACCCCTTTTAGTCGCGTTAGGTGTGTTGTATTTTCAGGTATCAGCACCACCTCCGGTGGCTGTCAATCAAGACAAATGGGACAATTACCACGTGAAGATGCCGTGCTCTCCACGCAATGAATATTTTGACGACGACAAGGTGAATACATTGTTTAGGAGAAGATGTAGGTAACTTCATAAATATTCTGCATTTTGGTGATCAAATATGGAGAGGTGCATTGGGACAATACGGAGTACCTTTAATTAGCGTGTCTTCCTAATTTCGCTAGTGTTGTGTTACCATTACATGTAGGTTACGTTACCTCTGATCTGCCTTCATAATCACAATCCCAAATCTCATCTGCCTTCACTACTTCCGAAGTATATCTGCCTTTACTATACACCAAGTCTCATCTGCCTTCACTACATCGCAAGTCTCATCTGCCTTCACTACTTCCGAAGTATATCTGCCTTCACTATACACCAAGTCTGATCTGCCTTCACTACATCGCAAGTCTCATATCTGCCTTCACTACTTCCGAAGTATATCTGCCTTCACTATACACCAAGTCTGATCTGCCTTCATTACAACCCAAGTCTCATCTGTCTTCACTACATCGCAAGTCTCATCTGCCTTCACTACTTCCGAAGTATATCTGCCTTCACTATACACCAAGTCTGATCTGCCTTCACTACATCGCAAGTCTCATATCTGCCTTCACTACTTCCGAAGTATATCTGCCTTCACTATACACCAAGTCTGATCTGCCTTCATTACAACCCAAGTCTCATCTGCCTTCACTACATCGCAAGTCTCATCTGCCTTCACTACTTCCGAAGTATATCTGCCTTCACTATACACCAAGTCTGATCTGCCTTCACTACATCGCAAGTCTCATATCTGCCTTCACTACTTCCGAAGTATATCTGCCTTCACTATACACCAAGTCTGATCTGCCTTCATTACAACCCAAGTCTCATCTGCCCTCACTACATCGCAAGTCGCATCTGTCTTTACTACTTCCGAAGTATATCTGCCTTCACTATACACTTAGTCTCACCTGCCGTCACTACATCCCAAGTCTCATCTGTCTTCACTACATCCGAAGTCGCATCTGTCTTCACTACTTCCCAAATATCATCTGTCTTCACTACATCCCAAATCTCATCTGTCTTCACTACTTCCCAAGTCTCATCTGTCTTCACTACTTCCCAAGTCCCATCTGCCTTCACTACATCCCAAGTCTCATCTGCCTTCACTACTTCCGAAGTCTCATCTGCCTTCACTACATCCCAAGTCTCATCTGCCTTCACTACTTCCGAAGTATATCTGCCTTCACCTATACCCCAATTCTCATCTGTCTTCACTACTTCCCAAATCTCATCTGTCTTCACTCATTCTCAAGTCTCATCTGCCTTCACTACATCCCAAGTCCCATCTGTCTTCACTACATCCCAAGTCGCATCTGTCTTCACTACTTCCCAAATATCATCTGTCTTCACTACATCCCAAGTCCCATCTGCTTTCTATACATCCAAGGACTTATCTACCTTCACTACATCCAAAGACCTATCTACTTTCACTACTTCCGGTGTACATCTGCCTTCAATATGTCCAAACTCAAGTCTGCCTTCACTTCTTCCGAAGTATATCTGCCTTCGCTATATCCAAACTCAAGTCTGCCTTTACTACATTCCATGTCCCCTCTGCCTTACGATGATAGAAATCGCTAATGTTATTATCTGCCCTGGCATTTAGGTCACCTATTACAGTACATTAGATTTTGGTATATTTTGACAGATAGTAAACAGTGTTATAAATAGTCTGTTCCTTTCAACACTCTGGAATCACTCTTGATAGAGTTTATTGGATGTATATAGACACACCCAAACAAAATGTTATGTGGTTATCCACAAAATGGTTTAATCAAGAAAAAGTATAAAAATGTTGTTATTCCAAAATTTTCAGAAGATGTTTATTTGCTTTCTCATTAACACATGATGTGACACCGCATCTGTTTTTGAAATCCCTCTGATTGATAAACTCTGTGTAATGCATCAGTGAGGACGTTACAGTCTCCGTGTGGCATTGTTCCACATTTCCACTAATCCTTTAACATGAAAACTTGAAACAAAATCTTATGAAATTCATTTATCATCCAGTTTATGTTTCAGTCCGTTAACGTTCCCTACGATAAATATTAAGCCAAATCTTGAGTCACCATCTGTCTGTCGGTAACCATTTGACCGGACCACTCCCCTCGCAGCTAGTCGGGCGCGGACCTTACATAAGATCCTAGCCTTGCGCCCTCGTTTTAACATGGTGATACAGTCTGACGACATATCTTATGAATAAACACTGTCCTCAACATTCAACTTGTCAAAACGTAGTAGTGCTTTTAGATCCACCTCTCTGGCTTGACCATGAACGGGAAACGATGCTCACGTTTTTGTCTAACAGTTGGTGACAAATCCTCTGTGATGAACAAGCCAGAATCTGAATCTTAGAGTTTTAGACGCCTCCAATATGCAGTGTCCGTCGTTGACCTTATCGATAATTGCCTTACCCTTGATGATGCGATGTGCTCTCTGTATGCTAACCTTAGTGAGCTCTAAAGCCTCAGTGACAATGTTATTCACAATTTGTTTAGAGTCGGCCCATGAATCACCCAGTTTGGCATGAGGAACACCGTGAAACATTAGACCAGAGCGATTGCTCTGATTTTCGAATAGTCAATTCTCCCATCCATACACTTGGTCAAGCCTCTCAGTTTAGTATTTCTCTTCTGCAGCTAGGTATATCGTGCAATTGTGTTTCAGTGTATCTTCAATTTCAGCCAACTTGGTAACAAGACTATCATTTGAGCAGTGTAAAGTACCAAACGTGCGCGATATGCCCCACACTTCATCACCATTCATTGTAAAGTTGTTTCACTCACTTGAGATGGACGTTTCATCTGCCTTCCCTTCATGCCAAGTCCTACATCCTAAGTCTGACCTGCCTTCAAGATGTCCTTATACCAAATCTGATCCGCCTGCATCAGTAACTAATTATACCTTGCTGTCGCTATTAGGGAGGTTCATCATCATTCAGAAGACGATGGGATTTGATACACGAAACATTAAACAAGTCCTTCGCAGGCATAGACGATCTTGAGGTATGTCCAGTTTAGATACTTGTATACGAGTATACTGGTATAGAGTATGTGCACGTGTGAACCTTGTCCTATTTCTCGTGCCTGTGTTGACTGGAAAGGTGTTAATCGCTGTCATGATCAGTTGTACATAATTCTCGTATGACGTGGCATAGCAGGGATACTTATGTGTGGTGTCAGGCAAATAACACATACGTTTTTATGCAAATTGTGTGATTGGTGGGTGTTACCTGTACGGCAGGACATGCTTACCCTTTAAGCGAACGCCTGGTGTCATCACTGAGTATCAGCGATACATCCACATAAGTTTCACAGCTATTTTGCCTTTTACGCCCAATGTAATCTGTTTCGTCTGATAGGCGAGACTGGCTCTTCTCCTTCGTTGTCGTTTTATATTTACATGCATCTACTACCACGTATGTGTTTTAACATCCAGACTATCGCGTTATTCTTCATATTTATAGATTCATTTTAAGGTTCATGACATTAAAACATAAAGATCCTAAATCCGAATAACATAGAGGCAAACTATTGCTAAAAGATATACCTTTATATTGCAAAGCAAATAAATACAATGAACAGGTATCTGTAAACGAATTCCATACAGGCATTCTTGGACATTTTCAGAGGTTATTTTGTTGCTTCGCATTTAAGGGCCAACCATTTGATGTTCAGGGATATTCGCGTGATTGTTTTTAAGTTTAAAGAATACTGTAATCCAGAAGAAAATAAATGAAGCAAAAAAGGTCAACCAAAAAAATAAATTGTTCCTTGGTCCTGAGACTAAAACGTTCCCAGAAATATATGTTTGAAGCATTGACTGAACAAATGTCCTGTCTCAAAGAAATATCCCGGCCACCCACCCAATCCTCATGAACATTAAATTGTGTACACAATGGTAAATTGTATGTCATGCATAGCAGTGCATATAGTATGTCATTATCTGTAGTGCATTTATTACAACATATAATAGAAGATCATTATTTGAAGAATATGTTTTACGGTATATAAGTACGCTTGATAGTATGTCATTATGTATTCCAGTATGATTGTATAATATGTAGTGCATGTAATACAGTATCTGACTTACAGTATGATGATACACCATAATATGTTTAGTACAGTACTTGTATTACAGTATGATAATACACCATATATGTAGCGCATGTATCATCATTGTACGTTCTTTTTAAACATCGGAGCCTCGTTTCCTTACTCACCCACATCTGAATTTGTGTTTACTTCAGAAAGCCATCAACATCATCAACAAGGCAAATGCTGTGAGATCGAGGTTTACGTCACTCAGACACTTTTTGACAGATGTAAGTAACAAACGTACTTACTTACTTGCTTTATAACAATATAAAGAGCCAAAGAGACCGACCGTTTGATTGTATGATGGGGGCCAGAGATTTTTTCCGAAAATATTATTAATTTTGTTGCTGCATACTGATTATTTGTACATCTAGAATATGCATTGGTGATAATGTATACTATGTTTTTGTTGTTTAACGCCGCATTGTAACTAATCGAGTCTGGAGAAGACAACCAAGTGATTGATATTATGAGCAATGATCCACGTCACCATCCAAGTCACCGAGCCTGACCACCCGATTCATTAAGTCGCGTCTTAGACCAACATAGGGTGCAAGGCTTAAATTGTAACCTGGATTTCACACGGGATTCGTGTATACGAAGTCACTGTGTGAATATAGGTGATATGTTATGTTTTAAATAACACGACTACAAAATTTTACTTGAAAGTTAACATGTGATAATAAAATGCACCTCTCCATTCAAACACACTGTGTCAGAGTGTCTAAATGAAGATATTGTTTTATTATGTGACATTGTCAATAGGTCTTTGTCATTTTTACATTTCAGTGTATTACTGAAAAAGATCTTGATGAATTTCTGACCACGACATTGCCGAACATTAGAGATCTAGCTTTGGCGCTTCCTACTCTCTTCCACGAGGTACACAAATGAAGCATTGCTTTTATTAATGACTTCATCGGAAATTTTAGTAGAAGTGTTTTGTGCATGGTCATTGCCCGGTGTATTGATAAAAAGCATATTAGTTACCCCCCTCATACGAAATGAATATTATTACAATGGCCGTCTTCAAACCTTTGTGATAATCAATGACCAAGTCACTCCTTCAAGGCTTTTCGTAGTAAAGGGTATTTTGGTTCTATGAATGTACTCACCAGCAGAAACAACATCTTCTTAGTCCAATGTGTGAAGCCCATTGATATTGCGGGAATATTGCTAAAAGCGGCGTATAACCATACTCACTCACTCAGTCTTCTTAGTCATTGAGAAACGCCATCATCCTTTGGATATAATATACTTACGGTAAACACTTAACTGTGAATATATAAAGTGTTATAAATGTAATGCTATTGGAAATAACAAAATATTATTTGGACATTCATCTGATAAAAGTTTATCGTAACACATTTATTGACAAAACCCATCCCCGAAACGCTCTAAAAGGGGAGTTGTGTAACAACCCAATTAACAATAAACAATGACACAAACGTTTTTTTCATGAGCACCTGATAGCTAACCATTATTATATGCTGTTCATATTGCAAAAACACGTGTGTGAGTATTATGCTCCCAACGAACACACAAACATCCCAACTGTGCGTAGTGGATAAACGCACACATGCAAGGTCGAAGAGATGTCTTCATGAATATGTATTATAAGACGTATTATTAAATTTCAAAATATATTTATTGTTATTGAACTTTATTTGAAGCACAGTAATTATTTTTCGTTCATATATAGTTTAATATAATTATTCACATAGATTTCGGTACACAGACGTTGGGAAATGTGACTGTATACTATTTATCATTCGGAAACGGTAGGTCATATAGTAATTGCTGTGGCATTAGTGACAACAATAATGTCAAATGCAATTTTGACTTGAACCATCATGTTTCTGTGGGTTTTTACACAAGTGAAAAATGTACTTGCCTTTGCACCGGTGGAGCTTGATACGCTATTTGATAGTGCTTTATTAACACATGCTTTTGATATGGTCTGAACAGTACAAAGGACTCCGCTTTTGGTGGATATGTCTCATGATAACGGAATGTTTTGCTTTAATTCCAGCCAATACCCTTGTTAAAACAAGGGAGTAAGAAGAGCATCACCTTGACTCAGCATCAAGTTGCCTGTCTATTGGCTAATGCCTTCTTCTGTACATTTCCACGGAGGAACTCCCAAGAACCACAGAAGGAATTTTGCAATTACCCAGACATTAACTTCAACAGGTAGGTGGAATGACTTATACTTCCAATAGCAGCAGATACATGGACGTGAAATATTTATAATATTTTTAGTGGTATTTTAGAAGCTTCATGGATTATATGTTTTTATTATGTCATTGTGAAGATTTTAAAAAATGCTTATGATATGGTGGGAATCGTACAATGGACTTTTAGTAGATACTTCTTATAATTTTGTCGCTTTTATGTATATGAACTAACTGCGTTTTTTCTTTTTAGACTGTTCCAAGATCAAAGCAAACGGAGGGATGAGAAAATTAGATGCATCCTGCACTACTTCATGCGAGTCACACAGCAAAGTATATTTTATCCTATTTACATTCATTGAATTAATAAACTAGTTGTAACTATGGATTCTTGAAGTAAATGCAAAGTCACAACAGAGCACATTGCCACGGAGAAAATAGCCAACTACATGTTTAACAATGCAGGATTCTTCACGTGTATGTGCGCATTTTTCGGGGTATTTTTTTCAAAATGGAACTGAAACTTAAACCTGGCCCCATGTCGTTGTGATTTATAATACTGAGTGAGTGAGTGAGTGAACGAGTGAGTGAGTGAGTGAGTGAGTGACATTCGAAATGGGATTCACACATTGTACCCATCGTACCAGTGGGGAATCGAACCTGGGCCTTTGGTGTCATGCTTCAACCCCTAGGCTACCCCAATGATGCCCTGTGAATATTATTGGTATCATTTCAGTGCCTCAGGGCAAAGTGACATATCGCCGTCAAGTGATTGACAGGTTCCCGAAGTGGGAGGAGCTACAGACAGGACTGTCTAAACTGACCTCGTCATCAGACGGCACAATAGAGGACAGCGGGCAAGGAATGCTTCAGGTACACTATAGAATAATTTTGTAGTTTGAACTTAACACGATATACGGCTATTCCATTGGACGAGAGGTCGGTCACATGACCGCGAAATTACGTTCAGAAGTGCACGAACGACACAATTTGACGTTCATACGTCTTTCACGAGACCGTGTTCTTCAAATGACGTAAACACTGACGGACTACTTCCCAAGCACGAATACATAGAGAAGCGTTGTTTCTTATCAATAAAACTTTAATCTTGAACTCAGCGTTTCAGTATACATTGAGTAACGTCAGAGAGTTTAACTGCATGATTGTTCACGAATATCCTCGCTACGATCCATCCTAGTGAACAAAATGAAGAAATGCACATCCCAACTATTAAGCCATGGGCTACTTAGGTCCACCGTGCATCCCCCCACCTCCCAACAACACCTACTTTTTCTGAAGCCTCAGTGTGTCCTGAACATGAAATCATATGTTAACATTGAAAATATAGGGATTCACTTCCTGTTTTCATCATATTTGGGGAGGTACCCTCTGTGAGCTTCAGTTGCCAGTCGCATGTCAGTTATCTTATCCAATGTGAGTTCCAACTACCACATTTAAGTTAGCACACCAATTGAAGATAATCACTATACAATGTGTTTACGTCTTTACGCATCTGAAAATACTTTGCATCGATCCTGACAACAAGTCAAACCAACTTAACACCGCAAAGAAACGGGCAGTAGGATTTCACTGTGTGTTTTTGGAATGTTAAACCATATACTTATCATTGTTTTGTAATAATTATTTGACATTAAGTATAAAGTAAAAATCATTCGTTTGGGTTAGTTGCGGTAAGCTTACTACATATAAAACTAAATATTTATAGTATAGCTTCCCCTGAAAGTCAAAGCACTCAGGTGCATATGTAATTACTCTACTTTAACTACAATATCTCTGTGATGCAAGTTCTGTTTTCAATACATGCTGTCCATCCTCTATATCAAAGAGATCGTTGCCATGGATGTTGTCAATGATAATGTCCATCCTCTATGTTCAGGTTATGTTAATATGGATGTTGTCAACGTCAACTGTTCATCCTCTATGTTACATGTTCTGTTGCCATGGATGTTGTCAACGTCAACTGTTCATCCTCTATGTTACATGTTCCGTTGCCATGGATGTTGTCAACGTAATGTGTCCATCCTCTATGTAACATGTTCTGTTGCCATGGATGTTGTCAACGTAATGTGTGCATCCTCTATGTTACATGTTCTGTTGCCATGGATGTTGTCAACGTAATGTGTCCATCCTCTATGTTACATGTTCTGTTGCCATGGATGTCGTCAACGTCAACTGTTCATCCTCTATGTTACATGTTCCGTTGCCATGGATGTTGTCAACGTAATGTGTCCATCCTCTATGTAACATGTTCTGTTGCCATGGATGTTGTCAACGTAATGTGTGCATCCTCTATGTTACATCTTCTGTTGCCATGGATGTTGTCAACGTCAACTGTTCATCCTCTATGTTACATATTCTGTTGCCATGGGTGTTGTCAAGGTAATGTGTCCATCCTGCTTGTTACAGGTTCTGTTGCCATGGATGTTGTCAACGTAATGTGTGCATCCTCTATGTTACACGTTCTGTTGCCATGGATGTTGTCAACGTAATGTGTGCATCCTCTATGTTACATGTTCTGTTGCCATGGATGTTGTAAATGTAATGTGTCCATCCTCTATGTTACAGGTTCTGTTTGCCAATACCCACATCGGGGGTTCGTTATATAAGTCCTTTGTGGGTCAGCAACAAGCTCGACTCTTCATGTGCCCCGAGATGATCATTGCGCGTCTCTTCACAGAATCCCTGGGGGAGGACGAGTGTCTCTTTATGACAGGTCAGATAAATTTGTTGTAGCATTCTTTTATTTGCTCTGCGTGTTTATCCCATCGAATGTTTCTTTCTTTCTTTGTTGTTTAACGTGGCCATCGGCAAAATTCAAGCCATATGACGGCGGCCAAAAATCTGGACCAAACAATTCAGTGATTGACACCAAGAGCATCGATCTATTGGAATACTATGACATGCATCAATCAAGTCAGCGATCCCGACTATCAGATCCCACTAGTCGCCTCTTAGAACAAGTATAGTCGCCTGTTACGGTAAGCATGGGTTGCTGAAAACCTATTCTAACGCGGCAATTCACATGTTTGTTTCGTATTTTAATGTCCCTTTCTTAATCTCATCATATGAACTGACAAAGCATATATTTTCATGAGATTCACAGCGAAAATGTTAACTATTGTAGATATCGAGATAAGATGAACATATTTGATAAAAAAAGATGTATGTTCTATCCCACTCTCCTTCCCAGAGTTACATGTAGTAAGCTTTCTACCTCTACCACAGGCGAGTGACATGTGAGGATTCGTCACATCCTACACAGTCCATTCAATATATTGCATAATTATGTATTTCATCTTTTTCACTTTTGACGAGTCCTCACATGTAGATAAACATATGACATAGAATTGTTAACTTTAACTGAGAAAATATCCTAATACGTGAAAAAATATTTCCATTTGCGTTTTTATCCTGTGTTAACATTGGTTGTACTCCTTCGCGTGCTGTTGTCGAAGTACTGGCGATGCATCAGGATATATCGCCATGCACCTCAATGTCGCAATGGCAGCAGCATATCTATATAATTGTGCAAAACAATATGTAAAGCCCATTGAAAGGCTTTCATTTGGCCTTTCTGTTGTTCTGATTTCAGAATTTGCAATATTCAGAAAAATTCAGAATTGTCTTTTTACAAATAAGAGAATAGTCAGGTCACGCCATGTGCAAATTAGCGTGTGGCAATGGTATATTTCTAAAGTCATCACTGCTCCGAAGTGAGGTTTGTCTATCACGTATGTTCTTGCTGTTTTTCATGATAACTTCCAGTGTCAATGAGGAGGATTGAAAGAAGTTCCAACATCCAGTGTTGTTTCACGCGAGTGCAATATCGGCTTCAGATAAATATAGCATCACCTCACTAATGGGATAATATTTTCAGTGTATTACCTTTGCTTTGTGCTCTAAGAATATAAAGTTCCCTGGTACCTGTCATTGAAGATGCACTGTGACAGTACTACCAAATGTTATATAAATCGTTCCAACACCACCTTGTTGACTGCTAGCCTTTTTTGTATTTTTTAATGTAATACATCTGACAGTTAATTATGTCTCACAAATGTCACTGATGACAACGTTGAGGCCTTGACCGGATATGGTTGGTTGGTTTGTTGTTTAACGCCGCACTCAGCAATATTCCAGCTATATGACGGCTGTCTGTAAATATTGGAGCCTGGACCAGACAATCCAGTGATTGATATCATGAGCATCGATCCACGCAATTGGGATCGATGACATGCATCAACAAAGTCAGCGAGCCTGACCACCCGATCCCGTTAGTCGCCTTTTACGACAAGCATAGTCACCTTTTACGGCAAGCATGGGGTGCTGAAGACCTATTCTGATGTATGCAGTGATGCAGGTCGTTACCAATTTGATGAAACCCTAGAGCACGGGTGCTGTCAAACCTGGAAACATGATCGGAGCGAACCGGGATTCGAACCCATTATCATTGGTTTCTGGCGTTCCCAAGGGACGCAACACTGCACAGCGAATTGTGATGACTTAGACGACTGCGCCACTCGTACCTCCTGGTATAAATTTGGTAAAGAAAAAACCAGGTTAAAGTACCTTTAATAACAATGGATTTACCTCTAAACAATATTGTGTGATGTTTTTTTCTCGACGTTGCAGGCTGCGAGGTATTCAGTATGTGCGCTGGTTTGGGGGACACATTCACGTGGCTTGGAGATCGACAAGACATGACGACAAGGTAATTAGTCCATTGAGCAGATGAGTAGCAATAGCTGCTGGTTTGTGGAATGATGATGATGATGGTGATGATGATGAAGATAATGGCGGTAATGGACGTGGTGGTCGTTTTGATGTGTATCTGGCACAGTATCAGTATTGATGTAGATCTAGCGGGATGATGAGTGAGTGAATGTTTTTAACGCCGCTTTTAAGTGATGCGGGTCTTTGACATTTAACACGAACACGGGTATACATTGTATACATGGTACTGACAAAAGTGGAGACATAAGGTTTCTGGCTCACTCGAGGGACACAGCGAATTGTGGATCCTACTGACAGCACATGGATGATGATGTGAATAAAAGCGATAAAACGTCTTAGGAAGCCTCTGCCAAAAGCAGAGTCGAGTGAACTGTTACGAGTATATCATGCATATGAGCATGTGTTTACGAATCACTTTCAAATAGTTATGCTACTAGGCGTTCGCAATAAGGCGAGCACCGGTGGCACCCGTCACAAACATGTAAATTGTAAATTGTTTACCTGAACAAAAAAACACGGGAGCATAAGGTACAAGGAATTGCATCGGACATCGGATGGGCAAAATTGGGAAATGTCCTCCACATGTCTACCATAACTTTTTGAAAGCTTTATAGATGCCTTGAATGTTTTAACCTCGATCAAAGAACTTCCTTGAGCATGTACGTTATGGGAATCGTGTAGATGGGATTGGAGACGTAATGATAGATATGTTTTTTTTCCCACTTTACATTAAGTAACCAGCTTCTGATTGGTAAAGGAGCGGGCAATTATCTTCAATGAAGCCCGTTCATGTAGCTCCCTCAAGTATCGTTGAGTTGAAATGAACCGATGTTCATTCGATATCATTGGGTAAAGGGAAGTAACTCGGTTCTTAGCGTCGTCTGCTACGAGTAGTGAAATTGCGGACATATATTCGGGACCCATATGAATGTCGGTACATGAATTCGTTGTCAGCCGATCCCTAGAGGCATATGGTGTGATGTACTCAGTGTGAGAGCCGATTCGGGGCACATACGCTCACACAGGGAACATCACACTATATACCCTTCGAGATCGGTAGACAACTTATAATGTACACACGTTATAGTACTGGTGTGTTTTGATGGGGCCGATTGTGGACATTTTGATTACGTCATTACAGTTGACATTGGTGATAGATTTGAGAAGCATTCTTTGGCAAGGTAGTGGTCGATTTATGTTCGATGATGGGGTAATACATTTGTTTTCAGAGACGAGGACGGGCATCGTCAGACTCAAATCGTAGCTATTGACCCTCTCCACATCAAGAACTACAAAGCCCAGTTCAAGAAGGACTGTTTGATTCGGGAGCTCAATAAGGTAACAAAGTAATCAGATAGGTTCGAAAAGGTAATCTGTCGGTTGTCTTTCGACATACTGCATGTAACAATATACATTTTCGAACAAGGGAAATTTACGGATATTTTCCTTGGACAGATTATTTTCTTCAGGAAAGCCCCGTCACAGTCTCCCGCACCGGAAGACAGAAAGATAATTATTATTTTATTATATTTTTTTCCTGTAAATATGACGGTATTCATATCCAAATATTGACTTCATCATGTGCGTCTCCTTGAACATTACGAAACCAAATGAACTTTGCTTTATGATGAATTATCTTTCTGGCTTCCTCAGCATGTTAAATGTTTTTTTCGGGGGAATAGCAAACTGGAATTGCACGAATCCAGCAATATGTACACGGATTATTATGGAGTTTTGGAATTCATAATGAAAGAGGAAAGGGCATGCCTTCAAGTCAAAGGGGCATAGTACTGATGCATGGTTTGGGCAGATTTCTTCCTCAGTTAATTATAACATACTGGACTTTATTTATGGCATTATTACATGTGTCACTTACACCAAATATCTTAATCGAACTGTTAATGTAGTGTTGCTATCATAAACTGGTTTCGCTATTTGAGGCCTTGTCATTGGGAACAACTTCAAACGTTTAATGTAGGATAGCAAGACTTTGGAAAACATTTGATTGGGGCAGTCATCATCAAGTCGTACTTATTAGCCTAGCGTAACCCGTGGCCGGGAATTCTCTTTCCGCATATATCAGCAGCACAACATCATCATTGAACGTATCCTTTAAAACAAACATTTAACTGGGTAAACATTGTACACTGTGTCCTGTCATTTTGTTACACACCACTTACATACCTTTTTTGTATAAAATAGCCGCTCCATGGCTACCGCCCCATGTGACCCGTGAAGATCCGGGGTAGAATAGGTCTTCAGCAACCCATTCTTGCCGTAAAAGGCGACTATGCTTGTCGCCAGAGGCAACTAACGGGATCGGGTGGTCTGGCTCGCCGACTTGGTTGATGCATGTCATCGTATTCCCATTGCGTGGATTGATGTTCATGATGAAAATCAATAGATTGTCGGGTCCAGACGCGATAATTTACAGTCATATAGCTGAATATTGCTGAGCGCGGCTTTAAACAACAACGAAAGAAAGAAACAAACTTGTAAATGTTTCTGCTTGAAGGCCTATACTGGATTCTTTAATGGCGATGTCCCCCCTGCCCAACTGCCGTGGGTGGTGACGGGCAACTGGGGATGCGGGGCATCAGGTGGAGACAAAAGACTGAAAGGTATGTTCTATTACACCTCATCTTCCCGAGGCAAGAGAGTTAGCTGACGGAAACTGGACTTTGAAAGTCAGTTAACTCTCTTGCCTCGGGAAGATGATTACACCTATGTCTTATGACGAACACTTCTCCCCTGCAGTATGATATGATTGCAGAGATAGCGCGTTGGCAATGCCCTTGCTGACGTAGTGTCATCAGTTTTCTTTTCTTTCGCAGAGATGACGCATTTGAACTATTCCCATTTAAGCTGTGTCCTTATTGGTGCATACACTGAAAATCTCCTCACTTAAGCTCATAATCATATCAGTATTATTTTACGGAATACGTTTTACATGTCAGTGGCTGCACCGAAGTACATCTTTCATATCATTGGTATAGTGTTATAATTAAGTGTATAGATAAAAGTTTATTAGATATACTTGATTTTCCTTTGAAATGACTTCTCAGCAAAGAAGAGAATTTATGGATTTCAACTTGTTTATTATGAGGAACACAACGTTTCGGAGTATATGCTTACTCCTTCATCAAGTGAAGTTGAAGAAGGCGTTAGCATCTTCACCTGATGGAGGAGTAAGCATATCCTCTGAAACGTTGTATTCCTCATAATAAAGAAGTTGACATCCATGAATAGATAAATTCTCTTCCTTGTGTGTATCACTTAGTCTTCTAAATGCCTTTCAAAGAATTGACATCTCAACGTTCAACGCATGTACTATGAATACTCAAGAGGTTTCACAATCGATGTTTAAACAGTAAAATAAAACTCGAATTGGGAGTTGCCTTTTAATGTTGATTAAAAAATAGCAAAAATGCATTTGCACATGTGAATACTTTGTTTATATTCAAATAAAAGCGACAATAAAAACAATTTCATAATCATAAGAAATCTCTTATGAGCATGTGTTTACCTTTATTTACCTTTATGTTTAGCTTTAATACAAATGCTAGCAGCATCAGCAGCACAGAGACACTTGTCATTCATGACAGCAGGGGACGATGAATTCAGAGACGAGCTGTTGGAGATACACAGATATCTGTCGGACCGTGACTTCACTGTTGGTGAGATTATTGAAATTTTCGTCTGCAAGAAATGAAACGCACAGTTGATAAAAAGACATTTCAAAAGAAGATTCTGTTGATGGAAAGTTTGCATTGCTAAATGGAAGTAAATGATTTAATATGTTATGTTATTTCATACTGATAAAGCGTCATAACACGATTATATTGTTTTTGATAGAGTTAATATTGAAGGCCATTGATATTTTATGATCCGTTCTCTTGGCATCTTCCCGAGGCAAGAGAGTTAACTGGCTATAAAAGTCCATTTTCCACACTTGCCATGCTGGTATTATGGAGTTACATTTTGGCTGGACTAACGAGTCTATGCATAGTCCAATGAAAATCTCGCAACGAAATCGAAATCAAGCTCGTAAACTGTCATGCAGATTTCGTTCGATTGCAGGATTTGCAAAGCATGTGCACCGCCAACTCGTTGTCAACAGACATTTTCCAAACTTTTTCATGTTTTTAATCAAGGTGCCCACGTGATTTGATGTATTTCGCGAAGTAAGACCCGTTTTATGACAATATATATTTGATTATCGAACAGAATCGTCTTGACTGGGCGTCGCCATTTTGTTTGAATCAAATTTTTGTGACAAAGACAACTTGTAAGTTGATGAAAATGTGCGTTTGAAGGCGGTATACACAATACATGTACCAATGTTAGGCAAAAGTTGGATTACACATGTATATATAGATATGTGTGACGTCAGACGGTGAGTGCACGAGGAATGACGTAATACATTGTGCACCTCGGCATGCGGTTATTATATACACAGCGGAACAAGCCGATTAAACTCGGAATGTTTTACAAATTGCAACGCCATCTGGCGTTCTTTATTATCAACGTCCTTTCGTGCTCACTGACGTTCTTTATTGAAAACGTCCTTTCGTGCTCTCTGACGTTCTTTCGTACACATTGTTCTTTCTTTTCCTATGACATCTTTTCGTAACATTTGACTATTAATATTGTTTTGTATATTGACCTTTAGTAGTAACATTTAGTTCTTTATTCGTAATATTTGACCTTAATTGCGTACTTTGTCCTTTTTTTCAACTTTATATTTTTTGACCGAATGGCCGCCCATACACGTGCCTTACAAATCCTGCAATCAACCGAAATCTGCACGTTGAAATCCATGTTGTTTACGAACGGGATGTCTCGTTCGTTTCGCGATTTTGATTGGACTATGCATAGACTCGTTAATCCAGCCGAAATGTTATTCGGACGTTTATAGTCAGCTACGCCCTTACATCGGGAAGATGGGCTGTCAACGTTGCCCAGAACACAATGTCCCGGCTTTGGGAAGGCCATACATTGTTCGTTGGCGTTGTTTCACGTCAGCGTAATCGACTATGGCTGCTACAGTAGTGTTGATTACATCATCAGTGGCTGACGACTGCCGTGCCACATATTTGGATTTTTGGTATGTTTTGGGGGTTGGGTTAGGTAATAATGGGTCAGGTTCATGTCGGCCTGTAAATATCGAGTCTGGTTCATGGAACCAGTGATTGATATTATAAGCAACGTGCCTCGCCGTCGGTGTTCAATGACATGCAATCATCCAAGTCCCGGAGCCTGACCACCCGATTCATGTAGTCGTCTCTGACGGCCAACATACATTGTATGTTGCTGGAGCATCTATGCTTACACCGAATTCCCACAGGTTTCATGCCAATATGACTGTTTTATTAATGAATTACCCCGTGAGGATCCCGGCGAAAAATGGTCTTCAGCAACACATGCTCGTCTTAACGGGATCGGCAGGTCAGACCGTATTCCAATCGTGTAGATCGATGTACATGATGTCAATCACTGTTTTCTTTAGCACAATCAGGGACACTGCTATCTATTTTGATACTATGAGTCGGAAAATACACGTTGACGTATCTGCTGTATTACACATCCGTTCCGTTGCAATGTCAGAAGGATATTGCATCTTAACCATGTTCGAAGTTCGAGGAAAATAGGTAGACAGTTTAGTACATTTGAAAGCGGAATACAATAATGTCAATGTCAAAGGTTCGTATTATAAGTCCCAGCTGAAATGTGAGGTGACTGAGTGAGCTGGTAGTTGGGTTGGATTACATAGTATTGAATTTATTTATTTATTTATTTATTATTCATGTGTGGATTAAAGCATCTTCGTAAAGAGGTGACCAGGTGCATATGTTCCGCTGCCTGACTTCTTGCATCCGCCAGTACCCCTCTAACGTCTAAGGGTGGTAGGATAGCCTAGTGGTTAAAGCGTTCGTCCGGGGTCAATTTCCCACCTGGATACTATGTGTGAAGCCCATTTCTGGGGTCCCCTGTCGTTGACATTGCGGGAATATTGCAAAAAGCGGCGTGAAACCATACTCACTCACTCTAACTTTGGAAAAATGAACATGTTAAATATGATAGAATCCTGGAGTCCAAAAGGGTTGAAAAATCGAGGAAAACAACTGTAGGCATTATCTGTAACTCCTCCATGGTCATTCCACTAATTATGAATTCAATTTCAGGACAAATTTTTCAACTCATCCACGGCTATCACCAAGAGATCATCCACCAGAAAATATTTCGGCCTAGAAGAAATGTGTTTCAGTTCATTATGTCTTCTAAAGACTAGTTATATAGCAGTGGATTCCATAATGAGGGCTTTTGAAGGCTTCCTGTAACACCTTGTCTGGACTGATGAATATTCACACGGGTTTTCCATGAAGGCATGTGCCTGCTGCTGAAGATGTCCACGCGGGTGTTTTTTTTGGACAGATGATGTTCACACTAAGACCACACACACAAAGTGTTTCTCATCAATTCCCGATTTTTGAAATAGCAAGGTTAAAATAGTTCGTTGTTCTATTTTTATGGCCACATTAGTGTGTACACGGTCTCGTGTTCAAACAGCCAATGGAAGAAGACACCAGATAAGAAGAGACATTGTTTAATTCCAAGAAGGAAAGGGTGGAATATAATGTTTTCATCATGGCGATCACACAGTAAGGGAAAGATAACTCTAACTGAAGACTCTAATTTAAAATGACGAAACCGGGAAAAAACGCATCGACCAGCTGGGTTCAACATGACCCGGACGGAGATGAGAAACATTTTTTTGGTTTTGTGTTAGTTTTGGTCTTACGCCTTGTAATTGGAATTTACAGTTGGGGCGTTTTAATCAGGCTCCGTCCCTTTTCACAATGACAGATGTCTAAAGGAGTCAAACCTATTTACAGCCAACATGGGACCCATTCAGCGTTGATATTATTAAAGTTCTGATAAAATGTCATGGTGGATTAGATTTCGGCCTTGACTGATTTGGATGAAATGTAACTTGGTTTCCTACTCACAAGAAAGGAAACATGACGGTGACGATTTGAATTGCTCACAATCATTCATTTATGGACTGATATATGTATTTGAAATAGCTTGTATATAGTAATAAAGTCAAGTCCCGTTAATCCGACATGTTTGGTTGCAGATGATTATGTCGGATAAGTAGTATCACCGTTCGTAATTGAAAATCGGACAACTACACGATGGATAACGATCACTATTATTATTGAGTGATTTTGGTAATTCGTTGCGAATTAGGTGTGTCGGAGTAGGAGTGCAAGACTGCCGGATTAACGGGTCTAAATATCACTGATTTAATCCGTTCCCATCATTAGTGTCGGATAAAGCCGATTGTCGGATTAACGAGTGTCGGATTAACGAGACTTGACTGGATGTGTGAGTGAGTGTCCTTGCAGTCATCCTCTCGTTTGCCTTATCCAAACTCGGGTATATGCAGAAAGTCGTGACATTACTGGACTATTGCTGATTGTGGGGAAAATCAGCATTCAGTAACTCACTATAAGATTCCTTGTTGAAAAATCGAACTATAATTTATCGATATCCGTAGATGCTGTACAGCTGCAAGATTTCACGTGATGGCTAGTAACCAATCTGGATTCTTTGTCCACGCCCAGCCCAGCTGTTCCCTGTCCTGTTACGTGTGCAAAAAGCAGAAAAAACATCCATACATTTCATGACAGACATGCAGGATAAACATCATCTTCCGGAGGCAAGAGAGTTAACTGACTTTAAAAGTCCAGTTTCCACCCTTGCCGAACTAGGCTGGAATTCCTGGGCTCTATCGTAGCGACACCAGTGGCTATAACGAGTTATGTCCCTTCTAAGCCTCTCTTTTGGACCAGTCAGATTCCACATCTCGTAACATTTGCATTTGCTTCAAACAAAACAGTGGCGCCCAGTGAAGACGATCTGATCGATAATCAAGGTCTATGTTGTGATAAAACGGGTCTTACATCGCGCAATGCGTGAGCACCTTGATTAAAAACATGAAAAGATTTGGAAAATATCTGATGACAACGAGTTGGCGGTGCACATGTTTTGCAAATCCTGCAATCGACCGAAATCTGCACGACAGTCTACGAACCGGATTTCGATTTCGTTGCACGATTTCGATTGGACACGTTAGTCCAGCCAAAATGTAACTCCATTATATCAGCTTAGTTTGGCAAGGGTGGAAACTGGACTTTTATAGTCAGTCAACTCCCTTGCCTTGGGAATATGGATAAACATGTAACATACATGGCTTTCTTCTGAAGCAAATAGCAGACTTGTGCAATTGATATTTGATTATTCCACCTTCCTGGCACCCAGTACATACACAGTCAAAGAGGTCTGACTGTGTGGGTTGTGAACGCGTAACGGCGTAAATGATTGTATGTGTCAATTTCCTTAGATAATTATGGTGAAGTTTTCTTTGGATGTATTATTAGTTGCTAATAAATGTTTTGACCAATAAATCCGAATTTTGTGTCATGGAACCGATCACTGGAACTTGGGTCCCAGTGGCCTACCACTATTCACTTGTCCACTCATTCTCAATAATCCGGTGTATCATAACTCCTTTCTATAACCACACTGGAACCGTTTACTACCATGGGTTCGCTAGATCTCGATTCGAATGGCACGACGCTAAGCATTAGCTGCCCAGTCATATAACACTGTAGATGAACGTGCGACACTTTGGGCGCGTTGCAAGCCACGAACCGCTAAGAGAAAGCAAATTAATCGCTCATCCCGGTGTCTGCAACAGTTCGAAGCGCTTGCGCACTCTTCCAAAATGGCGGCGCAACTAGCGCTTGGTTGCCTTGACGTAATGAAGAACGTAATAGAAGAGGCTCGATGACGAGCTGATGGAATTTATGATTACTTTGAAGATGTAGAGCAGGCTGATGGGGATGGATGATGGGGTGTTGGCTGCCTTTGCTCATTTCCTCGTTGATCCAGTCAATAATTTCTTGTTCCGCTGTCAAAGTAAGCCGCCATTTTGGTTTGAGAACGAAGCGACCTCAGCCAGCGATTGTTTCGCTTGCAAGCGGCTGAAAGTTAGCGCACTGTTGTAAGGCGAATCGCTGTACATCGCTTGCAAGCGATTGGCGCTTTGCAACGCACCCTTTGTGCTAAGTTGTGATGACAGGGAGGGACATAGTGACGTCACTTCCAACACAAAGCCACAATAGTGATTGGGTCCAGGGCCCACTTGCACAAAGCGATCTTAGCGCTAAGATGATCTTAACTCCCATACTTTAGCATAGGCTTACAATAGTCTTAGCGCTAAGATCGCTTTGTGCAAGTGGGTCCAGGGTATGTATCGTAATAGAATGGAGTGAACCCTTTTCGCGAACACCTAGTGTCCTCGCTGATTTTCATTGGTCCATTCGTATAATTTTCACAGCTATTTTGCCCTTTACACCAAGTGGAATCCGTTTTGGCAGAAAATCTAGGTTGGTTATTCTCTTGCATTGACGATTTATATTTACATAATCGAGGAAGAAGGATCCTTGGCGATGAGGAATCACTGATCGTGGTTCGAATTTCTTGGATTTCGCCGAATGTGGTTCATCTCTACAACTTTCATTTCTATGGACTGTTTCCTTCAACATGAAGCGAGTGCACGGGTGGCCCAGTCGTCTAAGGCGCCGCGATTCGCTGTGCAGATTTGCCTCCCATGGGTACGCCAGAAATCTATGATTGGTTCGAATCCCGGTTCGCCCCGGTTATGTTTCTAGGTTTGTCAGCACCATACCCATGCTCGTGGGTTTCACCGAAGTGGTAAACGTCTGAGACCTGCATCACTTCGGGCTTTCCTCCCACATTAAGTTGACACGCCGTGATATAACTGGAATACTGTTAAAAGCGGCGTTAAACCCAACTCACTCACTCACTCCAACATGAAGTTTGCACATGGTGATGTAACTGAAATACTGTTCAAATCGGCCCAACTCACTTTCTTCAGTTACAGCCCATATTTACAATTTAATGTCCACATGTTTCCGATCCTTCATGTGTTCATTATAGATATTACACACGCCGTTACAACTAACGGAACATATTTTACTGCGTGAGAATGGTTTTACGAAGCTTTTAGCAATATTCCAGCAATATCACGACAGGGTACACCAGAAATAAGCTTCACCTATTGTACCCATGTCGGGAATCGAATCCGGGTCTTCGGCGTGACGAGCGAACGCTTTAACCACTAGGCTACCCGACCGCCCCCAGCAGATACTAATGAGAATAGTCAAGTTAATCTTTTAAGCTATCCTAAATTTATGAGGAGTTTTGTTATCTTGTACAACATTTAGTTCATACTTGTTTAATCAATTATGCAATAACCATATGAAATTGGCGATATTAAATTATCTTAAGTTATTTATGACGTGTCCTGTAATATTATACAACATGTAGTTCAAACTTGTTTTATCAATTATTCAATAACCATATCAAAATGGCCACTTTAAAATTATCTAGAGTTATTTATGACGTGTTCTGTTATGTAGTACAACATTTAGTTCAAAACTTGTTTAATCAATTATTCAATAACCATATCAAAATGGCCACTATAAAATTATCTAGAGTTATTTATAACGTGTGCTGCTATGTTGTACAACATTTAGTTCAAACTTGTTTAATCAATTATTCAATGGCCACATTAAAATTATCTTGAGTTATTTATGACGTGTTCTGTAATATTATACAACATTTACTTCAAATTTGTTTAATCAATTATTCAATAACCATACGAAATTGGCCACATTAAAATTACCTTGTGTTATTTATGACGTATTCTGTTATGTTGTACAACATTTAGTTCAAACTTGTTTTATCAATTACTTAGTAATCACTTCGTCAAAAAAGTTACTGTTTGGCATATTTTTGGTATCGAGCAGCTCTGGCAAAACTTGAGACATATAAACCCGAATGTTTGATAATAAAAATAAAATTCGAAATTTTATATACAAAGATATCAAGGTTCCTTATGTTAATGCATTGTTCGTCCTTATATCAAATTAAGGTGAAAAGTGTTTAAACTATCGAAATATAAGACTAGAAATTCAGGAAGGATGTGAGTGACTGAGTGAGTGAGTGTGTGTGAGTGTGTGTGAGTGTGTGAGTGAGTGGGTTGGTGAGTGAGTGAGTGAGTAAGTAGGAAAAAAAGGTGTGTGGTCACGAGAGCGTCTCTGATATGTTTAGCGGAAAGAAAAACAAACTTAATTATAAAAAACAAATCAATAATGTCGAAGGATTGTCATTCCAACTTTCTTCATGTGTACAAAGAGAAGCAACAATCTGTCTTTTCTCTTTTTTTCTTTCAGCTATTTTGCCAAAGTCTACATACTGGGACTGGGAGTTCAAACGTCATACCAAACTTTCATACAATCTCATTAAAATCAGATCTTAGTTTGTTTAGCGGTAGCGAGAACTAAGATCTGATTTTAATGAGATTGAACTTTCATATATCATACATCTGATCATGACTGGCGACAGTTTCTTAACTTATCGCCCAGGACCCTACTACAGAGCACACGTGATCGCATCTCGTTTTACTTTTGCTCGTTTTCATTAGAGAGAGAAAATTAATATTTATCCAAGAATGATGAAGAAAACTGAATCTTGTGAGGAAATTTAAAAAACCCAAAAACAACCACATAGGCTAAATCACCTTGCTCAAATACAACTTTAGAAAAGACACACGGGTGTCACGTGACTAATTTACGCGTAAAGAAAAACATTCCTTATTAATTTAAATGAATAATTAAAAATTGAGTACGATACCAGAGAAAATTAAAAAAATGTAATTTGTATATCTGAAGCGGTGCACGTGATCATGTGCTGTTTTGACGATGGCGTAATTTTATAGCTTGAGGTAGATCCAATACCGCGCGAGCGCAATTCTCGCGAAGTCTTCACTTTTCAGATCTTATTTAAATGTGCGTCAGAAAAATATCACACTTACACCGGGTTAATGAAGCCTGTTTACAGTCTAGAGACACCTCGTGATACCGTCCATGGTTATATTGTTATTCGCGCGCCGATTGGCCAGCACTAAATATTACGACTTTTTTCATTGGATATCTATTTATAGAACTCATGTGACTTGCAGGGGAAACCTCCCACACAAAATGTAGATTTCATCTAGCGGTGTACCCGAAGTACACGGTATGAAATAATACAAGTGTCACCTGACAACATGGAAGCTGATCAACCCGCGACACCTTCTCCGAGAGAAGGTTCGACAGATTACACTCAATATGGCATCACGGACGTCCCGAAGTACACAACACTTACAGCATTCGGAAAGGTAAACAAGAGATTAGATCAACATCATCCCTCACATAAAAAATGCTGCAATATGGGTGTGACCCCTTCTCTGTTTTATCATTGGTTATAAAATTGATTACAGGACATCAAATTCTATCATAAAATAAATTATGAACCGTTTCAATTTATGACTTGATGTAATAAAAATTTGAAACAAGTGTTGAAACCCTATATCATAATTCATATGATATATGAGGTTATTAGTCAAGGCAATGAATGCAACCCTATTTTATGTGAAATCGATACAACCTATATTAATTATTAGCATGAATTGCATCAGTAGCCCTACGTTCAAAATAAGAATTGTTAATTAACTTTTGAAAGAGGAAATATTTTATCTCCACCTATAAATTTTTCAGGTTTCTGAAGTGAAACTGAAATGAATCAGCTCAGTTGGATGTGAAAAATCCAATATGGTTCAAAAGAACATGGTAGTCATGTTTCAAATGCAAATAAATAAAATTAGATTATGATCAACATATTCATTTTCATCATAGTGTTAATTAACCTTACCCTGGTTTCCAGGTAAGAATATAGGTCACCAGCAACCTATGTTCTAAAGAGGCAATTAAATGGATCGAGTGGTCAGGCTCAGCTATGTGGTTGATTTCATGTAATTGTAGCCCAATTGAGCCGATAGATGCTCATGATGTCAAATCACTGGATTGTCTGGTCCACACTTAGTTATTTTCAGGCCGCTGTCTTATAGCTGGCATATATCGGCGTTAAACAACAACAAAGGGAGAACTTAGTAAACAAATTTCAGTCTGGTAAAAGGAGGGAAAATAATTTTGAAAATAAAAAATGTAAAAAATTGTGATATATAATAACTAAATCAGTGAAGAACAATGATAATTGTTGGTCTTAAATGTCATTTATTATCCTTAGATTAACGTTCAGTTCCAATTTTTCAGCAATATTATATTTGAATTTACAAAACAGATGTTGCTTTTCAAAGGTTGGCACTTGTTTGGACAAGAAATTTTTTAGGGTACTATATGTCTCCTCAAGAAAATATTTTGAACACATGGCTCACATTTACCAGTTCAAATATGTAGAAAAAGTGTGATTTTATTATATCCAGTTAAAAAAAAATGCAGTTTCTATTTGCTGCTTTGTAGTACAAAATGCATGAGCATTCTGAGATTGACCCATACATGTATATGGTTCCAGGTGAGGTGAAATGGGGTTTAACGGTGCGTTCAAGATTATTGCACTTAAATAGCGACATGCATGCATGTGTGTGTATGTGTGGCTGCTTGTACTACTCAGGACTAATCCCTATTTTATAGTGCTAGGCCCCTGATATACCATGCCACAGTTTAACATGAATACCCCACTCAGACACAGTATACTGACTCCAAGCGGACCAGTCCTTGTTTTAGCCCCTTAATGCCGAGCGCCAGGCAGTGTAAAAACAAATTAAGTACCATCTTTTAACGTCTTTTGGTAAACGCGGCCGAAAGTCAAACCCAGACCTTCCGTTCTCCTGACAGACGCTCTACCACTGGACCATGGGGGCAGTCAGTATGGTTCTAGAGGGGGATGCGGGGGTGTATATGTAACTGAACCAGTTGGTGACATTTTTTCAACAAAACTATTTAAACAGGACAACGAAACACAAGTTGTTCTGTGAACTATTGGTTTTCATCTGGACTGTTCTATTAAAGGTGCCATTCCCCTGAAGGCTATAAGTCTGCTTGAGTTTTACAGCAGGGCAACTATAATTATTTCCTTTTTTTCTGATTTTAGACAAAGACATTTGCAGGACTGTATCCAAAAGAATGGGCCTTTCTGGTTGTGTCAACTATCAACATCTTGGCGGCGGTTGGACTGACCATCTACAGGCTGGTATTGGTCGTCCAAACTGACCCGGGGTCATCAGATTTCACCTTCACTATACTCCTACTTATCAATGCTGGTAATTAACATTCTACCACTAATGCTTAATTCTGATTGGTGAATCTTAGGTTTCAAATCACAACCACAAACTCTGATTGAAAAAGCAGCTTGGTTTGTTTACTCCCTAGGGAGCTGAGAAAGAAAATCGAGTGCACACTGATCCATTGGGATAATAATGTAGTGCTTCGAAAACAGGTATGGATTTGGTGTATTATTAATATGCACATTATTATTTTATTATTATCATGAGTATGCTTTGGACTTGGGCTGTGAACAAATGGTGAAAAGAAATTACTCCAGTTTTAAATAATCCAAAGATTTATTTTATGAAACTGATTTTGACATCATATAGATTTGTCTTTCACTGCAACAGGAATGAGAATGGTACTTCTGAAAACATTCTTCTCTGAAAAAAATATTCTCTCCTTGTGTCCATGGTAACCAAAGCTTTCTTAGTCCTAAGAATCCTTGAAAACTCATTTACGTTGTAGTTATTTAGTCTTTTGGAGAAAGACCTTTAAACATGAAGAGTGGGGAAAAGTAACATCTGAAATGCATACAATGCTAAATTGCAAATAGGTTACAATAGTTATGCAGTTACACAAGCTTTGGCCACACATTTTTCTTGCTAACACCCGCCGACTGTAAATTTGTTAAATTGGAAAAAAAATTCTTCCATTCTCAAACATACTCACTAACCCCACAAAAATAGCATCGTCCAATTTATATCATCAAGTTTCAACCTTATGTTTGAATCTCTAGGAATGACGTCATGATAGAGCAATGTTTTATCATGTAATAAACCATTCTTTATCTTTCTTTGCAAAGCTATCTGATATTTTCCTGTAAAAGTTCCATAAAGCATGTGACCTTATAGCTTGCACACATAGCAACAGATTCAGATAGCTTCTAGAAGCAATTAAGCATATCTGAAATGTCTGTTGGATATATTTCACACCTACCTACCTGGAAATCTGTAAAGCTGAAATTTGGTATTTGTAATTTTGCAACGTCACAATTTTCTGTTTTCCTGTTCAGGTTTCAGCGCCTTCTACGTCATCCATGGTGTGTTGCGTGAGCGTGTGTACGAGCTGTACGCACTAATGGTGGCCATCTTGGTTGTCACCATGTACTGTGTGTTGGAGTATGCGGCCTTCAATGTAGAAGGGAGGACAGACGTCAAACTGGTATAGTTTCACGTTCATGTTTTATTGCTGACATATATGGGGTTTACTGATTGGCTTGATGGTCGCATCCTGTACATTACATCTGCACGTGGCAAGGGCGTTAACTGACTAGTTAAGTCCAGTTTCCACCCTTGGCGAACTAGCCTGGAATTTCCAAGCTCCATCTTAGCACCACCAGTGGCTATTAACGAGTTATGTCTCTTCTATGTCTCTCCTATTGACCACTCAGTAACCATCTCTCATATCACTTGCATTTGCTTCAAACAAAATGGCGGCACCCAGTCAAGACGATCTGATCGATAATCAAGATCTTTATTCTAGTAAAACAGGTCTTTCCCCGCAAAGTGAATCAAATTACTTGAGCCCCTTGATTAAAAACATGAATTTTTTTTTAAATATCTGCCCAAGCCAAGTAAACATGCTTTGCAAATCCTGCAATCGACCGAAATCTGCACGTTTAAATCCATGTCGTTCATTACATGATTTTGATTGGACTATGCATAGACTTGTTAGTCCAGTCAAAATGTATCTCTAGAGTCTCAACCTAATTCAGCAAGGGTGGAAACTGGACTTCTATAGTCAGTTAACGCCCCTGCCTTGGGAAGATGGTACATCTCCACAGCTTGCATTTTGTAAACCTTCACCAACCCCCAGATCAGTTCCCGTGTTTCTCGTCATCTCAAATTCCCTACCCTTGATTTTCATTTGATTACTACTCAATCTCACAGACCAGTCTGAATGCAAGTTTCAAGTCAGCCTCAATGTTGGGTTGTGATATCGACAACGTGGCGGTCAGTCCAATGGATTACGATAGAGTTTCCGAAAAATATAACATTGGAAAACTGACTGACAGGCTAAAGAAATCACTCAGAAATCATTTTGATGCAAAGGATGTCCTCCTCACTTACCCATTTCCTTCTTCCTTATCTTGACATTTGATTGGTCAATAAATCAAGGGGCAGGTAATTTGAGATCGCGAGTACACTGGGAATAGATCCAGGGGTTAGTGAGGGTGTACCGAAATGCGAACCAAGAGATATAGAGGATTGGTAGGTGGAAATAAGAATGATTTTGTGTAGGTGAATATTTTTATATTTTGTTTGCTTTGTTTGATTGGTTCAGTGTACAATAAAAAAATAATTTTGCTTATGACTAATAGTAGGATGTTTACTATTTTGGCACTAGCATGATGTATAAGGTTTTTTTCTTAGAAGACTTTGTTTTTCTCCTGTGAAGATATGACTTGTTTGATGCATATCATCTTATCCCAATTGCATAGATCGGTGCTCATGATATCAGTTAGGGTTTGTCTGGCCCAAACATGTTTATTTACAGGCCGATGTAATATAGCTAGAAAGTTGCTGAGCGGGGCATTATACCACAAACCAACTTTATTCTCTGTATAAGTTGTTGACAATGACCAGAGATTACTTGCAATACATTGGATCAGTAATTATTTGATGAGTTTACAGTTACTTTAGTCTTGTTTGAATTTTGTAATTGTATTTTTTTGTCTTCTAATCCAACAGAGATGACATGGTCAGACAGAACAGAAACTATGTTTTAACTTTTTAATTTTTATTTTTGAATTGTCACTTTTGGCCCTGTTAAGTCAAGACCCCAAAAATTAAAATAAGCCTAACTGTTTCTGTTCTCATATGTTATAGCTTCTGTGAATTCTTTAGCTTGTGGTTTGAATAATCATTATCACAAGTGAAAACAGGCAATGCAAACAAAAATGATATCACAATCAGTGCTTGTGGCATTTCATTTCTTTGACTTTCGAAAATACTCAATTCTGATTGGTCAATCAGAGGTTTCAAATCCACTATCTAGTAACTACCTCTGACTGAAACAGCTGATTGCTATTTATGGAAAAGTAGGTCTTTCACAATCATGTTTGGTAGACACTTTCAAGTCGAAAAAATGGAAGTTATGACCTGCTGCTTTGCAGTTGTGCAGAGTTGTGTCCCTTGGGCACGCCAGCAACCTATGTTTGTGGGTTTAAATCCTGGTTCACCCCGATTACGTTTCTAGATTTGTCAGGACCATAACCGTGCTTGTGGGTTCACAAAAGTGGTAAACATCTCAGACCTGCATCACTTCGTGCTTTCCTCCCGCTTAAGCTGACACACCGTTATGTAACAGGAATACTGTTTAAAGCAGCATTAAGCCTAACTCACCCACTCACTCATTTTCTGTTTGTAGAAGCTAAAGTTATGGTGTGTTTTACTGGGTTAAAACCTGCAAGTCTTCAGTTAATCAAAACATCATAACTCCGAGGTTTCCCTTTGCCATTCATAAAGAAATATGCTGAAATGACTTGTGCTTTGTACAAATAAGCTAGCTCTGAAAAGCAGTCGCTTCAGTTGAATGGGTGTTTTTTTCGTTTGTTCAACAATTTATTAATCATAAATATGTTATACACAGATTGTACTATTAGTTAATGAAACCTTGCTTCTGAACATTACATAACTAACAGGAACCTGATCAGCAATATGTTAATATCAGTCACATCTCTAACCCTCTAGCTCCTTTCAAATATCCCAGAACTTCCAAAAGAGTATCACAACATGTCCAGAGACATCAGTGGAAACCCCTTGTATCAAATCCAAGTGCAGTTTGATTTTAGGACAAAGTAGCTGATTTTACTGAAGGTGAGCTTCCCAATTTCATTAAAATCAGATCTTAGTCCTCGCTACCACTTAACAAGACCGCCTCCATGGTCTAGTGGTAGAGCGTCCGCCCGGAGAGCGGAAGGTCCGGGGTTCGATCCCCGACCGCCTCATACCAAAAGACGTTAAAAGATGGTACTTGTTGTTACCCTGTCTGGCGCTCAGCATTAAGGGGCTAAAAAAAGGACTGGTCGACTTGGAGTCAGTATACTGTGTCTGAGTGGGGTATTCATGTTAAACTGCGGCATGGTACATGGTATCTCAGTGAGCTAGCACTATAAATCGGCATCAGTCCGGACTAGTACAAGCAGCCACACAAACACACACTTGTACATGCACGTCGCTATATAAGTGCAATAATCTTGGACGCGACGTTTAACCCCATTTCCCCTCACCTCACCACTAAACAAAGATCTAAGGACATCCATTAGGGTCAGATCAGAACGACCTTTCATCCATCCAATCACTGCGTTGCTTACCAGATCATGTAAGTGACAGTCGGAATGTGATTTCTAATCATGCAATCTCAAAAACTTTAACAGGGGGTATTCCAAACCATAGTTATGGGCTTAACAACTGAATCCATACAATCTAGACCGTCTATTTAGCCATTCCAGAATGTTCTTTTTTTCAGGGTTCAAATCTTTAATCGAGAATTTGTCAAACTATGTTTCGAAGCATAGTGGCTAATTTGAAATTAGTGCCGTAAAACACAAGGAAAGCTGCCTTCTGATTGGCTAATGTCGACTTCTTGTCAATCATTCAATTCGTCGGTCACAGTTCGCGTGACGTGACCCTTAATGTGATGTCCTCAGATCTTTTTTAGCGGTAGCAAGAACTAAGATCTGATTTTAATGAGATTGGTGAGCTTCCCTACTTTTGGTTCATTTTACTGTAAAATTGTGTTTTATTTTCAGGTCCGTATGATCTTAGCATGCATCTTAGCGCCACCAAACATTTTGCTGGCCTGGTTTGTTGCGAAGGACTTTGGATATTTGGAGTTCAGAATAGTTGGAGCTTCAGAATATCTGCAACGTTAGTATCAGATTGAGCCTTCTGTTTCAGAACGTTGTCATAGACGTTAATCATAACCTGAAAGTTTATATTTGGAATATATGAATCAGACATGATAGTTACACATCAATGACAAGGGTCCTTGTTATTATCCAATTTTTGTGTGGTCGACTGGGGATTATTGTGGGTAGATAGATATATTTAAGAATGTAGTGGGTGGGTTAGTTTAAGGGGGAGTTGAATGGCTGATGTAGTACCTATCTTTGTAGTCCTCGTTGTAGGAGCTTATGCCCACGCGGGCATAGTGGCTGGGAAGGCGTGACGCATGCTCGGCATGCTCGGCTAGGCGGAGGCCATGATTGGGAGAGCCGAGATGTAAGGAGCGTGTTCAAGGTTGAGAGGGTCCCTAGATTCAAACCTAAATGACCCATGACCCCTTTAGTTCGATCACTGATACTGATTTTACTGACTTATATAATTTGTGGTGTAAAGATTAACTGCTGTTCGTTTTTCAGATCTCTACAGACAGGCAGCCATATTTTCCTGTTTCTTAAAGCTAGACTTGCAGGCATCGGTAAGACATTATTGTCATGTATAGAAATCATTTATTGTTGACCAACATATATCATCTCATGCTTTTACTGTCCTTTAACTGACATGCACCTTGCGCTTGTTTGAGTTTAAATCTTTAGGTAACTACACTTGAAACACTGTATTTTACTTGTTAATGAGGGTCCTGATTGGGAGGAGTCATTTGTCAGTGGTCAGTAAAATTTGGTGCTTTGAGTAAGTAGTATTTACATTTTCGGATGATTCAGTAAGAACGTTTTCTGTATCATATTTAGTCAATAATAACATCATGAACCAGAATGTAAATTGCGAAGGTTCCCAGCACGAATGAGAATCGTCGGTCTGTCTGTAGTGAAACATGGGGACAGACAGTTCTACGGATATTTCCATGTACAAAATTCTGACTGGCTTTGTTGTTTTGTTAGATGTAGTTATTTACAACTATCCTAAAATGTATCATTTGTTACATTTGACCACTTTCTAAATAGCATTGTGTATTCATAGCTTTCTGCCATGGGAGCCTTGCCAATTTACACTTGTCAGAGGGGTACTCAAAGTACCAGATCTAGACTACCAGTTGTCGGACTTTCATTTTTTGTGGAAGCCTCGGTGGTGGAGTAGGTTAGATCGCTGACTTTGTGTGCTGGCGGTTAGGTGCCTCACTCTGGCAAGTGTGGGTTCGAATCCTGGACGGGACTCAACCCAAAAACGTACGAGAATCCATACTTTACTAAGAAAGTGATATCCCAAATATAACATTTGTAACTTGTACAAGATAGTAGCATGATTATGATAAACAGAAGCTTAATCACACAGGTTTAGTTTACGCTAAACAGTATACACTATCAGGACCCTCCTTATCGAAATAACTTGGTTAAACAACATCCAAAATTCCTGATTTGTATCCAATTCAACAATCAGATGATGCATGTTTCTCTTACTAGTGCCAAGATTGATCCACATACTTCCATTGTTTTTTTAGTTTTGACGTCATATTTTTACATTGCCAGATAAGCTTTGTGATCCTGGCTTTGAAGGAGGGTACCGACATCACGGTGCTGGAAAAGGTCAATCTGGGTGTGGGGATACCATACACACTGGTGTGGTCAGTACTGGGCTGGTTTGTGGTGAGTGTTGATACACAAACACGTGTAATGAGTTGTCAGTGCAGCCAGGAGGGGGTGATGGGGAAGTGTAGGGGGGACTTGAACTACCTGCCATTGGAACAGTATGCCTAAAGAATTGCATGCCATTAGAACATTATGCCAAATAGTTACATGCAATTAGAACAACATGCAAAAACTTAAAATTACAGCCTTAAAATTACGGAAACAATAGGCCAAAGAGCTACACAAATTACAGTCTGGTTTGGTCAGCACTGTGAGCAAGTTAGAGTTAACCCCCTTGGTAATGAAGTCCACAATCTCCTTACCAGCATGTGACCCCTTCGTTACACTCTCGGTAACTTGCTGCTACCAGTGTGTCTTGAAATTTGCCCTTGAACCCCAAAATGGAGTGATAGTTATGTTTTTGTTTCTGTCTTTTTGAATGCTATCATAGTGTATTTTGAAACAGTGACTACTGTACATAAGATGCCCTATGCTGTTATGAATTTTGTCATCTTCCCGAGGCAAGGGAGTTAAATGACTATAACTTCCAGTTTCCATGCTTGCCGAACTAGGCTTAAATAATTGAGTTATGTTTTGGCTGGATTTATGAGTCTATGCATAGACCAATCAAAATCACTTAACGAAATCGACATTCAGGTCGTAAACTGCCATGCAGATTTTGGTCAATTGCAGGATTTCCCAAAAGCATGTGTACCGCCAACTCAGTTTCAACAGATATTTTCCAAATCTTTTCATGCATTTTGTCAAGGTGCTCACATGATTTGATGCACTTCACAAAGTAAGACCTGTTTTATCACAATATGGATCTTGATTATTCAATCAGATCGTCTTGACTGGGCACCATTATTTTGTTTGATGCAAGTGATATGAGAGGTAGAATCTGATTGGTCAACAGGAGAGACATAGCCAATGGTGGTGCTACAATCAAGCCCAGAAATTCCAGCCTAGTTCTGCAAGGGTGAAAACTGGACTTTAACAGTCAGTTAATGCCCTTGTCCCAGTAAGATGAGATTTCGTAAGATGTCCTTGTTCATGGTGTTTGAAACACCACCTAGTGATGTAGTGACTTGGTGACAGTCTAACCTGGTGGCTCTGCGCTCGTCTGGTTGAGTCGTCATGGTGATTCAGCATGGCTTCCTGTCATCGGAAGTGTTGAGTGCCGTATCCTGTATGAAGTAATATAAGATAGCTATGCGATAAATAGCAAAGAAAAACGAAGAAGGAGGATATTTTATTTCATGATTAAACATTGTTCTATCATGACATCATTTTTGGAGATCCGAAACAAAAGCTCGCAGCATGATGATGGTGTAATTGGAAGACATTATTTTTACGAGGGTAGATGTAGCAGGATATGACACTCAGTTTTGAGAGAAAAGGTACAGATAACTGCTGTCAGAATTGCAAGAATATTCAGGAAATAAACACGATACCCCCCCCCCGTTAGTAAAATGGACTTGTCTGACATTGCCTAGGTTTCAATTGTATTCAGGGAGTCATCATGATTTAGATACGGGTAAATATTTTTTATGTGTTTAAATATGTTTTATTGTGTGATAAACAACCCTGCATCCACTAACATTACTACAGACAACACATGCCACACCCTTACTGTCAATATGCTATAAAAGATCGATGGGTACAATGTGTGAAGCCAAATTTCTGGTGTCCCTCACCCTGATATTGCTGGAATATTGCTAAAAGCGGCGTAAAACATCTCACTCACTCACTCACTCACTCACTCACTCACTCACTCACTCACTCACTCACTCAGAGGATATAGGATATAGGACTTGACATTATTGAAAGCTAGATTACTTGGATTAGAAATACAGCATGACATATTTTTTAGCATTCGATTTAAACTCAGTGTACAAGTGTGACATGATGTTGTATTGTAATTTGTAGCATTATCACGAGGGGTACTGCTACAACAAATTCATCTTACCAACATGTTTTTATCTGTCATTGTAAAAGAATTAGGACAAATTCAAAATTGATAGAAAACAGCTGTTCGATTGAGCCGAGGTTAACTTGGTGACTTTTGCAGCTTTTTGCTTCGAAGAGGGATATAAGGGATTTATTCTTGCCCTCAGAAATCCATGTGCAGCCAGTCTTCCTTGTAGGATATCAGGAAGTTTTTTCTAAAAATTTATTTTTCCCTTCATGGTATGCTATATGGTGTTTTAGTTAAATCTTAGGTAACAGTAACCACGGTAACAAGACTATAATGTAACCAATGTTACAGTTTTTGTGTAAGTTACTGTATGATGAAGCTTTGTTTCTTCTCCATCCCTAGCTTCGCCGGGAACTGAAGGTGTGGGCGTGGGTGTTTGCTGTGGCTGGTGTTGTCAAGCCTACATACTACCTGTATAAAGTTATAAAAGTGAGTAATGAAAAGAAAAAAACAGATTTTTTAAATGCATAAAAAAAGAATTAATAGATCTCATTACTACTGTAAGAAAAACTACACACCTTCATTTTTGAGCTTTCAGTCCCACACTTTTTCTGGGGTTCCAACCGAGTAAAAATTGGACAGTTTCCACTGTACTTGGCAAATGTTTTGTAATTTGATTAATTTAACCTGAACTATTGCAAAATTTGGTTAAGGCAGTAGGACTAGTAACAATTTTCCACTGAATATCCGTATGATGCTTTAAGAAATGGTAATGCCTACATAGCAGTTATTGATGATGATGGTGGTGGTGATGATTAGATTGGTGTAACAATACGGTGAGTTCGCGATTAAATGTGTATTCCGATACAGCACTTTTATTTTAAGTTGATTTTCTTCCTTTTTAGTAATTTTACAGGAGAATCACAACCCTGAATTATCTGTTTTCAGTTCAGAGATTGAAGATGGGATATTGTAGGGCAGAAACATATAGACTTTGGGGCATGTGAATGTTGTGCTATTTATGGCTCACTTGAAAATACTAGAGAATCTGCATAAGCTGGTGGTTGAACAGTTTCTGTTGTTATTCACATGTTTTAACATCAATATTACTCGTGATGTATTGTATGTGTCGTGATACAGGGGTTGTAAATTGGTGTATTGTATTGTGAGTTTGTATCACGTAACAATACTGTTTCGCTGTATTGTACACCACTAATGATGATGGTGGTAGAGAGTGATGCGACTGCTGCTGCTGCTGCTGATGATGATGATGATTGTTATCAATTTCCATTCAGGTGTACACAGTACTGGCAGACGACCCTGACTCCTACAGCAACACCATCGTGTACTCCCTCCTCGCTGCAGGTAACTCACACAATCTCTTCAGCAACCCATGCTTGTCGTAAAAAGCGACTATGCTTGTCGTAAGAGGTGACAAACGGGATCGGGTGGTCAGGCTCGCTGACTTGATACGTCATGATTATTGTATCCAAATTGCGTAGATCGATGCTCATGATGTCAATCACTGGATTGTTTGGTTCAGACTCAATGTTTTACAGACCGCGATTATATAGCTGGAATATTGCTGAGTGTGGCGTTGAACAACAAACAAACAAATCAAATCAGTTGACAAGTGGCCTCAGCAGCTGCCTGTATGTTAGCCTGTTCAGCATGGCACAATATTGGTTAATGTAATTGTACAAGTGCCAATAAGCCAGTGGATGATACCATTGATGGATGGTGATGTATTTGTAGCAGATGATGATGATGATGATGATGATTGTTACAGGTTCTATTGCCCTGATCTCCTGGTTGATCCTGATGGTGGAGCTTATCATTGTATACAGAAACTTTAACCAAGGACTCCGGGAAAGAGGTAAATATTGACTCTTGTCTTTCATGATCAGGGGCAGTAGGGTAGCCTAGGGGTTAAAGTGTTCGCTCGTCACGCAGAAGACCAAGGTTCAATTCCCCACATTGGTACAATGTGTGAAGCCCATTCCTTGTGTCCCATGATGTGATATTGCTGGAATGTTGCTAAAAGCAGCGTAAAACAATACTCACTCACTCACTTTCATGATCACAAAAAACAAGGTGGCGGTGTATGGCCCTAAATTCACTGAAGGTAACATACTATTGGTAAATGAAAAATAACAATGTTTTACTTGTTAGGACATAATTGTTTGAATTTGTAGTCGACCTGAGGAATGAGGAATGACTAGAGCCAACACAAACTATTTTGCATAAACTTGCACTAATTATGGCTTGAGAATTACTTTGGTATTTCTAAAAAAAGGAATGTTGCACACACACATGGACACACACATGCACATGCATACACACAGACACACACACACACACACACACACACACACACACACACACACACACACACACACACACACACACACACACACACACACACACACACACATTAGTATGTTGTATCAATACAACTCGCCTCATTCAGCTTGTATTGTTGGGGAGCAAGTAGCCCACTCATCTAAGACACCACAAGTCACTGTGCAGAGTTGCGTCCCTTGGCATGCTGATCATGGCTGATAATGGCTCCAAAACCCAGTTTTTTGCCATTATTATGTGTCTGTTCGTTGGTAAACAACTGAGACCTGTATCTCTTATTGTAAGCTAGCTTTGTCATACAAGGGAGATTACTGCTGTATGTTAATGTCAGGTTTGGTGAAATAGGGTTTAACGTATCATCCAAGATTATTTCACTTATGTAGCGACATGCATGCGTGTCTCTGGCCACTTGTACTTGTCCTGACTAATGCCGATTTATAGTGCTAGTCCACTGAGATACCATGCCGAAATTTAACATGAATGCCCCAGTGAGACACAGTATACTGACTCCAAGCTGACCAGTCCTTGTGGTACCCCTTTAATGCCGAGTGCCAGGCAGGGTGACAATAAGTATCATCTTTCAACATGTTTTGGTATGACGTGCCCATTGATTGAACCCATTACCTTCTGCATTCTGGGCGGAGACTCTACCCCTAGACCACTGAGGCGATCTGTCCATAAATATATGTTAGGGAGCAGTTTAAAAGTTTGATGTCAGATAAAAAAAAATTAATTCCTTATATTGGGGGATGAGGGGTTAGGTAACAGGTTATATGTTTTCCATCTTGCAATTGCCTTATATTTAATCATGACCCGAGAAGATCCGGGATAGTTCTTCAGCAACCCATGCTTGCCGTAAATAGGCAACTATGCTTGTCTAAGAGGCGACTAATGGGATCGGGTGGTCAGGTTCGCTGACTTGGTTGAAGCATGTCATCGTTTCCGATTTGGTGGATCAATGCTCAAGATGTCAATCACTGGATTGTCTGGTCCAGACTCGATTATTTACAGACCGCGATCATATAGCTTGAATATTGCTGAGTGCGGCGTAAAACAACAAACCAACCAACCAATCTTACATTTATGCTGAACTATGCAACAAAACCTTCATTGCAATATCCATGGTGTCTTGCCATCGCTCCACAACTTCCATTACCGATGTCTTGACAACATTTATGCAATGGTTCCATCATTTCTGTGTGGTGTGTGCGTGGGGAGGAGGGGGTAGAGAAGGACTTTTGAACAGCTCTCTTGGTTTCTCTCTTCCAGGAATGTCGAACTAACTCACCACTTCATCTTTTCCACTTACAACTTTCATGAATCCACGGTTTCAACAGAATAATCTACATGGTTGTATGAATTGAATTCAGTAGAGAAAATGTTTAATTAGTTCTTTGTTAACTGTAACCTGAAATTTAACCCATTCACACATTTTTCCCACAATTAATTTGAACCACAAAGGAAGCGTATTGCTTGCTGCTAATGGTAAACATAAGTAATCCAATCGCCAATCCAAAATAATGGATATGATTTTGCTGAACTTTGTTCTAGATTCTGAAAATCTAAATTGAGGTAAGCAGTGTGAAATGCCCCTCTGCGCTCTACCTTTCCCCCAACCCGACCACACCCCTCGGCACCCCGAGTGTGTGCCTTACCTGTACACCTACATACAATGTATATGCTCCCAAACCCTCCTACTTCACATACAGTGTATAAGCACTACATCTGCACAGTCATATTGTCACTCCAGCATATGCCATGAGAAGGTCAGACGATAGAAAAATTTCAGTAATGCTTGTGGTTGCACTTTCTCAAAATATATTTTTGAAAATATTATGAATATATTATCAAATATAGAACATACCTAACCTAACATACAGTAATAATCACCAATACCTCAGACAGTACTCCCTCTGTGGATTTCAATGAGAGTACAAAACAGTTTTTCAATAGCAAATGTATTTACTGTAAATCTGGAATGTTTTGAGACCAGGAGAGTGCTGCGAAAAGTGTGAATGACACAGAGGATCGTAACAGGATGTCGCAAAACTTCCCAGACAAAGTTAAGGCTATTGTTAGCCACTCACAGTAATATCATGGCGCAAAACTGTCCAGATTTACAGTACAGTGTCCGATTCTGACAGTCCCCAAAGTCCCCTAAAGATTCAACATTTCCAAAATTGGAAAATCAAAAATATATGTATGATGTTTCATCTCAGAAATAACTGACAATGCCCTTAGTTAAACGGTCAGCTTCCCCTCCCCATCCCCAAAGTTACATAGTTATCTACCCATCCCCACCCCCCAAGCTGACAGAGGTAATGCTCCCCAATAACCTGCAAATCACATTTCTACCCTCCACTCTTCTCTTTACAATATTAGTGCTTGTCCTTAATATGTAAGGGGTACTGCTGCTGATGGAAGAAACACCTGTTCTGTCTGAAATATAAGCGACAAAACCCTTTCTATAATCATAAGAAATCTCTGAAAAAAGCAGAACCCATTATACGATTCCGACTATATCACTAGCATGGGTTTATGAATGAATCACTATCAAATAGTAATGGTACCAGGTGCTTGTAAAAGGATGTGCATATTCTACCTCACTGGTGTCATCTGTCACAAACACATGCAATGGCAAGTCAATTGTTACTGAAACACATGGTGCAAGTCAAAATAGCTAGGGAATGACATCAGACATCATATGTGTTTGTTATTATTTGCAGCTTTTGAAGTCCTTGCAGCAGAAAACACCAACTTGCTGGCAGGACGAAGGTCAAGGTGGCAATGATTCAAGGTCAACAACTTCCATGATTCCGGTTGCCATGGCAGTTGAACACAAGCTATATAAAAACAAGCAAATCTGTGATGTAGATGATAGTGTTTATGTTGCAAGTGGCTGCTCAGTTTGCAAGCCTTCTTTTGTAAGAATGATCTTGAAACATAGTGTTTGTGAAATACTGTGGCAATATGTTACATGTCTTATGAAATCACTATGACACTTTGATGGTGGAGTTCTCAGATACATTGGTGAAGAAGTTCATGTTCATGTTCATGTTCATGTTCATGTTTCTGAAACCTTGAACAATTACTGTGTTTTGCTTTATCATTATGCAGTAATTTATTTACGTTTTGTGTACATGTTTAATTTTAATATTTTCACAAAATAACTTTTCTCATCCCTTTTTTGTGATGTATTTTAACAACCAGGGACAAAAAGATTATGTTTTGCAGATATCTTAATATATTTCATCAAAAGATGTTTTGTGAATATAAATGTGAATATTCAGTGGCAAATATGTAGCAGGTGTGAGAGTTGTTTTATTATTTTATGATAATCATGGTAAATGGTACAATTCTTAGTCTCCATGGTTTTGACTGAGTATGCATTGATGCGTGACCTCCTGATGCTTCACCAAGCAACAAGATCCAAATACCATTCAGATATAACTATTATATCCCCAAACCCTCTAAAGATCTGGGTTAGAATTCGTCTTCAGCAACCCATGATTGTCCCATGAACATCCGGTTTAGAATTGGTCATCAGAAACCCATGCTTGAAAGAGGCTTCTATCAGGATCAGATGGTCAGGCTCGCTGAATGTTGATGCATGTCATTGTATTGCAATTGTATAGATCGATGCTCATGATGTCAATCACTGGATTGTCTTGCTCAAAACTGATTATTTACAGATTGTCGTCATATGGCTTGAAAAATTGCTGACTTGGGTGTTAAACAAAGAAACAAACAAACATGTCTTGGACCTATTTGTTTTGCTTCATTTAAGTATTACATTTTGTCAACATTGGTACTATGCCAACTAAGAATTTGAAGAGCCTTGACAATAACAATCATTTTAACCAAAAGCAACATTCACAACCTTATGACATGTTGTCTGGAATACTTGTCTCATGACTTGATATACTTTTTCTAAGATGTATAGAATTTCCAATCAGTGACAGAACAATGAGACTCGGTGTGATGATGTAGGCAGTAGATGATGTAGGCAGTAGATGATGTAGGTAGTAGATGATGTAGGCAGTAGATGATGCACTAAGCTGCTCAATAATCAGGTATTGTAACCAGAATCCACTACCAACAGGCCAGAGAGTGGGGTCGATAACTTCATGAACGTCCTGTGTGTTGGCATAGCTAGTACATAGCATGCTTGAAGAGATTGTGTTGACATGGCAGGTATATAGCATGCTGAAAGAGTCTGTGTTGGCATGGCAGGTATATAGCATGCTGGAAGAGCTCGAGTTGGCATGGCAGGTGTATAGCAAGCTAGAAGAGTCCATGTTGGCATGGCCGGTATATAGCATGCTGGAAGAGTCCATGTTGGCATGGCAGGTATATAGCATGCTGGAAGAATCTGTGTTGGCATGGCAGGTATATAGCATGCTGGAAGAGTCCATGTTGGCATGGCAGGTGTATAGCATGCTGGAAGAATCCGTGTTGGCATGGCAGGTATATAGCATGCTGGAAGAGTCCATGTTGGCATGGCAGGTGTATAGCATGCTGGAAGAATCCGTGTTGGCATGGCAGGTATATAGCATGCTGGAAGAGTCCATGCTGGCATGGCAGGTATATAGCATGCTGGAAGAGTCCATGTTGACATGGCAGGTATATAGCATGCTGAAAGAGTCTGTGTTGGCATGGCAGGTATATAGCATGCTGGAAGAGTCTGTGTTGGCATGGCAGGTATATAGCATGCTGGAAGAGTCTGTGTTGGCATGGCAGGTATATAGCATACTAGAAGAGTCCGTGTTGGCATGGCAGGTATATAGCATGCTGGAAGAGTCCGTGTTGGCATGGCAGGTATATAGCATGCTGGAAGAGTCCGTGTTGGCATGGCAGGTATATAGCATGCTGGAAGAGTCCGTGTTGGCATGGCAGGTATATAGCATACTAGAAGAGTCCATGTTGGCATGGCAGGTATATAGCATGCTGGAAGAGCCCGAGTTGGCATGGCAGGTGTATAGCATGCTGGAAGAGTCCGTGTTGGCATGGCAGGTATATAGCATGCTGGAAGAGTCTGTGTTGGCATGGCAAGTGTATAGCATGCTGGAAGAGCCCGAGTTGGCATGGCAGGTGTATAACATGCTGGAAGAGTCTGTGTTGGCATGGCAGGTGTACAGCATGCTGGAAGAGTCCATGTTGGCATGGCAGGTATATAGCATGCTGGAAGAGTCCGTGTTGGCATGGCAGGTGTATAGCATGCTGGAAGAGTCTGTGTTGGCATGGCAGGTATATAGCATGCTGGAAGAGTCCGTGTTGGCATGGCAGGTATATAGCATGCTGGAAGAGTCCGTGTTGGCATGGCAGGTATATAGCATGCTGGAAGAGTCCGTGTTGGCATGGCAGGTATATAGCATGCTGGAAGAGTCCGTGTTGGCATGGCAGGTATATAGCATACTAGAAGAGTCCATGTTGACATGGCAGGTATATAGCATGCTGAAAGAGTCTGTGTTGGCATGGCAGGTATATAGCATGCTGGAAGAGTCTGTGTTGGCATGGCAGGTATATAGCATGCTGGAAGAGTCTGTGTTGGCATGGCAGGTATATAGCATGCTGGAAGAGTCTGTGTTGGCATGGCAGGTATATAGCATACTAGAAGAGTCCGTGTTGGCATGGCAGGTATATAGCATGCTGGAAGAGTCCGTGTTGGCATGGCAGGTATATAGCATGCTGGAAGAGTCCGTGTTGGCATGGCAGGTATATAGCATGCTGGAAGAGTCCGTGTTGGCATGGCAGGTATATAGCATACTAGAAGAGTCCATGTTGGCATGGCAGGTATATAGCATGCTGGAAGAGCCCGAGTTGGCATGGCAGGTGTATAGCATGCTGGAAGAGTCCGTGTTGGCATGGCAGGTATATAGCATGCTGGAAGAGTCTGTGTTGGCATGGCAGGTGTATAGCATGCTGGAAGAGCCCGAGTTGGCATGGCAGGTGTATAACATGCTGGAAGAGTCTGTGTTGGCATGGCAGGTGTACAGCATGCTGGAAGAGTCCATGTTGGCATGGCAGGTATATAGCATGCTGGAAGAGTCCGTGTTGGCATGGCAGGTGTATAGCATGCTGGAAGAGTCTGTGTTGGCATGGCAGGTATATAGCATGCTGGAAGAGTCCGTGTTGGCATGGCAGGTATATAGCATGCTGGAAGAGTCCGTGTTGGCATGGCAGGTATATAGCATGCTGGAAGAGTCCGTGTTGGCATGGCAGGTATATAGCATGCTGGAAGAGTCCGTGTTGGCATGGCAGGTATATAGCATACTAGAAGAGTCCATGTTGGCATGGCAGGTATATAGCATGCTGGAAGAGCCCGAGTTGGCATGGCAGGTGTATAGCATGCTGGAAGAGTCCGTGTTGGCATGGCAGGTATATAGCATGCTGGAAGAGTCTGTGTTGGCATGGCAGGTGTATAGCATGCTGGAAGAGCCCGAGTTGGCATGGCAGGTGTATAACATGCTGGAAGAGTCTGTGTTGGCATGGCAGGTGTACAGCATGCTGGAAGAGTCCATGTTGGCATGGCAGGTATATAGCATGCTGGAAGAGTCCGTGTTGGCATGGCAGGTGTATAGCATGCTGGAAGAGTCTGTGTTGGCATGGCAGGTATATAGCATGCTGGAAGAGTCCGTGTTTGCATGGCAGGTATATAGCATACTAGAAGAGTCCGTGTTGGCATGGCAGGTATATAGCATACTAGAAGAGTCCGTGTTGGCATGGCAGGTATATAGCATACTAGAAGAGTCCGTGTTGGCATGGCAGGTATATAGCATGCTGGAAGAGTCCGTGTTGGCATGGCAGGTGTATAGCATGCTGGAAGAGTCTGTGTTGGCATGGCAGGTATATATGACTTGGTTGATGCATGTCATCGTTTCGCAATTGCGCGTATCGATGTTCATGATGTCAATCACTGGATTGTCTGGTCCAGATTCGATTATTTACAGACCGCTGGAATATTGGTGAGTGCGGTGTTAAGCAACAAATAAACAAAACAAAACTTCATTTGACGCCACCGTTCATTAACTTATCAGAAACATTAGACACTGTTGATTTTGCTAAGTCCTCTCAACATACCTATTGATATTGATATTGCACTTTAAATTGATACTTCTTACTTCAAACAACAAACATCTATGTTATTCCTCGTTCCCAGACTGCCCCTGTCCCATTACTTTTATTTACATGAAAAAAATGTCACACTCGAAATCACAGTCATGGAAAGTTCTCCTTGAGAATACGTGTACATACCTTGTTAAGGTCTGTTTGGTGGTGTAAATATTCATGTACTCACCCTCAGCTGAAATCTAGCACTGTCCTGTATCTGGCTACCTCAACTCCCCCTGATACACAGGATGCTTGTTCTATACACTTCTTATACACTGTTGGTTTTGTGTCTTGATGTAACGTGTGTGACAATATCAGTATCACTTATGTCAAAATAATATTCACTTCCAAACACGTCATGCAATTTGAATTTGCATTTAACTGATACTTGCAAATTGTAACCGTGATCCATACATTCTGTACATATCCCATCGACATGGGACTCGCTGTGCTTTGTCTGTTGAAGGGGATCAATGCCTCACGACACGGTTTTAAACGATGCACATATGTGCATCCAGTAAGCTCAAATGTGGAGAATGGACGCCAGAAAAAGAATATACTGCGTCCCCCAGGAGTCATTGTACCCCCAGCGCACTAAGAGCAGTAATGGGCGTCTGTTATTACATCCATCACATGGTCACTGGTTCATTCCATGCTTTTAAAAAAATAATGTAAACTACACCATTTCATTACGCTGTAAAAGGCGACTAACGGGATCGGGTGGTCAGGCTCGCTGACTTGGTTGAAGCATGTCATCGATCCCAATTGGATCGATGCTCATGATATCAATCACTGGATTCGCTATGCAGGGTTGCCAGAAACCTATGATGTGGGTTCGAATCCCGGCTCGCCCCGATTATGTTTCTAGGTTTGTCAGCACCATGTCCGTGGTCATGGGTTTCACCGAAGTGGTAAACGTCTGAGACCTGCATCACTTCGCACTTTCCTCCAACATTAAGCTGACACACCGCGATATAACTGGAATACTGTTAAAAGCGGCGTTAAACCTAGCTCACTTATTATTATTATTATTATTATGCATGTATAAACATATATAATGCTATTGAAATCTGGTAACTATTTTAAATTCACTAAATGTTTCTGTCATTTTGTATTGAATTTAAGTGTACTGTAATTTTCTAATTGTATGTATGTTTTAGTCAAAGCTTTAATTTCAATATGGTGCTTTGTCACGTCATTAATCGGACCAAGACATGTGAAGCAAAACATCAATTAATATTGCCACTGTACATCTGGTGCTTGCCTTCATTGTTGGCTAAATCTGAATGGCAAAGCTTATGAACATGTATGTCATTGTTGCAAAGTGAACTGCACTTGCTTGTGCTAAAGTTGAATTTTGATACATTTCTATTATGAAATAAAGTATTACTTTTAAACATTTTCTCTAGATACTTTTTTGTAGGGTGTCGAAAAACGACATTTCAAATTATACTGGCGCCGACAAAGTGTCAAACATGTTTGGTATGCTGCCAAGTACTGCAATGAAATTACTCTGAAGCTGGTAATGCTTTCAAAATGGTTGTAAGGAGGACGTGTTCGAGGGTGTCATGTTTTGTGATGACGATTTTCTTCCCCTCAACGTCCAGGACAAGACAATTGAGAAGCCGTTATTGCTGCAACACCATACGTCTTTACCTCCAGTTCACACCAGTTAGGGGCGGTCGGGTAGCCTAGTGGTTAAAGCGTTAGCTCGTCACGCCGAAGACCCGGGTTCGGTTCCCGACATGGGTACAATGTGTGAAGCCCATTTCTGGTGTCCCCCGCCGTGATATTGCTGGAATATTGCTAAAAGCGGCGTAAAACCTCACTCACTCACTCACACCAGTAAAGAAGCTCCATACACTGAACAAGCTCCTCATCTGACACAAGGTATTTCGAACAAATAACAAGAACTCCACGCAGTGCCGACACGTCAATTTCCCTGGATGATTGACACCTCAAAAACAGAATTACAGAATGTTTCAAAACAAAGTGTATGCGCAAAGAAATGCGCAAAGAAAGACACTATATTATAACCATAAATTCCTGTTTATGCCGAGAGCCACACAACACCTTTCTAATACATTTTCAACAGACGTCCTCTTCCCTACCAACATATCTGATAGTTTGAGGGAAACCTTATCCCTCGCGACAGGCGCAGCTGCGCATGCGCAAGGCGGGAGCACCTAACTTCTTTCCGGTGTGTCCAGGTGACAAGGAATTTTTTCGTTTGATACACCTTAACATGTGATTACCGTTCCACACTTTACAAGTCACACTAGATCATCACAAGCTTCAACTACAGACAAACAGTTCGCAGTTCTACAGCAGAGAACGGAGGTATAAGAAGGTAGAAGTCTCTGGAAAGTAATTAGTTTAGAGAACGTATTGTGGGATGAGGACTCCTGTCTACAGAGGCAGACTACAGTAACGACCCGTGCAAATGTGGATGAACACCACCAAAGCACTGGAGCTAGAAGTTCCACCTCCACCAGTTCGAATCTCAGAACTACATTGGTTGTTAACTCGTCAGAACGTTATGCCCGGAATCCCACTATAATAACCCCCTCCTCTACATCATCTCTACACAGACGCGTTAGGCGAAGGATGGGGCGCCCACATGAACGACATTACAGATCAGGGACAATGGTCCACCCACGAAAAGGAGTTACACATCAACTGCCTAGAAATGAGAGTGATAAATCTAGATCCAGAAGCATGGCTAGATCGTCTGCAGCATTCGTCAGTAAAGATCTCAAAAGAGAACTCGGGTGCTTAAAAACAGCAACAGGCAGGCACGAAGTCTCAGCCTTTCTTGAAGGAGGCTACAGGTTTGTTTGCCTTGGTAGACTCAGTGAGTTTACAGGATCGAGGCAAGACACATTCAGGGCAAGTTGGATATCCCAGGAGATTACCTATCCCGGAAGAGCAAGATAGTACAGTTGATGGCCCAGTTACTTAGGTACCGCCATTCGCTATAGTTCTCTCCTCCTCGACAATTCAATGTATTATAGTTTGTTTGTTTGTTGTTTAACGCCGCACTCAGTAATATTTCAGCTATATGACGGTGGTCTGTAAATAATCGTGTTTGGACCAGACAATCCAGTGATTGATGCCATGAGGATCGATCCACGCAATTGGGATCGATGACATTCATCAACCAAGTCAGCGAGCCTTACCACCCGATCCCGTTAGTCGCCTTTTATATTACGACAAGCATAGTCGCCTTTTAACGGCAAGGATGGGTTGCTGAAGACCTATTCTATCCCGGATCCTCAAGGGGCCAATGTATTATAACCCACTTCTTGTAACTAAATTAAACTCACTCCATTCAGTTATCAGCAAACCAGCATTCCTCAGTCCATATGTACAAATTAATATCAACTTGATTTCGATACTTCACACACAGTTACAGCTAACGGAAAAGATTATCGTGCAGGTACCAGTGAGAAACACATATCAAGTATATTTTTAAAGCTATAAAATGGTCTTCTTTAATTTATGAGGTGTTTAGTTATCCTGTACAACATTTAGTTCAAACTTGTTTACTTCATTATTCAATAACCATGCGAAAATGGCCTTATTTTTGGTGTCGAGATCCTCTAGTAAAAGCAACTTGAGACATGTCAGCCCGAATTTTAATTAAACATATTTAAATTTCTTAACTTTACAATTCGGGGAATTTCCAGGTTCCTAATGTTAAAGTATCATTATTCTGATATGAAATGAAAGAGGAGAGTACAAACTATAAAAATATAAGCAATTGAGTGGGTGCTAGAGTGAGTGAGAGTCAGTGAGTCAGTCAGTCAGGGAGTCAGTCAGTGAGTAATTCAGTGAGTCAGTCAGTCAGTGAGTCATAGTCAAGTCAAAGATGTTTATTGTATCAAAGGCCATCGGCCCATATACAAGTTCAGATAAATACAGTGGGTGAGAATTTACAGATTGGGAGTCAGTCAGTGACGCAGTCAGTGAGTCAGTCAGGGAGTCAGTCAGTCAGTCGGTGACTCAGTGAGTGAGTAAGTCAGTCAGTGACTCAGTCAGTCAGTCAGTCAGGGAGTCAGTCAGCGAATGAGTCAGTCAGTAATTGTATGATTGAGTGGACAAGAAGTGTGTAGGGCCACGAGAAAGTCTCTGATAAGGCTTTACGGAAAGAAAAGCAACATAAAATAAATCAAGAATAACAAACGATTGTCATTCTACCTGTATTCATATTTACAAAAAGACGTTACTTCTTTTCCTTCTTGCAGGTATTTTATTAAAGTCTACATATCGGCACTTTTCTATACATTCATGTCCAAGCCAACTTCATGGAGGTTACATCTTGGTTGGAACAGCTACTACCATTATATCTCGAACCGAGATATATCTCGAGGGTCAAAAGAATCCACAGTCTATTGCTCCCACTTCATTTTATGATATGTTATATTTTCAATTAAAAATATATAAGTTAGCGTGATATCTTAAAAATGAACTGTACATGTACTTGTGTTTGGTCAGCACTCAAAGCATACTTCTACATTCTTTTATATTTTAGAATATAATTTGATTTAAGAGTTTAAAACGTAAAAAAATAATACGCACAAAACAATTGCTGATGGGTCTTAGACATCTGGGGGCATTCGCTGTGCAGAGTTTCGTCCTTTGGGCACGCCAGAAACCTATGGTTGTGGGTTCGAATCCCGGTTCGGCCCGATTATGTTTCTAGGTTTGTCAGCACCACACCCGTGCTCGTGGGTTTCACCAAAGTGGTAAACGTCTGAGACCTGCATCACTTCGGGCTTTCCTCCCACATTTAGCTGACGCGCCGTGATATAACTGGAATACTGTTAAAGGCGGCGTTAAACCAAACTTACTCACTCACTCACTCACTCATAGGCAAAAGATGTTATTCTAAGAAGAAGCGTCGGATTTAAAAAAAAGTTTTAAAAAACCGTCCAAGATACATGTATTGTTTGGTAAGTCTTCCATGTGATAGATTTCGAAAAGGAGTCCATTGAAGGTCATTTGTTGACGAGAGGAGAAATCAAAAAGAATATATTATGAAAACTGTATACCAACTTCCTGATTGATATGAGAGTAAAGGTCAGGGCATCGACAGATAAACATGAGAGTGTATGACAGATTTAAAACCTCGTGACACCTTCCATAGAGTCAAACGACAACATGGAGTCTGATCAATCTGCGACACCTTCCTCAAGAGACGGTTCGACGAATAACATTCATCTTGGCCTTACGGACCCGAAAACCACAGCACCTACCCCAATTGGCAAGGTAAACAGGAGATAATTCATCATCAGAATAGGTCTTCAGGCGACTATGCTTGTCGTAAAAGGCGACTTTGCTTGTCGTAAAAGGCGACTATGCTTGCCGTAAAAGGCGACTATGCTTGCCGTAAAAGGCGACTATGCTTGTCTTTAAAGGCGACTATGCTTGTCTTTAAAGGCGACTATGCTTGCCGTAAAAGGCGACTATGCTTGTCGTAAAAGGCGACTTTGCTTGTCGTAAAAGGCGACTATGCTTGCCGTAAAAGGCGACTATGCTTGTCTTTAAAGGCGACTATGCTTGTCTTTAAAGGCGACTATGCTTGTCTTTAAAGGCGACTATGCTTGCCGTAAAAGGCGACTATGCTTGTCTTTAAAGGCGACTATGCTTGTCTTTAAAGGCGACTATGCTTGTCGTAAAAGGCGACTATGCTTGCCGTAAAAGGCGACTATGCTTGTCGTAAAAGGCGACTATGCTTGTCTTTAAAGGCGACTATGCTTGCCGTAAAAGGCGACTATGCTTGTCGACAAAAGGCGACAAACGGGATCGAGTGGTCAGACTCGCTGACTTCGTTGATGCATGTCATCGTATCCCAATTGCGTGGATCGATGCTCATGATGTCGATCACTCGATTATTTTACAGAACGCCGTCATATAGCTGGAACATTGCTAAGTGCGGCGTTAAGCAACAAACAAACAAAAATAATCATCAGTAATAGATCAAAATGGGTGTGATCCCTTCTCTCTTTCATCATTGGTTAGGAATCTGGTTCTAAGACAAGAAGTCTGTCATTGAATCTTTAATGAACCTTTTTTTATGATTAGATTTTTTTTTAAGTAAACAAACTTTGGGAGATGATCAGACACCATCTGGATATAACAAATACTGTCATTTATCATGTTGTGACTGACATTGCGTAAAAGTAACTTGTAGGCTCTCACAAATTCGTTGGTAAACTGTGGAGCGTCTGTCAGATAGCAAAACATATCTGTGAAAGTTATCTCTGGGCATGTCGGATCATCAACACAGACATTTCGCAAACAATACGGGTCAGTCAAAGTACAAGTGTGCGATGCTTCAGGTTTATCACGTATCTTTTGAGTGCCTCAGTGGGTATGTTAAGTACACAATCCGACTATTGTTTGCTTTCTGTGATACACCGGTTCGCATTATTACCGTTATTGTTACTTTATGTCTACCTGTGCCTGAATCAGCGTAGTTCTTGACGTCACTTCCGTCAAAATACGGATGTTTTTATACTGATATGACAAGTTGACTCTCAATATACAATAGTAGTAGTAGTTGTAGCAGTTTATTTAGTTTAGTAGTTCTAGACATTAATTAGAAGACCTTAATGCGTAGCAATTTTAGTAGTAGTAGTAGTACTAGTAGTAGTGGTAGTAGTAGTGGTAGTAGTAGTAGTGGTAGTAGTAGTGGTTGTCAGGGTTGTTGATTATTCGTTTGTTGTGTATTCTTCCATGACATTGAAGAATGCTTGATTTTGATTAGTTAAAAAGAGGTATCCTTTATTCCCACTGAAATCTCTTTTAAATTAGGCCTTTTCACACACAAAACATCATGCTTAGGAATACATCGATAGCATACATATCTATTCACAGCAAATGCCTCCGATAACCCATCAGAACAGGAGTCATCATCATCATCATCATTTATTGTATTCTGGCCATAGGCCCATATACATACGTGGAGTCCATACCGTATTCCCTCTACTGCACGACCCGTGAAGATCCGGATTAGAATAGGTCTTCAGGAATCCATGCTTGCCGTAATAGGCGACTATGCTTGTTGCAAGATTATTTATAGACGGCCCTCATTTTAGCTGAAATATTGCCGAGTGAGACATTAAACAACAACAAGGAAGGGTTCAGTAAAACATTTTTAGCCTGGACTCAGGAGGGGAAATATTTTTTAACTGAAAATAATGTAATTATCCTTGTTATTTTTAACAAATAAATCGATGATGAACAACTATAATTGTGAAATGTCATTTATTGTAGTTAAATTAACATTCAGTTTCAACCTTTCAACAATTTTATATTTCCATTTAAAAAGTATATGTTTCTTCTCACGAAAAAGGCTTTGCAAAAGAATTTTTGTAGCTTTTAGGGTACTTTTTCTCCTTAAAAAAGATATTCTGAAGTGTTTATTTCTCTATAATGGGCCTCACAGTACAAAAAGAGAAACACATGGAACACATTTTCCCATGAAGAAAATCTGTACTTATATTATATCCAGTTACGAAAATGCTAAGTTTGTATTTTGTTTCCTGGGTAGTAAAAAAAGGCACATTTATGGTTCCAGCAGGGATGCAGGGGTTCCCATCCCACCTCCTTGAAGCATATTTCTATAACATGTGAGAATATGTAACTTGACCAGTTGGGGATAAAATTTCAGCAAAAAGTATTTTTCTTCTATGTTTCATTTAGAAGATGGCATGATAAACATGTGACGTAGTTCTATGGGCAGACACTGCGGTGTAGGTACTGCGCCGTTATCAAGCAAGTGACTTGTTCCAAACTTGTTAAACAGGTCAACCAAACACAATTGATATGTGATTTGTTTTCATCTGGCATGCTCTATGAAAGGTCTGCGTCCCCCTTTTCTTAAACGCTATATCTCTGCCTGTGTTTTACAACCATGACAACAGAGCAACTCTAATAATTTCATTTTTTCTGATTTTAGATTAAGACAATTGCAGTCTTGCATAAAAAAGAATCGGTATTTCTGGCTGTGTCTTTTAAAGCTGCACACTCCCATTCAGGCAATATCTATGCTTGTGTTTAACGACAGAGGAACTACCGAATTACCGGTATTTCCTGTTTTCTGATTTAAGATAAAGACATTTGCTCGCCTTGATCGAAAAGAACGGTTCTTTCTGCTTGTGTCGACTATCAACATCTTGGTGGCGGTTGGACTGACCATCTACAGTCTGGTAGTGGTCCTCAAAACTGACCCGGAGTCATCAGATTTCACCTTCACTATACTTCTACTTATCAATGCTGGTAATAAACATTCTTTCATGAATTAAAAAAAAGCCTCAATTCTGTTTTGTAAACCAGAGGTTTCAAATCACAATAATTACCTCTGACTGAAAAAAATACTTTCAAATATGCTTCCTGAAAATCATTGTGTATTAGCTGTTGACCCATAAGTTATTTAATTCATATTTGTTTTTATAAGTAGTGCGTGAAGTGATTAAGTGGAACCATTTTCATTACAAATATGCCTCTGTTCACCCAGCAGTGAATGGGTAACTGGTAGGATGAGATGGCAGTTTGACACTTGACTTTCTAGCGCCTCACGGGCAGCTAGTTGTATGAACCCAAGGAAGCTGAGAATTAAGTCGAATGCACAGTGATCTATTGACCGGGGGCAATAATGTAGCGCTTTCATCGTGCTTTAGGGTGTGGATTTGTTGCATTATTAATATGCAAATTATTATATCATTATCATCATGTTTACGCGTTTACCGTTGGGCTGCGTACAATAATGAAGAAAATAAACACAGTTTTTAAAAGACAAAGGATTCATTTTTTTAACTGGCTAAGGCATCATATTGATTTGGGTTTTACTACAACAGAAATGAGAATGCTACTTCTGAAAAAAATCTTCTCTGAAAAACATATTCTCTCCCTGTAGCCGTGGAAACCAAAGCTTTAATTTCTTAGTGTCGAAATGTGCAAATGCTCTTTTTACACAAGCCTACTTGGAGAGACTGAGAAAAGTACCAATAAAAGTCGGATTTGCATATTTTTGTGCTAATTTTCCCCTGCATGCATTTTCCTGTAACAATCTTTAAAAACGTTGCAAAGAAAGTAAAAAGAAGGGCGAGGCTTTATATACCACGGCACACATAGCAACAGGTTCAGATAACTTTTGGTAAGGTCAAGCATCATCTGAAACGTCTTTTAGATGTATTTTCCACTGACCTGCAAATCCGTAAACCAGAAAATAAAGGAAATCTGGTCTCTCTATTATTTGAAAGTTTGCAAAATCACAATTTCTGTGTCATGACCAAACATCCCCAAGTTTTGTTTTCATGTTCAGGTTTCTGCATCTTCTACGTCGTCCATGGTTTGTTTCGTGAGCGTGTCTACGAGATATACGCACTGATGGCGGCCATGTTTGTTGTCACCATGTACTGTGTGTTGGAGTTTGGTGTTAATGAAGAAGGGAGAACAACCATCAAACTGGTAAATCTACACTTTTATGTTTTATTTTTGACAGATTTGGGGTTTACTTAATAGCTTGGAGGGTCGAAATAAGAATGCATTTGTGTAGGTGAATAATTATGCATTTTATTTGCATAGGTTGGTTGATTTACCGGTACAAGAACAAGTGAATGCTATTTCCGAGTAAGGTGCCGGATGTTTATTTTGGCACTGACATCTGTATCTTGTATCTGAGAAGGCTTTGTTCACTCCCCCGTGAAGATCCGGGATAGAATTGACCCATGCTTGACTTGACAGGAAACTAACGGGATCGCATGGTCAGACATAGTGATTTGGTTGATGCATTTCATCGAAGATCAATACTCATGATGTCTTATGAGTGAATTGTTTTGTCCAGTCGCGATTATTTACGTCATACATCTTGAATACTTCTGAGTGTTGTGTTAAACAACAAATAAACATGTCTTGGAACTATTTGTTTTGCTTCATTTAAGTATTACATTTTTTTAAGGTAGTATGCCAACTAGGAACGATGTCACAATCAGTACTTGTGAAATAGCTCTTCCTTGACTTTGGTACATACCCAATTCTAGTCAATCAGAGGTTTCAAATCCACTAATAACCTCTGAAACAGTCGATTGATATTTATAGAAAGTTCATCATTCACACTCGTGTTTGGTAGGCACTTTCAAATAGTGATATCAAGAATTTGAAGTTATATAATGCAACTTTGCAGTTCAAACACCATGCAAAGTATGTATGACAAAACAATTGGGGCAGAATACATGGTAGAAATCATGTAAGAGAGTGTATTGCAAATTTGAGAGTCAACACAGAGTTTGCGATTTGTCAATAACTCTAACTTTATTATCACATTGTGACATCATGATGGTGGTATACTCTGTCCAGTCCGCGGAAATGTAGAGAATGTACACAGGAAAAAGATAATAATATTCACTATAGCTTTAGTGCATCAAGAGCAGTTACTGTGTCTGTTACGTGCATTTCATCCACTCATCACGACCACTGTACACACGAACATTGATTCAGTCCTGGCTCTGAAGTAATTATGTAAACGTAAAGTACACTGAACCATTTCATTACTTTACAGGACCCTTAAATTACCTGCAAGGGCCCTTAAAATTAATTATTGGGGGTCCCCTGGACCCACTCTATGTTTGTCAATAATGCAACAAAAGCATGCAAGGTTCACTTCATGTTCGTTTTGTAGAAACACTAAGAATAATGCTTTTTACCGATTTAACATGTGTTAGTCTACACAGTGACTGTGAGTGAGTGAGTTGGGTTTAACGCCGCTTTTAACAGTATACCAGTTATATCACGGTCTGTCACATTAATGTGGGAGTGTGGGAGGAAAGCCCGAAGTGATGCAGGTCTCAGACGTTTAACACTTCGGTGAAACCCACGAGCACGGTTATGGGGGGTGACAAACCTAGAAACATAATTGGGGCGAACCGGGATTCGAACCCACAATCATAGGTTTCTGGCGTACCCAAGGGACATAACTCTGCACTGCGAATCGCGGCGCCTTAGACAACTGGGCCACCCGTGCCCCCCACAATGACTGTGAAGTTTCCCAATGACATTTATCAAATATGCAGTAATCACTTGTGCTTTGTACAAACACTATAGTTCTGAAATGCAGTCGTGTAATTTCAATGGATTTTTCATTTGTTCAACGTGTATTTTAAATTAATAATATGTAATACACAGATTGTTCCATGAGTTCAAGAAAGCTTGGTTTCGCTTCTGAACATTATATAATTAACATGAACCTGACATCTCTCAGACGCATTTCCCACCCTCTAACGCCATCTATATATCCCAGAACATCCCAAATGGTATCACACAACATGTTCAGAAGTATCAGTGGAAACCACTGTACCCTATCCAAGTGTAGTGTAGGTTCAGGCCAAATAGCTGGTTTAGAACATCATCACTGAAAGTTAGCTTCTCTTCCTTTGGTAAATGTTATAGTAAAATTGTGTTTTATTTTCAGGTCCGTATGATCTTAGCAATCGTCTTCACCCCGCCAAACTATGCACTGGGCTACTTTGTTGCAAAGGCTTTTGGATATGTGAGGTTTGAAACAGTTGCAGCTTCAGCACACCTAAATCGTAAGTATCAGCCTTCGGTTTCAGATCGTTACCATAAACGAAAATAATAACCTGTAAATTTGTATTTGGAATATTTGAATCAGACATGATAGTTACAAATCAATGGCAAGGGTCCTTGTCATTATCCTAATGTTGAATGTTCAAGGTTGAGAGGGTCACATGATTTAAATACTACAAGAGCAAACCTAAATGAACCCATGGCCCCTTTAATTCGATCACTGGTGGTGACTTGCATGACTTATGTAATTTATGGTGTTCATGTTGACTATACTTGCTGTTTGTTTTTCAGAGCTCTACAGACAGGCAGACATATTTTCCTGTCTTTTAAAGTTTGACTGTCAGGCGTCGGTAAAACGTTTTTCATCAAGTATAGAATGCGTTTATTGATGACGAACACATATGAGGGGCTGCCTGTACCCTTTTAGTACCCTGGTTTCGGGGATCTATTTAGAGGGTTTTCGGGACTCAGCCGTGTGGTTTCGCGGGACGCAAGTAAAATAGTATTTGAAAGACATATTTAACATTTGAAAAAAAAGTAATGGTGTTCGCCAAAATAATCCTTTATACATTTAAATTCATATTTTCAGTAACGTAACTTCAAATCGCAAGTGTTTTAGTTTTAAGTAATATTCAGGAGTCAGGTTTGAGCAATAAGAGAAACATTACATAGTATTCAGGATTCAGGAGAGGGCGGGGTTGGCATTCTCATACGATCTCATGTTTTTCCTGAGCTTTAACTAACATGTACCTTGCACTGATTTGACCCAGATTAAATCTTTAGGTAACACTGTATCATTTTCTCGTAAATTCGGGTCTTGATGGGGAGTGGTCGTTGGTCAGTAGTCAGTACAATTTGGTGCCTTAGTCAAAGTCAGTGGTCAATATATTTTCGGTTTAGTCAGTATGATGTTGTGATTGGTCTCGGTATCAGATAGTCAGTAAAACTGTAGCACACCGGAATGTAAAATGCGAAAGCATCTCTGTGGAAATGTGGATCATCAGTCTGTTTAATTAAACATGCGGACAGCTGATTCTGTTTTATTTCTGCAATTTCTGTTTTGCAAATTCCAAAAACTGACTTTTTGTGTCGTTAGATGTGGTTAAATATGATTTCTACGAGATTTTAGAACGATTATGAAACATAAAAAGCTAATTATAAAGGGGTTGTTTTACGCTAAATCATATACCCCTTCAGGACCCTCCCTATTGGCATAATTTGATTAGACAACATCCGAAACATCCTGATTCATTGTTCCTTTCAACAATGTTCAACAATTAGATAATGCATAATCTTGCGTTGTGTTTTTACTTTTGGTGCACATACTTACATTATCTTTACTTATCCTATCTCACACATTGCAATTAGTCTTTTTCTACGAACAGAAGGCGGAAAAACGTGCTCGCGAATGCAACCGTTCGCAGGTTGAAACACCTCACCCGAACGCAGTACACCCGTAAGGCACGAACCTTCAGTCGCTGAGTGTTCAAGACTTGTGGTTTTACTCCTGGTTAAACTTGGATTACCATGCTGTTTATCAACGTGTCTTTGCCGCTAGATCTACGTGGTTGTTGTACCATAGACACACACGGTAGTTACGCAATGCTTCAGTTCATCAATTTTGCAGTGGGTCTATTATCTACCGTGCCCGAAGTGGTTGATATACCACCTACCATTCGACAATGTCTGGCGATCAGTCTGACGTTTCACCCATCGCCGCCTTTGACATATCAGTAGAAAAGATAGTCCTACCTCGTACACCACTTTCTGTCACAAAGGACATTACATCATCGGCTGAGGAGACAGGTAGGTACGTATGCGCCGTGCCTTCTCCCTCTTTTGGTACTTATAACCGTCAAAGGTTCTATGAGCTACTCTATCCAGAGGCTGTTCCCATTCCCGACGAGAATGGTTCCCAGTCACATTCTTCACGGATCCGCAGTGAACGTCCGCCATCATCCCTTGCGCCGTGCTCCTCCACAAGACGCCTCTGGAAAGCTCCTTAGAACCTTCCACATCTCAACCTCCAGAATGAGTCCTTTAATGCGCCCACCTATCTTGGTCATACTTTCCCTGTCCGATCACTGTGGTATTTGAAGGCTCCATGAGTAGATGAGACCGCCTCCGTGGTCTCATGGTAAAGCGTCCGCTTAATACTTAAAGACGTTAAAGGCTAATTATAAAGGTTCTTATGTGATTGCAGCTCTCGAACATCCCACATTTCGCGAGTCCCGATTTGCTATCACAGTGGAATTGCAGCAACATGATCTTGCTAATGCCGTGCGACACGTGAAGATTCCGGGGTGGAATAGGTCTTCAGCAACCCATACTTGCCGTAAAAGGCGACTATGCTTGTCGTAAAAGGCGAATGCTAATGCTGTGCCTTTCATGGCGAGTGCTACCTGTACGTGCAGTCTGCACCAGCGGCAGGAACAACTTTGACGTCGGGGATACATCACTCAGTCGGAAATGGATTCAGAGTGCCCTCTTCAAATTTTGAAGCAGCTGTGATCAGCTCCCATACTCTTCAATGATGTACAGAAGGAAGTCGATGATGCAAGTGTTACAGTTAACTGCCAAACATTTCTTCCTATCATGCCTCAGGCTGAGGTCATCCCCACTTCCCAGAGCTTATTCCGTGCCTCCACTAGGACTGATTACAGATCCCGTTTTGACCAATCCTGTACAAGAGCCTGAAACCCTGGACAGCATTCCCAGGCTTCCACGCCCAAGTATTGTCTTTCGAGTGACCCCCACCAGAAGATTACAGAAGACTTTGCCCCACTGGACCATCCTGAGCGACCAGTATGTCACAACTGACCCAGAAGAGGGGTATCGGCTTCCCATAACAGAACCACTGCCGCTGGCGTCATCGCCACTTGTCATCCTAAATTTTCCCTGCCAGTCTGCTGATTGTCCAAGTTCTCTTTACCAAAATCACAAAGCCTGTCGTCTCCTACCTCCATTTGAGGCATACCTGGTAGATTGAATGCAGAACCATGCCAAGCGGGATGTACTTCTACATCAGTTGTTCTTTACCGGATGCCCTCTCCTCTGCCTAGTTTAGCTAGTCAACAAGGCAAGGTCTGATTTTCATTGGGGCAGTCTTCCTTAAAGCCAACAACCACATTCTTTTCCAACCAGAAAGGGGCCAAACACTAGTCGTGTAAAGTCTGCACCAGCGGCAGGAACGTATCGATCTTCTCGCTTTGGCACAGGCACTCATGGTATGGTCGTCTCCAACCACGACCACTCTAGCATTTCCTCCAGCTGTTCAGCAGTCAAACCGCCACTTCCTCCTACCTAATCGCGCACCTCATCTTCACCCGTTCCTCGCCTGTGCACACGGCCATTTAACGTCTGCAATAGCATCTCCGTGACGACGTGTATCGCCAATGACCATGTTGTCATGGATGCCTCTCAACAGGGCTGTGCCCAACTTCCAGACCTGCATGTAGTCAGACGACCACTGTTTTTGGCACATCAACCATATCAAGTTTGAGGCCGTTATTCTGGCCATATCTCACTGGGGAATAATTTCACTCCTTCAGAATTCTTGCCTTATGATCATCATGGACAACACCACAGTGGTATAGCAGATCAGGGATTCACAAGGTCATAGTCTCTGTTTCATCAAACATTCAGCCTGTTTCGTCTCGTCAACATGATCCAGATCACAGTTCTAGCACGTCACATTCACGCACAATCATCAGTCATCAACTGGTGGATTCTTTCGCCTCCAGGTTCAACAACCCCAAGACGTGCTTTTCATACCAAGGGAGGTCTGCATTCTCTCCTTCAGCGCTTCTACCTCTCATCCTAGGAAAGATTCAGTAGACTCGAACTCTAGGACTAATACTTATGGTAGCGCTCTTTGGGCCCGGTACAACTGTGGTTATCACGCCCTTCTCGACGTAGCCATGTCTCCTGTTTCTGACTTCAAGTGTGGAGAAGTCTCCTTCTTCACCCTCAAATTCGACAGTGTCGTCCGACCCGACATGCGTTCTACCTACACGTTTGGCTCATATTCAGAAATCACTGAGTTGTAAGGGTTATTCGTCATGTGTTGCTTATTAGTTCTTGACATGATAACTTTATGGTGTGAAATTATCTTCGTTTGCAAAATACTGTGACAACAACATATTTCCCTGCAATGTACATGCTCTAGATTGCAGAGGACGCCCTCAGTGGTCTAGTCGATTGAGCATCTCTCCGGAGAGCGACTCGATCCATGGCCGCGTCAAACAGACGTTAACAGATGGTACTTGTTGTTACCCTGCCTGGCGCTCGGCATTAAGAGCTCTAAACAAGGACTGTTCGGCTCGGAGTCAGTATACTGTGTCTGAGTGGCATAGTCATGTTTAACTGAAGCATGGTATCTCAGTGGGCTAGCATTGTAAAAACAGGATTAGTCCGAACCTGTACAAGCCACACACACATACACACACACACCTCCTCCTCAATTCTAATACTTATATGCCATATTGTTGTGACATTGGTATCGAGGAAAGTGAGTGAGTGATGTTTTCTTAACTTATGCTTTTTTAATTTCATTATCTCATCGGGGCGGTCGGGTAGCCTAGTGGTTAAAGCGTTCGCTCATCACGCCGAAGACCCGGGTTCGGTTCCCGACATGGGTACAATGTGTGAAGCCCATTTCTGGTGTCCCCCGCCGTGATATTGCTGGAATATTGCTAAAAGCGGCGTAAAACCATACTCACTCACTCATTATCTAATCATAAATAAGTCCAAACAAGTACAAACAGCCACACACACACGTACATGCACGTCGCTTTATTAGTGCAATAATTTTGAATGTGACTTTAAACGCCTTTTCGCCTTATTATGACACACTCACGGGGTGTTGCATCTTCATCCCAGGAAGGACTTTCTGGTCACCCTGACCGCATGTTTACTGTTGCACTACTTTCATTGATCGTTGGATTTGAAAATCAGCAGGAACTCATGCTTTATTTAAACTGTCACCGGCTATCTCCCTCACAACTGTCGCCTTTTGGCTCTATTCTACATTCCTCTTGGCTTTACCAACTTCCGGATGTAAAAACTTCCAGTACTTGCAATACGCATGAGACGTGTGCACTCGCACCAACATTGACTCTTCGTCGTCATTGCTCTGGCTCTAGTATCAGGGAGGGATGCCTCTGCCTGTCTGAGATTGTATTTGCGAGTCACATCCTCTGTGATGTCTCCTTCGAAGACGTTACTGGTCTTCACCATTTTGGACTGGGGGTTTTCTTGTTGCGAAGTCGCGTTTGCGAGCAAAGTTTCCACTTTTTGGTAGAAAGAAGAGACAAAATGCGATCTGTGAGACAGGAAAATTATTTAATATTAAATTGAATATATTTTTTTATTTACATTTCTAGATATCCTTTATGATCCTGGTATTGAAGAATGGTACCGACATCACGGTGCTGGAACAGGTCAATCTGGGCCTGGGGATACCATACACACTGGTGTGGTCAGTACTTGGCTGGTTTGTGGTGAGTGTGCATGTACAAACACGTGTAATGAGTTGTCACTGCAGCCAAGTGTGTGTGTGTGTGTGTGGGGGGGGGGGGGGGGGGGGCGTTGGGGAAGGGGTGGAACTACATGTGATAAGACCAATATGCTTTAAGAACCTTGTGCCATCAGTCCAATATGCCAATCAATATGCAAAGCGAAAAGTACTGTATATCCCAAGCACATTATTATTTAAACCATCCAGAATATGTCCAGTGAACAATGTATTTTGGGGGTTGAAGCTGAGGAATTTTTTTTTTTAAATCCTAGCCCGGTACGATGTGAGAAGACATTTTTTTGTATTTGACCAGAATGGTGAAGGTCTTAAATGAACTTGGGCTTACCTCCCACATTTTACTGAGAGCGTGATATAACTAAAATGCTGTTCAGGTCAATGGAGGTAATACATTTTCACTGAATGTCCATGTATCATGAGTTATTGGATCAATACCAGTACAAAACTACATCTCTCCTGAGACACAGACCAGTCTGGTTTGGACAACATTGTGTGCGAGATTCTCTCAAGAGTTACCCTCCTTGGTCATCAGTCCATAGTTTATCATACCCCCGACCTAAAAGGGCAGGGGTATATGGTTATACCAAGGAAGTCCTTCCGTTCCTGCTTCTGAGGACATTTGTTTGTGGTATCTATGACTTGAAAACTACAACATAGTTTCTTTTCAAAATTGGTGAACATCTATATGAGAGGTATAATGCGAAGTTGGATTTCAATATGTGGATTTTCTGAATAAATACAGCTTTTTGTCATTTCTTAATTTAGATTTTATTACTGAAATATTTGTCCGACCTCTAACTTGAAAACTTCTTCATGGTTTCTTTTCCAATTAGGGGTACAGTTTCTATACCAGTAGGAAAGGTGCAGTGCAAAGTTGGATTTTGATAAGCAGGTTTCCTGCGGGGAAAAAAACACTTTTTTATGTTTTGAACCTAGAAATATGTTGGAATCGAAGTCGGGGTATCAGTAAGCCTGTCTCACGTTTTGTCTTGCTTCATATAATATAAGCTTGAGTTTTGTTGCAATGGTTCCAGTTGAAGGTAAAAGCATGGGTTTACCTGGGCCTATCTTTTGGTAAGTCATTGGGACTTTCAGTACCAATTTCTGAGGTCATAGCTATGCAAGGGTGACCACATTACCAACAAGAAGTAAAATTTATAACACATGTCACACTATCAAAAAGCACTGCAGTTGTATTTGTCGTATGAAAAAGTCTTTGTTAGGTTCATATTATTATTCAAGAATGGTTACAATCTTGAACGACGTTCAATATGGCCGATCGCCAGCTAGCACGTGCAATACTTCGTAGGTGATGCACCTTGCACGTGACGCACTTCGCACGTGAAGCAAACAGAGTTACTTCCCCTAGACCTCTGCATAGCAAATACACCACACTCTTCCTTCCTTCAGTTGTATGTTCCATCATTATACTAGTGGTATAATAAAATAATTTAGCTGAAACTTCTCCAATGAGGCCGAACTTACCGTCGATTCGGGAAAACACTGAAGTATGGAAAATACTGAAAGCGGAGGAGTAGAATTGCAGCCTACTGATAGAAACGTATTTTCGTATGGGTCAAAAGATCCGTTGCAGATTAAAGGAACTTTATCTACTGATGATGCATATGCTGATAGATGCATAACTGCAGAACCGTCATCAATCTCAATCAATGAGACAATTATCATTAAGTGTCAGAAAAAAAGTTGACGAGAAACGTAAAGAACTTGAACAAGTTGATGTAATTGAAACTGTCATAGGACCTACTCCATGAGTTTCACTCCCAAACTAGGGAAGGATATGCGTGGACATGAAAAGGGTTAACAGAGTGGGTATTCGTAAAAGTCAACCCATACCAACAGTTGAAGATATTACTCATGACATGAATGGTGCTACAAGATTCACCAAATCGACCTTGAACCTGAGTCACATGTTATCATGACCTTCTCAGCTCACAAAGGACTATCCCATGACAAAAGACTGATGTTCGGGATTTCATCTGCTCCAGAAAGTAGTTGTACTGAACATGATCAAGAAAGCAGGGTGGACACAAGACAAGTCAAAATAAAAGTTTGGCATGGACAAGCTAGTCTTAACAGGGCACACGTCTTCCATAACATGGCATTACAGCGAAAGCAATATTGACGTCATGGTAAATGTCAAAGAACTTACAACACCGCCTAAAGTTAGAAGTTTCTTAGGTCTTGTACACGACTGTGTTAGGTTCATTCCTGATCTGGCAACTATATCAGAACCGATGGGACGACTTACTCGTTCAACTAGAGAATAGCACTGGGGAAAGCAACAGCAAAACTCGATTCAGGTAAATGACTAGTTATGGTGTACTACAAAAACGACGCTATGTCAAGAATATTGTTGATGCGAGTCCAGTTTGAAGCCATCCTAATTCAGAAACAGGTAGAGGCTGGAAGCTTTTACCAAGTAGCATATGCGAGTAGAGAACACTCGTAGATAAAAGATATTCTCAAACCGAGTAAGAAGCAACAGCATTAGTTTGGGGACGTGAGCGAGCTCAAAAGTACATGTATAGAATAAAGGTTGAGCTTGAAACTGACCACAAGCCATTAGAGGTCATTATTTTCATTTGTCAAAACCACCAGCAAGTACTGAGCGATGGGTTTTGACACTACGTCTTTACGTCTTCACAAAATGCAGCAGGTACCTTATCAAAATTACCGCAAGAAATTTACAAAGTAAGACACAATGTACATATACAACACAACACTCTGTGTTATTTACATGAATCTTAGGTGAAGGTTAAACGACTTTACAGTTTTTATGTGAGTTACACTGTAAGGAAGTTTCTACTCTGTCCCAAGCTTCGCAGAGAACTGAAGAGGTGGACCTGGGTGCTTGCTGGGGCCGGTGTTGCCAAGCCTGCTTACTACGTGTATAAACTTATTAAAGTGAGTAATGAATATATGGAATTACTACATTAAATATCTCAGGTAATTATAACTTCGTTGTTGTGTGTGTGTGTGGGAGGGGTGGGGGAGGAGGACATAAACACTTTTTAATATGTTTTTAATATTTTAAATGCTGCTCATCATTGGGGAGCACCATCATGGAACTTTTTGTTATCCTTGGCACAACTTGGTAGTCACAGGCTAGTGGAACAGTATGAATTATGAGTGAATATAGCTTTATGCCGCTTTTAGCAATATTCCAGCAACGAAAGGGACACCAGCAATGGGCTTCACTCATTGTACCCATGTGGGGAATCGAACCCGTGTCTTTGGCGTGACGAACGAAGGCTTCACCGCCGCCCCGTATGAATTATGAAGGCTATGTTTGTGGTGTTGACATTACTTATATGTGCAGTTGTGAAGGTAGACTGGTTAATTGCTAAGTGATGTATAGATAGTATATTGTAATATGAGGCTGGTGATACTTTGATACTGCAAGGGCAGTATTACATTAGAAATAAATACATTTGCCATATGAATGAAGAAATCATTGATTATTTGATCTTGTGATCTATTTATTGTCAATAATCCTCATGAAGATATGCTTGGGAAAGCCTTTGTCATTTGAATAATTTTATCTGAACCACTGCAAATTTTGGTTGAGGCAATAGGATTAGTGTTAATTAGCCACATAATACTATAACGATGCATTGATAACAGTTGATAGCAGTTATTAAAGGGCAAGTTCACACGGAAATTAACCTATTTTTCTTGTACTTTTTCCACATTAAAAGTGTTAACCTAGAAGTGCCATAGACAAAAATATAAAAATATCACAATTAATTAACATATTTTTCGCATTAAAACGATTTATATTTTTCACATTTACCAAGTGTTCTATTTCCATAACAAAAACACCATGGCTTATGCCCCTTGCAATATGACGTCATTGGTGCCAATTGATAAACATTATGACGTCATCATGCTTTGTTAGAGCCGCTTCACGTGGTGTAGGTCTAGGTGTGTGATTCTAGCGTCTCAGATGCCAGCCAGCATAGTGTTATGCTGAGTCACCACTGCGCCGGAGTGTGTCGTAGGCCATGTTGTTTTACCGCAAACTGGTACTTGATATCTTTTGCGTTGAGAATAGACAGGGACCCAGTTGAATTGGCACCAATTACGTCATAATCTAAGGGGGATAACTCAGGCCTGTTTAGCTCGAAAAACGAAGGCCTCATAACGGCATATCATTTTCACACTATTGTGAGCTTCCTACTTTCACTGTGAAAAAAATGAGTGTATATTTTCAAACACAGATACTAATTAATTCTAAAATTGCGTTATGTTTAGAAAAAGAAAGAAAGTGATTTTTGCGTGTACACTTCCCCTTTAACGATGATGGTGGTGGTGATAGTGGTATGTTGAAGATAGTTACTGCTGCTACTGCTGATTGTAGTTCTTATCAATTTCCCCTCAGATGTACGCACACTTGACGGATGACACTGATTCTTACAGCATCACCATCGTGTGGTCCCGCCTTGCTGCAGGTAACTCGCACTCTCGCCGTAGTTGGCAGTGGTCTCGGAAGCAGCATTGTACGTTATTGTTTGGTGAAAGACTGGGAAGCATCTATTGGTGACTCGTCAAACTGTTGAGAAACATATTTCCGGGAATATAACATAGTGCTAAGCTTTACTTTAATTATTAATATGTATATTAGTAAAAGTAGCAATTGAATTAAGAAGATATAATAATGTGTTAATAATAATTTTACCTCAATCATTACAAATTTGGGTTTATGTAATTAAACGAGTGTCAGTCAGCCACTGTCTATAGTAATAAGGAATTGAAATATGATTACAGTTAGCAGTTACTGAATGAAAAAATATGAGATGATGATGATGATGACGACGACGACGACGACGACGACGCCGAGGATGATGATGATGATGATGACGACGACGACGATCTCTCACTGTCTGTTTCTTGTTTCAGGAGCTATTGCCCTGATTTCCTGGTTCATCCTGATAGCTCATCTCGACATTGTACAACGAAACTTTGGAAAAGGACTCAAAGAAAAGGTAAATATTGAATCTTCTCGTTCATGATCTTAAACAGGTTGTAATTTATCTGTTGTAATTCACCCATATGAACCAGGTGAGCTTATAGGAATCTTCATTTTCCACCAAGAAGTACACATATCCATTTTAAAGATAAAAGATTTTTGACTTTACAGTTGGTTGACAAATAGTGTGTGGCTCCAAACTCGCTGAAGGTAACATAGTGAATGAAAAATAACAGTGGAGTACTTGTCGGGATATTGAGTTTTCTGTTTGTTGTCGACATGAGGAATTAGGAATGACAAGAGCCAAAAAACAACTTTTTTTCATAAACTTGCACTAATTACAGCAAAAGTGGCTTATTGATTATTTTGATAATACCTTCGGAAAACGAATGTCACACACACACACAAACATACATGTACACACACTCACTCACACAGACACATACACAAACACAGAAACACACACACACACACACAAACAAACACAATCACACACACACACAAACACAGAATTATGTTGTATCATCTAACCTTATTCTGCTTGTATTGTGAAGGCGCCACAATTCGGTGTGCAGAGTTGCGTCACTTGGGCACGCCGGAAACCTATATGATCATGGGTTCGAATCCCGGTTCTCAACGATTATGTTTCCAGGTTTGTCAGCACAATATCAGTGCTCGTGGGTTTCACCACACCGATAAACGTCTGACACCTGCATCACTTCGGGTTTTCCTCCAACATTAAGCTGACTCGCCGTGATATAACTGAAATGCTGTTCAAAGCGGGATTAAACCTTACTCACTCACCTACTGCTTGTCTTGTTCATGGCAAAACGTATCCTGATTCACTAACACTTCAGTCAGTTGTTACAGCTCAATGGTCCAAATTCAGGTCTGCACGATCTGGGCCCACTTGCACAAAGCGATTTTAGCGCTACGACTATTGTAAGCCTATGTTAAAGTATGGGAGTTACGATCATCTTAGCGCTAAGTTCGCTTTGTTCACGTGGGCCCTGTTGCTGGTCAGTCACTCGGTTGTGAGTTGACGGTATCCATTTTGTCTTTTAGCATTTCACACATTTTCACCAAAATTTTCACCGTGAAGGGTGCAAATGGCTTGGTGCCAATAGTAAACATAAGGAATCAATCGCCAATCCAAGATAAGGGACATGCTGAACTTTTTTCCAGATATCAAAAAAATGATGGTAAGCAGTATGAAATGTCCCTTTGCCCTCTACCCCTCCAGTACATCCAAACAAACCCAAGTCATCCCCGGTCTGTGCAGTACCTGCAGCCTGTGCACAGCTATACATACGCTCCCAAACCCTTACATTTAACAAACAAATGTATACGCACTGCATTTGCACAGTCATATTGTCATTCTCCCCGTGGGGACTCAGGGACAGTTACGGTAAATACTACTCCAGACTTAGTAAGGATTAGAATTTATGGATGAACAACTTCTTTATAATTATTACAATTAAGAGCGACGTTTTCGGTCCTCATGGAGAAGTCACTCCAGCCTTGTGTCCCTGTGGGAATTCCATGACATTCACGGTCAACAGTGCTCCAGACCCGTTTCCCTGTGGGGTTTCCGGGACAGTAACGGGCACCAGTAGCACATGTTTTCCATATGTGGATCAGGTAGAGGTCACTGGTACTCCAAGTTTTTTTTGTCAACCTGATGGCTTTCCTGAGCAGATTGGAGTGCAAGCTACCAATTCCTACAGCAAAATGATACTGAAAATGAAAGTCAGTGATACGGCTACATGACCAGCCTGTGTGGATGGTTCCACAGACCACATACCACTGGTTAACATTCAGGTATCTGGTCTAGCGGCAGTTGTGTTACACACAACATTCACTTGCTCACCTACTTTCCCTGGTGTAATCCATCATCATATCATAGGGAATGTGGTGAGGGTCCTGTCTTTCATAATAGACAGAGGAGGTCTCGTAACGTTTCCCAACCAGTGAACAGAACAGTTTTACAAATGCAAATGTATTTAAATTACACTGTGACTCCGTTTGTTTTGTCCGTTTTTGACAGTCCCCAAAGTCACCTAAAGATTCAACATTTTCACAATTTGAAATCCAAACATATATGTATGATGTTTCAGCTCAGAAAAAACTGACAATGCCCCAAGTTATATAGTTATCTACCCGTCCCCATCCCCCAAGCTGACAGAGGCAATGCTCCCCAGTAACCTGCAAATCACATTCCTACCCTCCACTCTTCCCTTTACAATATTAATGCTGGCCCTTAATATGTAAGGGGTACTGCTGCTGATGGAAGAAACACCTGTTCTGTCTGAAATATAAGCAACAAAACCTTTTCCATAATCAAAAGAAACTTCCACAAAATGCAGCGTCCATTTAACGATTCCTACTTTATCACTAGCATGTGTTTATGGACGAATCACTGTCAAATAGTTATGATACCAGGTGTTTGCGAAAAGGTGTACATCTCTTACCTCACCAATGGCATCTGTCACAAACACATGCAAAGGCAAGTTAATTGTTTACCTGAATTAACATAGCAACAAGTACAAGTAAAAATAGGGAATTGCATCAGACATCATTTTTTACTTGAAATCTTCTCTACAATACAATCGTTTAATTAGCTATTATCATACCAGTTATTACTATGATTATGATGACTCATGAAACAAGTAAATAAACAAGGAAGATGTATGAACAGCCAACACAACAATATAATCAGTAAGATAAACTTTAATTGTTTGCAGATTCAGAACGTCTACATGTACTTGTTGACAGGACGAAGGTCAAGTTGGCAATGATTCAAGTTTAACAAATTCCACGAATCCAGTTCCCATGGCAATATATTACAAGCTTTATAAAAACAAGCAGGTGTGTGATGTAGATGATGGTGCCCATGTTGCAAGTGGCCGCTACTTAGTTTGCAAGCCTCCTGCTATCCTGTTATTTTATTATTGTGTAAGAATGATCTTGAAATATATCGTTTCATAAATACTGTCGTGATATGCTACGTGTCTGTGAATTTCATTTGTGACCAACCATGCGATAAGGGACCTTATGGGTGAAAAAACTCATTTGGACTTTTCTTTTAAAACTATAGCATTTTCTGAAGACAAGTGTACAATTCACACGCTTCAATTAATATATATTACAGAGATACATGACATCACACATGGCGATCTTCACTGAAGTAAGTTGACGTCAAACGTCTCATGACATCATATTAATGTAGCACAATTGTATCCAAGCACCCCTAAGGTCCCATATCTCCTGCAGTGTCACATTTTATAATCTTGTTTGTTCATGTTTCTTAAGCTATGTACAATTACTGTGTTTTGCTTGATCGACATGCGGTTATTCATTTATGTTTTGTGTACAATGTTAAAGATTTCGCAAAAGAACTTTTGTCATTCCTGTTTTTTCTGATACATTTTAACAACCATACATGTACAAAATAACAATGTTCTGCAGATACTATTTTAATATATGTCATCAAATGTTGTTTTATGAATACGAGAATGTCCAAATATGTAACTGTTTCTTAGTTTCCGTGGCTTTCATTGAGTATCAAAGTATTGATACTTCATGAAGCAACACGATCCAACCACTCAGATATCACTATTATGTATCGAAACCCTGTGAAGATCTGGGTCAGAATTGATCTTCAGCAGCCGCTGTCTGTCCCCTGTGAAGATCTGGGAAAGAATTGGTATTCATAACCCATGCTTGTAAAAGGCGACCAACAGGATCGGGTGGTCAGGCTCGCTGATACTGTTGAAGCTTGTCAGGGTATCTCAATTGTGTAGATCGATGTTCAAGATGTAAGTCACTTGATTGTTTGGTACAGACTCGATTATCTACAGACCGCCGTCATACGTCTGGCATATTTCTGTAGTGTGGTGTAGAACAACAAAGAAACAAACATGTCTTGAAACTAAACTATTGAATTGCTTTCATTTAAATACTACCTTTTTGTCAACATGGGTACTATGCTAACTAAGAATTAAAAAGAGCCTGGATCAATAGATAATCCTTTTAACCAGAAACAACATTCACAAAACTTATGACATGTTGTCTGGAATACCTGTCTCATGACAATCAGTGTAAGGGCAATGAGACTCAATAAGATGATGTAGGTAGTAGATGATGTAGTCAGTAGATGGTGTAGGTAGTAGATGATGAAGGCAGTAGATGATGCGCTAAGCTGCTCAATAATCAGGTATTGTAACCATAATCCACTACCAACGACCCCTGATTGGGATCGATAAGTCCATGAACGTCATGTGTGTTGGCATAGCTAGTACATAGCATACTAGACGAATCTGTGTTAGGATGGCAGGTATATAGCATACTAGAAGAGTCTGTATAGCTAGTACATAGCATACTAGAAGAATCTGTGTTGGTATGGCAGGTATATAGCATGCTGGAAGAATCTGTGTTAGGATGGCAGGTATATGGCATAATAGAAGAGTCTGTATTGGCATAGCTAGTACATAGCATACTAGAAGAATCTGTGTTGGCATGGCAGGTATATAGCATGCTGGAAGAATCTGTGTTAGGATGGCAGGTATATAGCATACTAGAAGAGTCTGTATTGGCATGGCAGGTATATAGCATAATAGAAGAATATGTGTTGGCATGGCAGGTATATAGCATACTAGAAGAGTCTGTGTTAGGATGACAGGTATATAGCATACTAGAAGAGTCTGTGTTAGGATGGCAGGTATATGGCATACTAGAAGAGTCTGTATTGGCATGGCAGGTATATAGCATACTTGAAGAGTCTGTATTGGCATGGCAGGTATATAGCATACTAGAAGAGTCTATGTTGTATGACAGGTATATCGCATACTAGAAGAGTCTGTATTGGCATGGCAGGTATATAGCATACTAGAAGAGTCTATGTTGTATGACAGGTATATCGCATACTAGAAGAGTCTGTATTGGCATGGCAGGTATATAGCATACTAGAAGAGTCTATGTTGTATGACAGGTATATCGCATGCTAAAAGAGTCTGTATTGGCATGGCAGGTATATAGCATACTAGAAGAATCTGTGTTAGGATGACAGGTATATAGCATACTAGAAGAATATGTGTTGGCATGGCAGGTATATAGCATACTAGAACAATCTGTGTTAGGATGACAGGTATATAGCATACTAGAAGAGTCTGTATTGGCATGGCAGGTATATAGCATACTTGAAGAGTCTGTGTTAGGATGACAGGTATATGGCATACTAGAAGAGTCTGTATTGGCATTGCAGGTATATAGCATACTAGAAGAATCTGTGTTAGGATGACAGGTATATGGCATACTAGAAGAGTCTGTATTGGCATGGCAGGTATATAGCATACTTGAAGAGTCTGTATTGGCATGGCAGGTATATAGCATACTAGAAGAGTCTATGTTGTATGACAGGTATATCGCATACTAGAAGAGTCTGTATTGGCATGGCAGGTATATAGCATACTAGAAGAGTCTATGTTGTATGACAGGTATATCGCATACTAGAAGAGTCTGTATTGGCATGGCAGGTATATAGCATACTAGAAGAGTCTATGTTGTATGACAGGTATATCGCATACTAGAAGAGTCTGTATTGGCATGGCAGGTATATAGCATACTAGAAGAGTCTATGTTGTATGACAGGTATATCGCATACTAGAAGAGTCTGTATTGGCATGGCAGGTATATAGCATACTAGAAGAGTCTATGTTGTATGACAGGTATATCGCATACTAGAAGAGTCTGTATTGGCATGGCAGGTATATAGCATACTAGAAGAGTCTATGTTAGGATGACAGGTATATAGCATACTAGAAGAATATGTGTTGGCATGGCAGGTATATAGCATACTAGAAGAATCTGTGTTAGGATGACAGGTATATAGCATACTAGAAGAGTCTGTGTTAGGATGGCAGGTATATAGCATACTAGAAGAGTCCATGTTGGCATGGCAGGTATATAGCATACTAGAAGCGTCTGTGTTAGGATCACAGGTATATAGCATACTAGAAGAGTCTGTATTGGCATGGCAGGTATATAGCATACTAGAAGAGTCTGTGTTAGGATGGCAGGTATTAGCATACTAGAAGAGTCTGTATTGGCATTGCAGGCATATAGCATGCTGGAAGAGTCTGTGTTAGGATGGCAGGTATATAGCATACTAGAAGAGTCTGTATTGACATTGCAGGTATATAGCATACTAGAAGAGTCTGTGTTAGGATGGCAGGTATATGGCATACTAGAAGAGTCTGTATTGGCATTGCAGGTATATAGCATACTAGAAGAGTCTATGTTGTATGACAGGTATATCGCATACTGGAAGAGTCTGTATTGGCATGGCAGGTATATAGCATACTAGAAGAGTCTGTGTTAGGATGGCAGGTATATGGCATACTAGAAGAGTCTGTATTGGCATTGCAGGTATATAGCATACTAGAAGAGTCTGTGTTAGGATGGCAGGTATATGGCATACTAGAAGAGTCTGTATTGGCATGGCAGGTATATAGCATACTAGAAGAATCTGTGTTAGGATGACAGGTATATAGCATACTAGAAGAGTCTGTGTTAGGATGGCAGGTATAAAGCATACCAGAAGAGTCCATGTTGGCTTGGCAGGTATATAGCATACTAGAAGAATCTGTGTTAGGATGACAGGTATATAGCATACTAGAAGAGTCTGTGTTAGGATGGCAGGTATATAGCATACTAGAAGAGTCCATGTTGGCATGGCAGGTATATAGCATACTAGAAGAATCTGTGTTAGGATGGCAGGTATATAGCATACTAGAAGCGTCTGTGTTAGGATCACAGGTATATAGCATACTAGAAGAGTCTGTGTTAGGATGGCAGGTATATGGCATACTAGAAGAGTCTGTATTGGCATTGCAGGTATATAGCATGCTGGAAGAGTCTGTATTGGCATGGCAGGTATATAGCATACTAGAAGAGTCTGTGTTAGGATGGCAGGTATATGGCATACTAGAAGAGTCTGTATTGGCATTGCAGGTATATAGCATGCCGGAAGAGTCTGCGTTGGCATGACAGGTATATAGCATAGCGTATCCCCCTTTAAGGGTCTTGTGTCGTGCTGTGTAAATATGAAACAACATACATCAACATATTTCAGTATGGTGATAAATGTCAAAAGTTTATTTCAAACATTCAACAGTGTTTATCTGGCAAGATATGACATCTTTTAATAATTCACAAAATGGTTTTGTAATGTTAATTTGTATAGAATTATGTATATTGTATTTTTCAAAGTGTGTGTGTACATGTATTAGTTAAAGCTAGAACTTCAAAATGGTGCGTTGTCAAGTCATGAAACTAAACAAGACATGTTAAAGCAAAGGTATCAATTAAATGCTGTCAATGTCCATCTGGGGATGCTTGCCTTCACTGGAATGGAAAAGTTTTATCAACAATGTTGTGAATGTCATTGTTGCAAAATGAATTGTAATTGCTTGTGCAAAATTTCAATTATGATAGGTTTCTATTATGAAATAAAGTATTACTTTTAAACATTTCTCAAATTATGTGTAGCTACTTCTGGTAGGGTGTCGGGGAAGCCAAGTTTCAGATTTGAATAAATAAATCAAATCAATTTAATTAGATGACTTAAGCATCAAAGCATGTTTGGCCCGCTGGTGCTGGGGGCGTCAAACCAAATACTGCAATGAAAACACTTAATAAGCGTAAGGCTAGTAATCACAAAGTTTTGAAAATGCCTTGTGGAAGACATGTTGACGAGATTTCAAGATTTGAGGCATCATGCACACACATACGTACAATATGTTCCCGTGTTCTTCAGGTGAACAATTGCCTTGCCTTTGCATGTGTTGGTGATGGAAGCCACCGTTGAGGCAGGATACGCTCACATTTTCGCGAAAACCTGGTATCAGTATTTGCTGCTGATTTATAAACAGATAATTATGACATAGTCGGAATCGTACAGTTATTGTGGCAATGGACCGGATTTGTCGATCTTATTTATAGTAATTCTAAGATGTTTGGTAATATTGTGGACACTTTATGGCCATTGTGGTCCCAAATTAGTTCCATGAACACAATTCACAGGAACCAAATTTGATTCGTTCACAGAACGTGATCTAAAGAAACTCATCACAGCATCAAAGCCAACGTCGTGCTTTTTAGATCTGAAACCTTTAAAATTCCTCTATGGAAAATTGGATGAGGTTCTTCCTGTGATCACGACAATTGTCAACTTAAGATTGCCAACAAGAACAGTACAGGCTTGTTTTAAAAAAGGCAGTAGTCAAGCCACAGAAAAAGAAGTCTTTTCTTGATGCTCAAATATTTTTCATGAGCAACTACAGTTTGTCCTTCATGTCAAATATTCTGTAAAATGTCATCAAGGCATAACTATTTGAATATCTACAAAATCCTATTTGATGAACAAGTATCAGTCAGCATATAGAGTAACACACAGTACTGAGACGGCTCTGAACTGTGTTCTGAATAACATAAAGACGTCAGTCGACCATAGCTCATGCAAGGTTGTTATGTGACTCGGAAAATGCCTATGATTTACGCAACAATGTCCTGGCGTGGTGTTCATCATAACTGGCCGACAGGACACCATCAGTTCAGATAAACAAAGCTATGTCCAACAGTGAAAGTCTCACGTCAGGTGTCCCTCAGGGGTCTGTATCGGAGAGGGGGCACGGGTGGCCCATTCGTCTAAGGCGCCGTGATTCCCTTGGGCATGCAAGAAACCAATGATTGTGTTTCTAGGTTTGTCAGCACCATACCCGAACTCGTGGGTTTCATCGAAGTGGTAAACGTCGGAGAGCTTTCCTCCCACATTAAGCTGACACGCCATGATATAGCTGGAATACTGCTAAAAGCGGTGTTAAACCCAACTCACTCACTCACTCACTCACTCACTGTATCAGAGACAACGTGAGGTTTGTGTTATGTGCTGTCTTTCACTGATGCAGCCAACGTTGACCGTTGTGATTTCATGTCAGAAGGAAAGATGAAGAACAATATTCGCCACTCACCCACTCACTAATTCACCCTATCATGTATCGTAATGGCATTCAAGACCCTGTAATTCAAAAGATTCATGATACACCGGGAACAGAAATGAAGGAACCTCATTACCGAGAACTGTGTACATAACATTAAAATCAAAGTTTGGTAGAGAGAATAAGTACCTGGCACAGTCATTGTGCTCATGATCGACTTGCAAATAACTTTCAAACACTTACACTTTGTCTTTGTTAGCATACTCACGGAACATTTTCACTGGGGATGACACTCTGTAGTTTTCAAATGTGGACAATTATTGCCAGAAATTACAAGCCTAATTTCAGCTTCCATTAAGAATCCATTAGTACAACTGCAGATAAATTGGACAGCAAATAGTTATGTGCCATAGCTTGATTGATAAATTGATTCAAAACATCTCATTTGTTGACTCTCCATTACAAGCTACCCAATCTTATTTATAGTAATTCTAAGATGTTTTGTAATATTGTGGACACTTTATGGCCATTGTGGTCCCAAACTAGTTCCATGAACACAATTCACAGGAACCAAATTTGATTCGTTCACAGAATGTGATCTAAAGAAACTCATCACAGCATCAAAGCCAACGTCGTGCTTTTTAGATCTGAAACCTTTAAAATTCCTCTATGGAAAATTGGATGAGGTTCTTCCTGTGATCACGACAATTGTCAACTTAAGATTGCCAACAAGAACAGTACAGGCTTGTTTTAAAAAAGGCAGTAGTCAAGCCACAGAAAAAGAAGTCTTTTCTTGATGCTCAAATATTTTGGTGGAGATAAATTGGACAGCAAATAGTTATGTGCCATAGCTTGATTGATAAATTGATTCAAAACATCTCATTTGTTGACTCTCCATTACAAGGTAACCAAGTAACGTGCATTCAATGACAGACATACAATTAAATGTTGTGATTTTTATTCACACTGTATGACATATTGGATTGCCTCTTCAATTCCATTTTGGATCTGTTATTGTATTAAATTTACGTGCAGAGTTGCATATTAGCTGATGCATCGTCAAACAATCTATTACTCTAGATACATGAGACATTGAGTTGAGAACAGAACCAGATGAAAGTCCAGCCGGCAAAGAGAATACAACCTATATTCATTATCCAATCTGTTGAAGATGTTAAAGGTTTCCCCAAATACCGTTGTTACATTCAGTGATGCAGATGATGTACAGGACACATTTACAATTATCCAGAAACTGATATCATTGTCCGGGTCATCATGGGACTATCAGCAGCCGAAGTCTGTAAACAGGTGTTCCTCCTCGTTGGCAGCTTCACGGATATATCCAAGTTTGGTTTGCATATTTTACATTCTATATTTTATCCTGACGACACAATACTATTCGGAAGCTGAATCTGTCCTCGACGCAAGTCCTATCATAGCATGTCAAATTGTAACTCTGTTATCTCTAACCCTTGTGGGTCTCAGTACCAACATCCACAGCAAGGTACGCATATTCTGCGAACGTCTCCAGGAACCACGGTTGAAGTTTAACAGCCGTGTTTCAAACACTACATTGAAGCAGAGGGTGACGAGAGCATGTGTATGTATTGTGATCCTCTCAGCTGTGATATCTGTGGCCAGTGGAATAAATATGGGCATTCTAAATGATACATGCAATGATTTCTATTGGCCTTCAATTGTCTTGACTGTGATAGTTGGTGCTTCTATGACTTTGCCTAACCATGCGTTATTGCTTCTGTTCTTGACCATCTCCCTTCTTCTTACTTACGAGTATGATGGTTGCACGTTGAGACTCTCAGGGGCATCTGAAGGATGCGTCAAAGAAGAGGATATTGAGGACATTCGAGGCTACCATGCATCGTTAACAGACATTGTGGAACACGTGTCTTCTCTGATGACCAGACACGTGGCTGCTGGCTACGTCAGCTCCTTCCTGACCATCTGTTTCTGCCTGTACAGCGTTATTAACGACGACAAGTCCTATATCAATGTGGCTGTCGCCGCATTTTCTGTGTACGTTTCCATTTTGCATCTCATCGCTCTCACCTGTACTGGTATCAGACTGCACGAAGCGGTAAGTGTTAACATGTTGCTGATGATGATGATGATGTACAGAGAAACCCCGTTTGACAGAAAACCATACATTTTGATTAATATATGTATGCAATGTATGATTACATAGAGGTTGAATGATTCGTTTGTCAGAATATTGCGTTTCAGCAGGGTTTCAATAGTTGTGTTATCTATGCCTTTCCCTAATATCTAGACGATCCCTATAACGTTTTTATCATGATTCCACAATGTTACAATGCAAATGTATTTGATAATACTTACTTTTGTGGGATTACAACTTTGAGTAATGTTTGGTCTTGTGGCAATGTTCCAGTGATGTATCACTGCAGATTATTTAGACGTGATGAGTAAAAGATTTAACTATTATGCTACATATTACGGGGGCACGGGTGGCCCAGTCGTCTAAGGCGCCGCGATTCGCTGAGCAGAGTTGCGTCCCTTGGGCACGCCAGAAACCTATGAATCCCGGTTCGTCCCGATTATGTTTCTAGGTTTTTTCAGCACCATACCCGTGCTCGTGGGTTTCACCGAAGTGGTAAACGTCTGAGACCTGCATCACTTCGGGCTTTCCTCCCACATTAAGCTGACACGCCGCGATATAACTGGAATACTGTTAAAAGCGGCGTTAAACCCAACTCACTCACTCACTCACTGAACATATTACGTAATCCGATTTTGTGTCAGTTTTAATGTGCTAATATGAACTGGTTTCTGTTATTAATTTTAAAGGAAATAACTAGAATGTTATCCTCAGGCACACCGACCTCTGAATATTCTGCATGACTTGGATGGAAGAAATATGCCAGAAAGAGTAGTTGGACTGGTAAGAAACCACTCAAGCAAGACCCGTGAAGATCCGGGGTAGAATAGGTCTTCCGCAACCCATGCTTGCTGTAAAAGGCGACTAACGGGATCGGGTGGTCAGGCTCGCTGACGTGATTGATGCATGTCATCGATCCCAATTGCGTGGATCGATGCTCATGATATCAATCACTGGATTGTCTGGTCCAGACTCGATTATTTACAGACCGCCGTTATATAGCTGGAATATTGCCGAGTGCGGCGTTAAACAACAAACCAACCAAGCAACCACTCAAACAATACATTTAGATACAACAATTCATCTTTAACACTAATATGATAAGAATAATGGTAACTGCATTTATTAAAAACTATGTGATCTATGCGCGTTCATTTGGTATGTAATGAAGCGTGAAATATGATCTGTGGTATTTGATAATCTACTTTTCTAACACTATAAATATTAATACAAAGTTTAGAAAAAGAGAGGTTTTGACGACAAACATGCTATGCATGAACGTTCATGTTTGTAAAACGTTACACCAAAATACATCCTATAGTTTGCACGTGTCTCAAGCAGGGTGTCATTCTTGATTCTGATACTTTCAAAGATGGTCGATTATTCCATTTGGACGAGCATTTCTGTCAAAACTATTGATCCTCGTAAGAGGCGACCAACGGGATCGGGTGGTCAGACTCACTGACTTGGTTGATGCATGTCATCGTATCCTAATGGCAATCACTCTATTGTCTGGTCCAGACTCGATTATTTACAGACCGTCGTCATATAGATGGAATATTGATGTGTGCGACGTTACGCAACAAATAAACGAACAAAACTATTGATCCTGCTCATCATACAGTTGTGATTTACTTGATTCGATTCATTGTCTATGTGTGGACTAGCGATGCGGCTCCTGCAGGTCACACACAACCAAATGTTTTCCCATAGACTTCTATAGTAACGTTATAGCTTTTTAAAAAATAACTAGGCATTCAACAGCCATTACATTTACATATGTGCACAGTCTGTCAATAAAAACACAAATTAGCACAGGTTAGCCAGCTCCTTTTCCGAGTACAGGAAGCTGAACACACTACCCCCAGTTCCGCACCAAATGTCACCTACTTGAAAATATCTCTGCTCACATAAAGCACAAGTCATCTTGTTCAAAAAGTCAGCACCAAATATTGAAAAATATGGGCAATTTTAATTACTGGATGGATGTGCATTTAAAAGACATAAAAATCTTACACAATATCATCCAATCACAGCCTGCATATGTCTCTTGATCTGCACTGAAGGCTACGAAAACCGCACTGTCACAACCAGTTCTGATTTAGTGTAGTAGAACCTGCAGCGCGCGAAGCGTCTACGGGCTATTTGCATGCTGGAAACTGGCAGAAGCCAGCGTGCATTGGCCAATACGTTCAATGTTTCACAGCCTGTGATCCGCATCCTATGGAACAGGTACTAACAAACCCAAACGTCGACGATCGACAAATACTGATATCGATATTTTATTTGGACTGTAAATAGTAAGTAATGATTAGGCCGAAGTGTAAAATCTTAACTCTATCACTGATGCTGGTACATACTACTTAGGCGATTCCCTTGCTTACAGCTGGAGTAGAAAGGAATCACATTCTTTTTTAGGTCAGTGTGGCGTTCATGAAAACTCGTAATAAATTCATGCTTAATGTATGTCTAATGTCTTATATGTCTAAATGCATTCATGTGACCACATTGAGTTGACGTGAAATGCGGTTTAACGTCGCGCCCAATATTATTGCATTTATACACCGACGTGCATGCACGTAGTAATCAAAATCTATGTTGTAATAAAACGGGTCTTTCTTCGCGAAGTGCATCAGATCACGTGAGCACCTTGATTTAAAACATGAACAAAATATATATGGAAATATATGTTGACATCGAGTTGACGGTACACATGCGTTGCAAATTCTGCAATCGACCGAAATCTTCACGTGAGTTTACGAACCGGATATCGATTTGGTTTCGCGATTTTAATTGGACTATGCATAGACTCGTTTGTCAAGCCAATATATACATGTGTAACCCTGTAATTCCAGCCTAGTTCGGCAAGGGTGGGAAGTGGACTTTTATAGTGAGTTAACTCCCTTGCCTCGGAACGATGGGCAGGATAACAACAAGTACCATCTTTTAACGTATTTTGGTATGACGCAGCCGGGGACCGAACCCATGAACCTTCACTCTACTGGGATACGCTCTATCCACAAGACCATCGGGGCGGTCTGGCGGACTGACCACGGGCTCATATTGATATGGACAAATATTGGCAAGGTCATTGAAAGAACATTGACTGTTTCAATTGTACTGTGATGCCATGACGAATGCTAGTAATCTACCGAACACTACACAGAATCAGTGATCGTCTTCAAGTAAATTCTTCACTATGACGTCTGATCACGTGATAACAACTCTGCTAATTAACTCTTGGTAATTTGGGTATACGTGTAGGTTTTAAACTTTCTTTTACAACTAACACTGAGTTTGAAAGAATTCATCAGGATACTTTTTAATAATCTTTGTAAATGATTTATTCTCGTATTTACACTGTACATATTTAAGCCAATTCAAATGTTCTTATGGTTGGAACACATATGCATAAGATAGTCATCCATCAGTCCATTGGACGCGAAGATTGTATCATTACATGACTCACTTTTGGAACTGGTCTATTTTTGTTTGGTAGAGATTGCATGATGCAAAAGCATCAGCTTAAGGTATGTACATGCATGTAATTTATGGGCTTTGTGTTAAATATAAACAACTGAATTCATTCTTCAGAAACACAGTTATATATTTAAAAAGAGTGATCTCAACATATGATCTCGGAAAGAGGTAAAAGGAGGCAATGTGAATATGTTGTATTATTTTGCATTTTCCAGGTATCACTGAAACTGTAGTATAAAAATAATTCATCAATATTGTTAGCGGTTGTTAGTGCAGACGGTAAATCTATCCCTGAAACATTCCCAGATGCTTAATATTAATTTTCCGCACTCACGCGTGTAGTGGTTATAGGAATGTTGGTAGGTTGGTTGGTTTGTTGTTTAACGCCGCACTCAGCAATATTCCAGCTATATGACGGCGGGTTATAGGAATGAATTAACCTCGTGGAACAATAGAGAAAAGCGTCCTGTATTGATTGTGGGTCTTGTGAACTGTAGTATCCATATTATCAGACTTGACTTTACGTTATCAAAATATATGATTGATGTTGTTATTAAACACTCTTTTTTGTCATAACATGTATATGTTGTGTGTTGTCATTATCATATTTTTCCTATGAACTTTACACCCAGGTCACACTGTTCGCCAACAAGTTGTCTCAACGTCAGATTGGAATCAGTGTTTTAGGCCTGATGACCATCACGAAGGACACTGTTCTGGCGGTAAGTTGAATAAATATTGGTGAAAAGATATTTGTCCACAATGACATTTCATTTCACAAATCGTAAGATAAGACATAATTCTATCCTCCACTGAAACCTTACAGAACATACATTACAGCCCAATGAGTAATCGCCATACCATTACATGAAAATCCGGGTTAAAATTGGTCTTCAGAAAACCTTGCTTGTCGTAAGCGGCGACTAACGCGATCGGGTGGTCAGGCTTCCCGACTTGGTTGATGCATGCCAACGTAGCCTTTTGTAAAAATCGATGCTCATGATGTCAATCAGTGGATTGTCTTTTCCAAGTTAAATTATTTACAATAATTTCAAATCGTCAAATAGATTGAATTTGTGGCGAGTGCGAAATTAAACAAACAAACAAACAATACATAAACAAACTTTGCCTCTTTGTTTACACAGATTATCGGTACCCTCCTCACCTACGTTTTCATCGTGATCCAGTTTAAACCCGATTCCACTGATGGATGTCGACAGGATGCAAACACAACGGCAATATTACTGCATCAACTTGTATTTGACTTCAACTTAACGTTTTCGAACTAATGGCTGTTTACTTTGGCGTGTTTTGACGTCGTCACTTTGGAAATATGTAATGTCGACGCCATAGAATACTCCATTGTACTGACATGTATCAACCAAGTCACCGAGCCTGACCACCCGATCCCGTTAGTCGCCTTTTACGACAAGCATAGTCACCTTTTACGGCAAGCATGAGTTGTTGAAGACCTATTCTACCCCGGAATCTTAAAGGGTCAAGCTTAGTTATTTTTTGTTTTCTCTCTCTACCAACTTTTTCAACTCAGGCAATTATGTCCCCCTTTCCTGTTCATATCTTCATTTTCTACACCAAACTAAAATAACTTTACCAGGTCTCACCTCCACACAAACCTCATTTCCATAGATTTCGGTATCGACCTGGACATTTTAACACCGTCCCAACCCATTCGCAGCTACACTACACCACCACCTTCAACAACTTACCAAAAACTACTAAAAGTAATAAACGATCACACATCTCGCCAGCAGAACTACAACAAACTACCAAAAAGCACGCTCCTAAGACATACCACTTCAAACTGCCAGACAAAATACAATCCTTCTAGCCTCTGCTACAATCAAAACTACACCACTCAATGGAGCTTGTTCTATTAACAAATTTGTTCTTTGTCTCAAAAGATCCCACCTAGAATATAAATGCATCAACACTGGCGACCGAGGCTTCACAATTACATTTCCCCTCTCATAGATGGCCTAAACAAACCAGACCCATCACCCATCTACATGTACTTACACATTCTATACCAAGGCCCTACCAGTCAGATCAGATCAGCGGACATCTCACCAAAACAGCCAACACAGACGCTGTCACATCAGACAGGACACAAAAAGATCGTACAAGCCAACGATAAAGGTCCCACCCAATCCACCCCAAAACCCAGTGGACGTGTGTATGAAATATCATACAACTGTGAAGACAAATACATTGGAGAGACTTCACGCCCCACAGCTACCAGAATAGAACTCTGTTTATAAATCTTCCATGAAATACGTCCTCTCGGAAAACCTCATAAAAGATTAGTAATAAAGAATCAAAGTCAAGTTTATTATATGTTTTTGCAAGTTAACATAATTGTTGTGTTCATTGTTCTAAGGGACAACATCGTTACTGGCTTGAGTGCAAAGAATCCGAGTGTTTACATTATATGACAGTGCATTTTATTGTTTAATGATTGTAACTGTGTTAAATGTTTCAGTTGACATTCGGTAGACGCTCATTGCATTGTTTTGGGGCAGTGATTAGCTATAGTCGTCAGGAATGTGGTATGGTTTAATCTAAGAAGTTGCCAGGAAGTTATGTTATTAAGATACTGGTGTGGTGTGTAACCTTCCGACATTCAGTAGATTGGTATAAAATATTTTGTGGTGTTCTGGAAGCGAGTTGTGTGTTTGCGTATCTCCCACACCTTTTGTCTCTCACGCCTATCACCTCACGCTTGTTCATCGCTTTGGTACCAGTTTTCACGTGAGGATCGTTCATCATCCCTGATTTCCTGCCTAGCCCATCTCGGAAGGCTGACCACTGTCGCCGCTGGGTGAATATACATTATAATCACTGACTTTGCTGTCACCACTGTATTTTTGTATTTGACACTGACCCCTGCCATCATGTTATTCATTGCCACTGACTACTGTACTACCACTCTATTAACTGTTATTGTAATTGTTGTGTAATTACAATGTAATTTGTATTGATTGGTAAACTTAGTGAATTTTGTAATACATTTGTTGATTGTATACCATTTGTTGTTTGTTTGTTGGCTTCACACAAAATTCTTGTACGTAATATCATAGGGGTCTGTAGACAGCAATATCATAGCGGTCTGTAGACAGCAATATCATAGGGGTATGTTGACAGCAATATCATAGCGGTCTGTAGACAGCAATATCATAGGGGTCTGTAGACAGCAATATCATAGGGGTCTGTAGACAGCAATATCATAGCGGTCTGTAGACAGCAATATCATAGGGGTATGTAGACAGCAATATCATAGCGGTCTGTAGACAGCAATATCATAGCGGTCTGTAGACAGCAATATCATAGGGGTCTGTAGACAGCAATATCATAGGGGTCTGTAGACAGCAATATCATAGCGGTCTGTAGACAGTAATATCATAGCGACCTGTAGACAGCAATATCATAGCGACCTGTAGACAGCAATATCATAGCGGCCTGTAGACAGATATATCATAGGGGTCTGTAGACAGCAATATCATAGGGGTCTGTAGACAGCAATATCATAGCGGTCTGTAGACAGCAATATCATAGGGGTCTGTAGACAGCAATATCATAGCGGTCTGTAGACAGCAATATCATAGGGGTATGTAGACAGCAATATCATAGGGGTCTGTAGACAGCAATATCATAGCGACCTGTAGACAGCAATATCATAGGGGTATGTAGACAGCAATATCATAGCGGTCTGTAGACAGCAATATCATAGGGGTCTGTAGACAGCAATATCATAGGGGTATGTAGACAGCAATATCATAGCGGTCTGTAGACAGCAATATCATAGGGGTCTGTAGACAGTAATATCATAGCGGTCTGTAGACTGCAATATCATAGCGGTCTGTAGACTGCAATATCATAGGGGTCTGTAGACAGCAATATCATAGGGGTATGTAGACAGCAATATCATAGGGGTCTGTAGACAGCAATATCATAGGGGTCTGTTGACAGCAATATCATAGGGGTATGTAGACAGCAATATCATAGCGGTCTGTAGACAGCAATATCATAGGGGTCTGTAGACAGTAATATCATAGCGGTCTGTAGACTGCAATATCATAGCGGTCTGTAGACAGCAATATCATAGGGGTCTGTAGACAGCAATATCATAGCGGTCTGTAGACAGCAATATCATAGGGGTCTGTAGACTGCAATATCATAGCGGTCTGTAGACAGCAATATCATAGGGGTCTGTAGACAGCAATATCATAGCGGTCTGTAGACAGCAATATCATAGGGGTCTGTAGACAGCAATATCATAGCGGCCTGTAGACAGATATATCATAGCGGACTGTAGACAGCAATATCATAGCGGTCTGTAGACAGCAATATCATAGCGGTCTGTAGACAGCAAAATCACTGGGGTCTGTAGACTGCAATATCATAGAGGTCTGTAGACAGCAATATCATAGGGGTCTGTAGACATTAATATCATAGGGGTCTGTAGACAGCAATATCATAGGGGTCTGTAGACAGCAATATCATAGCGGTCTGTAGACAGCAATATCATAGCGGTCTGTAGACAGCAATATCATAGCGACCTGTAGACAGCAATATCATAGGGGCATGTAGACAGATATATCATAGATGTCTGTAGACAGCACTATCATAGGGGTCTGTAGACAGCAATATCATAGGGGTCTGTAGACAGTAATATCATAGCGGTCTGTAGACAGCAATATCATAGCGACCTGTAGACAGCAATGTCATAGGGGCATGTAGACAGATATATCATAGATGTCTGTAGACAGCACTATCATAGGGGTCTGTAGACAGCAATATCATAACGGTCTGTAGACAGCAATATCATAGCGGTCTGTAGACACCAATATCATAGCGACCTGTAGACAGCAATATCATAGGGGCATGAAGACAGATATATCATAGATGTCTGTAGACAGATATATCATAGCGGACTGTAGACAGCAATATCATAGCGGTCTGTAGACAGCAATATCATAGCGGTCTGTAGACAGCAAAATCACTGGGGTCTGTAGACTGCAATATCATAGAGGTCTGTAGACAGCAATATCATAGGGGTCTGTAGACATTAATATCATAGGGGTCTGTAGACAGCAATATCATAGGGGTCTGTAGACAGCAATATCATAGCGGTCTGTAGACAGCAATATCATAGCGGTCTGTAGACAGCAATATCATAGCGACCTGTAGACAGCAATATCATAGGGGCATGTAGACAGATATATCATAGATGTCTGTAGACAGCACTATCATAGGGGTCTGTAGACAGCAATATCATAGGGGTCTGTAGACAGTAATATCATAGCGGTCTGTAGACAGCAATATCATAGCGACCTGTAGACAGCAATATCATAGGGGCATGTAGACAGATATATCATAGATGTCTGTAGACAGCACTATCATAGGGGTCTGTAGACAGCAATATCATAACGGTCTGTAGACAGCAATATCATAGCGGTCTGTAGACACCAATATCATAGCGGTCTGTAGACAGCAATATCATAGGGGCATGAAGACAGATATATCATAGATGTCTGTAGACAGTAATATCATAGGGGTCTGTAGACAGCAATATCATAGGGGTATGTAGACAGCAATATAATAGCGGCCTGTAGACAGATATATCATAGGGGTCTGTAGACAGCAATATCATAGGGGTCTGTAGACAGCAATATCATAGGGTCTTTAGACAGCAATATCATAGGGGTCTGTAGACAGCAATATCATAGGGGTCTGTAGACAGCAATATCATAGGGGTCTGTAGACAGCAATATCATAGCGGACTGTAGACAGCAATTTCATAGCCGTCTGTAGACAGCAATATCATAGCGGTCTGTAGACAGCAATATCATAGCGGCCTGTAGACAGATATATCATAGGGGTCTTTAGACAGCAATATCATAGGGGTATGTAGACAGCAATATCATAGCGGTCTGTAGACAGCAATATCATAGGGGTCTGTAGACAGCAATATCATAGCGGCCTGTAGACAGATATATCATAGCGGACTGTAGACAGCAATATCATAGCGGTCTGTAGACAGCAATATCATAGCGACCTGTAGACAGCAATATCATAGCGACCTGTAGACAGCAATATCATAGCTACATGTATATCAAGGCGAGCTGTAGTCCGCAATAATTCAGCGATGTGATCTTACCTTTCTGTCAGCAATAGTACAGATGTAGACTATAGTATTAGAATAGGTCTTCAGCAACCCATATTTGCCTAAAAGGCGACTATCCTTGTTGCAAGAGGCGACTAACGGGGTCGGGTGGTCAGGTTGTTGCCTGTCAACGTATCCCAATTTCGTTGATCGAAGCTCATGATTTTAATTACTGGATTGTCTTGTCAAGACTTCATTATGTACAGACCCCGTCATACAGCTGGAATATTGCTGTGTAAAACATGTGAAGTAACCGACTTTCAGCAAGTCATCACCTTGTTAAGCGCGCTATGCAAGTATCAGTGGAGACCAACATGACACACAGTGTAATAAAAATATATATATATAAAAATAAACAATAGTTATGACATCATGATTTATTTATCAGGGAGTTAGCTTCCCCCGGTGTAACATTCCCGCCTGTGATTACGACGACGACTTTCTTCCCGTCAACGTCAGGGACGTGGCCGTTGAGGAGTGCCGCCATTGCTGCAGCACCCGACGGTTCTACCACGAGTCCACGGCTGTACAGAAGCTCCATACTCTGAACTATCTCAGCATCTGACACAAGTAACACACGCTCTACAAACTCTGCGCAGTGCCGATACGTCAACCTGCCTGAAATGGTAAGAGTAAAAGTTGTTAGATTGTTGTTTGTTTGTTTGTTTGTTTGTTTGTTTGTTTGTTTCACAACGCACACAGAAATATTCCAGCTATATGACGGCGGTCTGTTAATAATGGAATAATAACAAAATGTCAATCTTGGGAATTCCCTGAATAATCGATGACGTCATTGGGAAACACCCAGCTTAATTTACTTCCGTCGCAAAAGAGCTCCCTGTCTCAGCTAAGATCTGTGTCGTAAGTAGGATAACGTTGCGAAACTCAGGTTACAGACAGTTTCAAGAATAGCTCCGATGACAGTCGTAATTTTGGTCGTAAGTCGATAGGATTTTTCTTAGCTAAGACAGTTTCGTGAATAGGCCGCCTATTCAAGCCTTGGTTGTTTACAGGCCACGGTTGTATGGCACCATCCTCCTGCAGTGCGGTGTCAGGCAACAGCAAAGACTTACTTTTTATGCACATTGTGTGTGGGCATGAAAGGGACAAGCTTACCCTTTTCGCGAACACCTGGTGTCATCACTCCTTTTCAGTGATCCCTTCATACTATTTTCCCCTCTATTTTGCCTTTAACGCCCAAGTTCTTTGTAGATAATCGATGCTGATTAATCTGTTTTTGACACTATATAGTTTACTATTGCGTATTTCAAAATTAGTGGGTTAGGATGATATATTAGGCCTATTTTATGCAAATACACAGGTAATCGTGATCACTTGGTTTATGTCACACTGCAGTGATTTTCCAGTATTCGGTGGAGGTTAAAGTTCGTATCGAATTCCAGCTAAAAGCAACTAGACGAAATACTAAAACGAAAAATGGAAGCAAAAGAAGTAGTTTGAAATCACCATTAAATTACAAAATCATGAACACGTACCTGTATACGGTGGCGCGAGGCCCGTGGCTACTGTATTCACAGAACGGCTCACAGCTTTGCCTACCTTGAAACTTTCAAACATACTCGGAGCTGCAATATGAAATGAACATTATTACACACCAGTCGCTACGTGAGCAAATCAAAGTTGAGATAAGATCCAAGCAAAGTAAACTGAAATTGATTTTAGCGTTGTACAACTCTTGTACAAAGGTTGTCTGATCAAGGAGACAGTATTCAAGGCCTCAATTAAGTGAGTGAGTGAGTGAGTTGGGTTTAACGCCGCTTTTAACAGTATTCCAGTTATATCACGGCGTGTCAGCTTAATGTGGGAGGAAAGCCCGAAGTGATGCAGGTCTTAGACGTTTACCACTTCGGGGAAACCCACGAGCACGGGTATGGTGCTGACAAACCTAGAAACATAATTGGTGCGAACCGGGATTCGAACCCACAATCATAGGTTTCTGGCGTGCCCAAGGGACGCAACTCTGCACAGCGAATCGCGGCGCCTTAGACGACTGGGCCACCCGTGCCCCCGCCTCAGTTAAGCTTTCAAAAGTATTATTGGAATAAATGTGAAGAACATTTCCAAATTTGACTCGCCAGTGTCAAAAATTATGTCTGACGCAATTACCTATTTTCACTTGTACCATGTGATACTGTGTTTGTTCATGGGAACAATTGAGTTGCCTTTGCATGTGTTTGTTACGGGTGCCACAGGCAAGTCGGGATACGCTCACCTTTTCATGTAACCCGGTATTATCACTATTCACTGTCACCAAACACAATTTCCTGATATAATTTAGTCGGAATTGTACAATGAGTGAGTGAGTGAATTGGGCTTAATGCTGCTTTTAACACGAGTGTCAGCTTAATGTTGGCGGAAAGCCCGAAGTGATGCAGGTCTCAGACGTTTACCAATTCGATGAAACCCAAGAGCACGGATATGGTGCTGACAAACCTAGAAACATAATCGTGGCGAACCGGGATTCGAACCCACAATCAGAGGGTTCTGGTGTGTCCAAGGGATGCAACTCTGCACAGCGAATCGCGGCGCCTTAGACGACTGAACCACCCGCGCCCCCGAATTGTACAATGGACTCTCGCTTTTAGTCGAGATTTCTTGTTAATATGGAAATGTTTTTTGTCTCTATTTATTGTAATCACATAGGGGTCGAGCGATTTGATTTGTTGGTGGACTGGGACTTCTTTGGTGATATTAATTGTTGAGAAAAAATAAATCAGTTTTACCTCGAAGAATACTAGTAGTTAAATGTACAATAAGTGTTTTGCTTATACATGTAATTTCAAAGAAATGATTTGTATGTCTTCACGCGATAATAACATCACACAACACCTGACGTCAGAGCCTGGTCAAATTTCGTCTCTTACAACAAGCGCTTCACTGTAAACGATGTGCACAGAGCGTAGGTCTAAACAGTAAACATGCTTAGGAGTGCGTTTAAATCCACATTTGGTGTTTAATGTCTACAAAGTTTAGGGTCGAAAGACATGAAATAAGCTATAGTTACACAGCCTAAACACCACAAAAACACAACATCCCCATAATTTAAACATAGTTACGACAAAATGCATATTGTGTATTATCCTACAAATCAAAAACATGATTAGTTAAATGCATGTCATTGGATGTAAGGGAAAGCGAGTAACGAGTTATTCTTAGTGGTATGCACATAAGATGTGTTAATAGAATTATCTCCCTAAGTAAGAGTGAGTGAGTGAGTTGGGTTTAACGTCGCTTTTAACAGTACTCCAGTTATATCACGGCGTGTCAGCTTAATGTGGGAGGAAAGCCCGAAGTGATGCAGGTCTCAGACGTTTACCGCTTCAGTGAAACCCACAAACACGGGTATGGTGCTGACAAACCTAGAAACATAATCGGGGCGAACCGGGATTCGAACCCACAATCATAGGTTTCTGGCGTGCCCAAGGGACGCAACTCTGCACAGCGAATCGCGGCGCCTTAGACGACTGGGCCACGCGTGCCCCCCTCTCTAAGTAAGAACATTGGCAACAATATGTAATATTTCAAACTCTGACCTCCTTCCGGCTCTACGGCATACACTCTGCAGGCTGACGGCCCGAGTGTCTTGATGGCTGCAGACACACCCGACACCAACCCTCCACCCCCGCAGCAAACCAGGACAATGTCAGGGTCAGACACCTCATCCAGTATCTCCATAGCAACACTGTAATGATAACAAACCCTTTGTATTCGTTGCAATATCCCAAGTTGTGTTTATTTCAACATAATATAATGACATTAAATTATCGTTCATAATGAATTATTCAAAATGTAATCGTGAGCAAAATATTTTATCCTCTCTACCTTCAAGAAGTTCCGGGGTCTTCTCTGTAGCGGTACATTTTTGTTACAGTTAGTTGTGAGCACAGCTGAAGGCTCTTGTCCAATGGAACATTGCCATGCCTTGTTTGGTTGTGTGTTGCTTAACGCCGCACTTAGCAATATTCCAACCATAAGACGGCGGGCGTTAAATAATCGAGTCTGGACCAGACAACCCAGTGATTGACATCATGAGCATCGATCAACGCAACTGGGATACGATGACGTGCATCAACCAATTCACTGAGCCTGACCACCCGATCCCGTTTGTCGCCTCTTACGACAAGCATGGGTTGCTGAAGACCTATTCTAAACTGGCTCTTTAGCGGCCATGCGATCACTTGGCCATAGCTTGAAAAAGTTAACGCGGTTACCTCCCCAAATGCGCATGCATGCAGCACGTGCTATTCAGACACAAAATGTTACAGTGATAGAAGGGGTTAGGATTATTGCACGTGCCAATAAGAGCTCTTTCCTGCTATCCCAGGAAGTACTCGGGTCTTCTCGGCATTACCTCGAGCAGTTGCGTTGTGATATTGCACGAATTCACTGTAAACCGTGTAACGCCACATTCCTCCGCAGTTAGTTCGCATAACATAACGCCCATTTAAAACACAGGTTTTTCATGTGCTGAACAGCACATAGCTATATATGTGCTGAATATCAGGTAGTCACTTTGATTTAAAGACAAAAATAAAAGGAAACAGTTTGAATAGTCATACTAGGCTGAGAACCATCGCCAGGTGGTGTTCAGTCATGTGACTGTCACGTGCACAAAACTAGTAACACAATGGGTTCCAGCCAGTGCTGGCTTAGGTCCACTTCGGTTGAGAGGGGCCGTGTGCAAGGGAATATAGATTTATCGTCCTCGCCTACCTGGCGTATCCAGCGATGAGGTGGATGTCGTCAAACGGGTGACAGAAAACATGGCTGCCATCACTGGTGTAATCGTCCACGGCGGCCTGCAGGTCCGCTGTCCGCATCTGCTCCACCGACACTCCCAGACTCTGAGCAGGAAGATCTCGGGTTACATAGTGAGTGAGTGAGTGAGTTGGGTTTAACGCCGCTTTTAACAGTATTCCAGTCATATCACGATGTGTCAGCTTAACGTGGGAGGAAAGCTCTCCGACGTTTACCACTTCGGTGAAACCCACGAGCAGGGGTATGGTGCTGACAAACCTAGAAACATAATCGGGGCGAACCGGGATTCGAACCCACAATCATAGGTTTCTGGCGTGCCCAAGGGACGCAACTCTGCACAGCGAATCGCGGCGCCTTAGACGACTGGGCCACCCGTGCCCCCTCGGGTTACATAGAATCAGTTGGGTGGTTTGTGTGTGCCTATAGGCTACTGAACACAGAGACATCCACTACGTGTGTGTCATACTGCTATAACGAAACAGGTGTCGGCATACATAAATTCGCAAACCTCAGACATACTATTGGTAGGGTCGGTCTCAGAAGCTTCCCTCTCGGTTTGGATCATATTAAACAAACAGTGTATAATTATATTTAAAAAGGGTGGGTGGGAGTTGTTTACGGTACAATAAACACCCCTCATGGTTTACTCTCGCTGCAGTGTTTTATTGTACGAGTCGTTATTTTTTTTTACGAGGGCCGTCGGGTAGCTTCGTGGTTAAAGCGTTCGCTCGTCACGCCGAAGACCCGGGTTCGTTTCCCGACATGGGTACAATGTGTTAAGCCAGTTTCTGGTGTCCCCCGCCGTGATATTGCTGGAATATTGCTAAAAGCGGCGTAAAACCAAACTCACTCGCTCACTCACTCACTCACACTTCCAATACGAGATGTCAACATTATATATAGCCTCTTTAAGGATGTTGATAAAAAGTACAAGCTTTAAAAATATTTATCAAAATTTTAATTATGATGACTCCCTGAATAGAATCCAACCTCGGAAATGTCGGACATGTCCATTTTACGAACAGGGAAGTAGGTTTGGTAATTCCTGCATATTCTCACAATCCTCATCTCGATTATCTGTACCTTTTCTCCAAATACCGACTGTCACATCCCACCCACTTTTGGATGCCAACGTTAAGCCACTACTGCGTTTATCTGCGTAGCCCAGCTACATCAAGGGGGAACAACTTACTAGACACTCCCCTCTCAAAACTAACGTCGTTGAATTTACGTCATCAAGTTTCGAGCGTTTGTTCGAAAGTCCAGAAATAAAGTCATGATAGATCAATGATTGACACCATGACCATTGATCGATGCAAATGGATATACGATAACATGCATCAACCAAGTCAGCGCGCCTGCCACCTGATCCCGTTAGTCGCCCCAATGACAAGCATAGGTTGCTGCAGACCAATTCTAACCCGGATCTTCACTGGGACGTTCCTGTTTTATGTTAACTGCATCAGGTTCATCACAACAGAGCTGCCTTATATAAATTACCTGTATAAGATGAACTCTGCTCTGTGGTGCTGTATCCGGGATCATGCATTTCCCAGGAATGTCTCTCTGGTGTAAATATGTGGCAAACGCCTTCCCATAGTTACCAGCTGACATTGTGATGGGGATCTTGTCAGAGGCCAGCTGTGCTTCGAGATGTCGCATCTGGTTGACCACACCACGGATCTTGAACGAACCTAGGTGGGCATGGCTGATGTTTGTAAATGGCTGGTATTTGATCGTGTGAAAATGCAAAATAATCAAACAGTATGACATTTAGTTTATTCAACACATAATCAATGAATAGATTCTACGATGGCTATGGCGAAATCCAAAGGGACGCTCAAATCATGTTCTTTACATACGACTTTCACAAAGCCAAAAACACGAATAACAACATTAAATAAGGTCTGTACTTAAACTTGCGCTAGCCTACATGCCCGCGTACATGCTAACATCATTACCCCGGTCAATGGATCAGTGGGCAAGCAATTTTCATTCCCAGCTCCCTGGGGATCATACTTTTCAAACCCATAAGGTTAACAGAACATTACCCTCTCATCCTACCGGGTTTCCATTTTGAGTGCTGGGTGAACAGAAGCATATATCGAACAAAGCCACTTGCCCGAGGAGACATCACATGTGCTTCTTTGTATCGCCGGACCGAAGCCCTAGAAACTCTCAGGAGTCAACCTGCCGAACGAGGACACCCATCCACCTACTACCTGCCACCGGCGTTGCTAAAGTTCATCCGATTTCTGACCAGTGCGTTACGTATACTATAGAATTGGAATTCGTCATGTTTAACTGTTCGTAACACCCGACTAAGTCCCATCGGGACTAGACTGCTTATCGACCACATCTTCAACAATTTTAGTTTATAAATGCAGGTAAATACACCAAACGTGCGTCGTTCAGGAAGCATGTGTATAAGGATGTCTGCACCCATTTTAACGCAATGTCCGTAAAAGTGTACCGCTAATGTAATACAGTGAAACCCTGTTAATCCAGACGGTACGGTCCCATGAGGAATCGTCCTGATTAACAAGTCTGGATTAACGAATCATATATGTGTAGTAATGGTTATATCCCATTAGTTAGACGTCCCATTAGTTAGACGTCCCAATTGTTAGACATTTCTATTTAGGCAAACTGAGTGAGTGAGTTATTATTTAACGTCACATGGGCAATATATTTAGGCAAAGAGGGAATATACCTACAGGTGTAATGGATCAGTCCTAATTAGATTAAAGTACTCTGTTTGGATAGGGGACTCACACTTTAGGGAGTATATATGTTACAATTTCGTTTAATTAACCTAAATTACCTTACTCTCAGCACAGGTTCCGCCTGAAGATGAAACCAGAGTGAACTTTGTCAGCAATCTTCATAAAAGAGCGCGAGAAGAAACCACACAGATGCAGGCATCGTACGAGAAGCAAGTCACTCAAGTAGATGAAGCCAACATCCCAGCGATGCCGTGATTTCAGAGCGTGGAAAGTGCGTATTAAAAGCTGCTTTGCTTTGTTTGTCAGATCTTATCTGGACTATTCCATTTTAAAGTCTGAGGTAAGAAGCATAAGGATTAGTGTGCACTCAACCGTTTAAAGAGTTGTTATAAGCTATTGGGACGTCTAACTAATGGGAGGACACCGTAGTAATACCTAATTATATATTAGCTGCATTCATGCAAAAAGCGGGACTGTCTGGCTAACGAGATCCGCGCTAACGGATTGACACTGTATATAAAAAAATATGTGGATTTTAATCTGTTGTCGATCTCCGCGAGCCAGAGTAAGGAGAGAAACTACATGATTTTCAGGATGGGGCGGATTTTCTCTTGAAAAGAATGTTAATAAAAATCTGCCGGTTTGCAAATTTATTTTTACATAAGCCTCGCATTGTATGAAAATAATAAATGAGTTCCTAAACATGGAATAATGCTGGTAGATCCCTTCCCTTACCTGTCGTCTGCATGTTCTCCAGCTTGAGGTACAGCTGCAGCTTGTGTCCGGCCAGCTGCGGGAACATGTCCTGGACCAGCTTCAGGAGCGGGGTCCGGACACACAGTGGGTGCCTGGTGATAACGCTCCTCGCCTCTTGCATGTCCCCCACCGTCACGAGATCCCACCCGGCATCAGCCATACTGCGGAGATGCGGTCAGAGAACAAGTGATGACGGTACGGTACCACATAAAGGAATGTAGGACAAACGTGTTTGGTTATCTCGCCAAGTCATTAGTAACTGTGGCTGCAGCTATAGGTGATGACTAGCCTGTCTCACAGTCCCTAAACCACAGTATTTTCCCTTCCGCCCAGCCCTAACTGTAATGCTATAATCCTAAATGAAGCAAGTCTAGATATGGCCCCTGGTTCAACTGAATCTCTCATCACATTGGGGCTCCTGTTCAGATTAAATGTAGTTGTTTGTTTCTATCAAAATTATTCAGAGACGAAGCGTAAGTCTAGGCGATGACGCGTCTCGCCTGATTAATGTCCCCCAGTCGGCACACAATCTACTCTACTCCCCCCACCCCCCCCCCCCGAACCCCCCCCCCCACCCACCCACCCACCCACACCCCCCACACACCCCACACACACCTTCCGAGATATTGTTGGAATGTTACTAAAAGCGGCGTCAACTCACTCACTCATTGGGTTAATCAAAGACGTATTTGGTTAATCGACTATTTCACGGAAGACCTACATATAGACAATATAGTGACGATTTGTCACGATATCCCATAATTGACTATTTTGTCTGTTTGCTGTTTAACGCCGCACTCAGCAATATTTCAGCTATACGACGGCGGTCTGTAAATAATCGAGTCTGGACCAGACAATCCAGTGATTGACATCATGAGCATCGATCAACGCAATTGGGACCGATGACGTGCATCAACCAAGTCAGCGAACCTGACCACCCGATCCCGTTAGTCGCTTTATAAGCAAGCATAGTCGCCTTTTACGGCAAGCATGGGTTGCTGAAATAATTGAGAAAAGTGGTAAATGTCCATGACATGAGACGCTGTGACTTTTTATTTTAATTTGACACGTCGTAAAATATCTGAAATTCTGTTCAAATTGGCCATAAAGCAACTGAACAAATGATCAGTAGACCTTGTCTGTTTGCACCCAGTTACATAATTCCTCGGACGAATAAGTCCCCAGTATGAACTAAAATTGATCGGGTGGTCAGGCTGATCGACTTGAATAATTCCGTGTCTTCGTATCCGCATGGCGCGGGTCGGTCCCGTATTTTCTGTCACAGGTTAGCTTGTGCCTTCTCCACATACCTGAATTATGGCGAACTGTGGTAGTTACCCACAATTACCCACTTCCTAGTCCTTTATAAAATAACTGTTCATTGTATGTCTTGAAAATACATTTTGTATTGTGTTTCGGCCCAATGTGGTCACATTTATCACTGCAACAAATAGTTGGCGTAATAAATCATAATTTATAAAATCTTAATGCTTCAAATGCACGTACCTCAACGTCGCAAGATCAGATTTTAAGACACTTCTCTCGATCCACGCAGTCCGCAGTAGGTGGTTCGTTCTTATTTTACATGCACCCCAACTATAAATACCAGTTGACAACGGTGAATTGTTTAAAAGCTAAGAATTTTCACAATTTTGAATAGCTTTTCTTGTCAATATCTTTTTGACTTACTACACGTTAGACACTATCACGGAACATAGTCTACATTACCATTGTATCTGTGAAAGTAAATCAATACAGGCTAGCAACTCGACAGCATGCGAGCTCAAGCCTACGTTGTGTTATCAAAACGAAATATCGGGAAGAAACGAAATAGGATTCGTAAGACGGTCAACGCAGTAAACCGTATCTGCATGCATCGTTTCCTGTTTTACAGCCTACGTCGATTTTCGTCGTATTTATTTTGCTGTTATTCAAGTCCATTATTTCGATAATATTAATACTATCCCTAACTTGACTAAATGTATCGATTCTTGGCCAGACAAGCAATTAGCTAACATAGTGAGAACGCAATAGAGTGGTCGGTCACGGTTACAAAATCAAGGTGGACTTATTGATATTTTGTTAAAAAAGGGATACACTATTTAATGCATGACACGTTCAACAGCGTTTAATTTAAGTTAGGTCATATGATGTGAGTTGATGTGAAATAGGGTGAGGTCAAAATGGGGTTTGAGGTCGCTTCCAGAATATTGCAATATTGCACTTATATAGCGACGTGTGTGTGTACACGTGGTGGCGGTCAGTAGGGTAGCTTCAGACCAGTGGTTACAGCGGTAGCACGTTCGATTCCCCAAATGAGTGCGACGTCTTAAGCCCGATCCCGCGGTCCCACGCCGGCACGCTGCATTCCTCCCTCACTCACTCAATCGCTCTCCTGAGCGGTATTCAACAGTTTTGTATGGCCCTACAACTGTTTTGTCAGGAGCTTTTTGGCAAGAGAGGTATAGAAGTGTCGAAATTGAAGAGTGTGTCCCTTGTCAGTAATTTTCCATCTATTCTTTTCCAAGTGAGTGTGTATTGTTTTACGCCGCTTTTAGCAATATTCCCGCAATATCACGGACAGAAATGGGCTCCAAGCATTGTACCTGTGCCGGGAATCGAACCCGGGTCTTTGGTGTGACGAGCGAACACTTTAACCACTAGGCTCCCCGACCGCCCCGCATGATGATGAGATTACGGTCATGTCAATATATTGACTACACATGTAATCCTCTCATATCCCTGCAATATCTCTGACAGCGGCGTAAAACAGCATTCAGTCCCATGCTATAAACCATGACTTAGAACTTGTGAGGGGTTTTGATAGAAGGAATTACTGATGAGCCATGAAGCGATAAAGATTTATTTTATTACAGAAAGATTTGGCATCACTGCGTTGAGTTCTTCGGGCGGGACAATGACGGCGACAACTTTCTTCTCGTCTGCGTCAGGGACGTGGCCGTTGAGGATCGACGCCATTGCTGAAGTCGGTTCTGGCACGAGCTCATGCCTGTTCAGAAGCTCCGTACGCTGAATTATCTCAGCATCAGAGAGACAGACAGTTTATTCTTAGTATTATTATGTTTCTTGGTTCGTCTGCCTTGAGTGTAGTCACCTACTATAAATATTTAGGTCTTATGTTCTCCTCTAGATTGCCATGGTCTATGGCATGTAAGCAATTCGCTGTTCAGGCGTCGAAAGTCATTATGCCTATTTATAATTTGTTCAGGAACAATAGTCGTGTGTCTTTTTTTACAGCATGTACTATTTTTTAGGGCAAAATTATGCCTATACTTTTGTATGGTTCTGAAATATGGGGTGCTAAGTATTACGCTGCAATTGAAAATGTTCCCACTTCATATTTTGCCAATTAAGGGTAATTAAGTACTGGATTAAATTACTTGGAATGATGCCTGATAGATACCCATATCCGTGTTACAAAATGTTAAAGGTACTTGATGATGATGGAAAAAATAATTGGGTTTCAGATGTGAGAAATCTATTATTTGTTAGTGGCTTTTCATATGTATGGATTTCTCCAGATGAGGGAGATCCACAGTTATTTTTATATTCATTTAAGCAATGACTGAAGGATATATTTTGTCAACAGTGGCACCAAAGTATTTCAGAATCACTTTATCTTAGCAATTACAGCAAAGTAAAACAAACTGAAAGATATTTAACTCGTTTAAATCATTTAATGTTTAATCAGAGCTTATTGTAAACTTAGAATTTCACTGCACAATTTTAATGTAAATATGTGTGTAAGTATATGTGTAAATAAGTCCAAAGACGGTGATACTGTGAGCTCTATTTGTACAAACTGTTCATCCGGAGGAGTAGAAGATGAATACCATGTCTTACTTATATGTGAAACGTATTCCCATTTTAGGTATAAATTTCTCCTCATGTTGCAAGGTTTTTTTAAAGACCGTTAATGATAAATCTGCTAAACTCTGAAAATCCTGGTATGATCCATGCTGTTTCTGTATTCTTAAAACATATCTTTATAATGAGGAATGTGTAACTTGATTTAAAATCTAATCATGTAAATCACGAGACAAATATCCAATCTGCATTGTACTATGGGCCGTGATGCCTAAATTACTGAAATTACTGAAAAAAACTGTCTGTCTCAGCATCTTCCTCAAGTAACACTCGTTCTAAAAACTCTCCTAGAAAGGTAACGATAACTTAATTTTATTTGTTACGTTGGTTCTGTTGTCGAAATGCTATGAGATAGTAATAGGAATCGTTAGGTTCAGGGTAAGCTTACAGTCCATGTAACATGTTTACCTAAAACACCTATTGTTCTCTGTACAAGTTGTTGGTCACCCACTCGTCGTCCCACACACAGTGGAGTTAGTGAGTGAGTGAGTATGGTTTTACGCCGCTTTTAGAAATATGCCAGCAATATCACGACGGGGGACACCAGAAATGGGCTTCAAACATTGTACCCATGTCGGGAATCGAACCCGGCGTTAACGCTTTAACAACTAGGCTACCCGACCTCCCCCCAAGTGGAGTTACGAATGTAATATTTCACACCCAACCCAACACCCTTTACACAAACGTGGTGGCACGTGGTCCTATGTCAAGGGTACAGGTCACAAAAAGTGAAATTATGCAATGACGGTGGCGGAGAGTACTTGCATGGCTCCTGAGAGTTTCTAGGGCTTCGGTCCTGCCCCACACTGAAGCACATGTAACACATGTGGTGTCTCCTTGGGAAAGTGACTTTGTTCGAAATGTGCTTCTGTTAACCAAACAGTGGATGGGTACCCGGTAGGAGTAAGTGAGTTAGTGAGTGAGTTAAGATTTAACGTCACATCGGCAGTATTTTAGCCATATCGTGACGAGAACTACATTAATAAGACATATATGGAGACGAAATAAAAACCTGTCAACGATGGACAGTACAATAACTAGTATATCACAGATTTTGTTTTAAAACTAGTTGAAAAAAATATTAAAAGTTAGTAAGTATTAGAGAACAACACAATATAAAAATGGGCTAGAGATCGCCAGCACCTGAAGGTAGATCACCATACTAGGGACCATGGGGACTTACAGTACCTTTGCTTCCTGCATGGACCCCGGCAGGATTTATATCATCCGTACCCGGTAGGAGGAGATTGCAATGTGGCTATGAACCTTTAAGCGCCTACCAGACAGCTTTGGCTGTATACTCCCCAGGGAGCTGAAAATGACGAGAAGCTGATCCAGTTACCTGGGTAACAACAGCGCTTTGAGCATGCCCCTGTGTGGTGTGGAAAAATACGCAACACAAATGGCCTATTATAATCCTTGATATCTGTCTCTGCAAGCTCGTATTATTTAAAACTCTGTTCCTATCGAGTATTCATGGTGGAATGTGTTTTATGAATGTGTCAGAGAGTCAACCATACTTGATACCATATACACAAGATTAATGAAATAGGAAACCAACGCACCACACGACAATATCGACTCAAGCGACGGCGAATGAAAAGGGAAGTAACTCGTGGTACCTTCTCAGCAAGACTGACACTGCGTGGTGGCGCGAGTCCCGCAGGTGATAGGATGGGACACAGCCTGCGCTGAAACATCATACATACTGTATCTAGGAGCCGATGTGTGACATTATCATGATAATCCATGACGTGCAAAACAACCTTAACTAACGGGCAAAAGAAAAGCCTCCAAATACTTTTCTGGTCTAAAACAAAACAAACGCAAAATAGGAACAGTTTTATTATAGAAAACAATTATTCAAAAACGGTATTTGTAATGAAAAGATCAAAACACATTTACGTTTTTCATGCTGGGTGCACTGTCCAGTATTCGATCACACCCGCAGAATCGACGTCGATCTCTTTTAAAGTTCCGTGTTACACACATGGCTCAGTATCGGATGTGACCCCCATCCAGCAACGATGGAGGCCCTAACACGACGTCGAACTGAGTACACGAGTCTCCCGACATCCTGATTTGGGATCATACGCCTTTCGTCCTGCAGGGCAATTGCCAAGGCATCCCTCGTCGATGGCGGCTGTTGACGTTTCCGAATCCTGCGTCAAAGTTGGACACAGAGGTGCGACAGGTCCGGTGATCTGGCTGGCCACTGTTATACTGTAATACTGTCATGTTGTTGGCGTTCAGAAAGTCGCTAGTGACTCGAGATGTCCCCGCAGATGCCACCGCAGGCCATGACACTACCACCTCCATAAGGTTCCACTTCTTGGACGCATCAACGTGCCGTCCGTTCACCACGTCGTCGGTGGATTCGAACCCGGCCATTAGACTTGAAGAGCTGGCACCTACTCTCGTCGCTGAAGAGCACTCTTCGCCAATTGCTCTGCTGCCAATGCTGTACAGTCCTGGCCCATCTCAGTCTGCGACGTCGGTGTAAAAATGTTAACGTCATGCCCTTGAAAGGTCGATAGGCACCATACATGAGGAGTCGTCTAGCAACGGTCCTTCTGCTGACTGGATGTCCAAGGCAGTTTGCGGATGATGACGTCACAGTTAGGAATCGGGACATTAGGTGAAGCACCCGTAAATACCCGTCTTTTTGTCGGGTCGTGACCTTGGGTCTTCCACTCATCGGCCTGTCTGCAGTTCTGCCAGATTGCTTGTGACGTGTGACACTTGAAGCAGATCATTATCCTGCCAACGTGCTCCTGCGCCGCTCCCATTTGGAACATACCGATGGCGCTCTCCCTCTGCTCTGCGGTTGGTCGAGGCATGTTCGTTGTTGTAAACGGTTTCATGTGATGAGAGAGTACAATCCAGGTCATGTTTTATACCAGAATTTCAC